GTACCCTTACCCCCTACGTCAAAAAAAGTGTTAGAAGTAAAATAAAATAAACAAGAACAAAATTAAAATAAATTAAAAAGAAAAACATTTCATAAGGATCTGATATTCTCTATCCGAATTGGAGCACTCGGGTTTCGGTTTCAAGAGTGCGCTCATGCGCAAGTCATAACGTGGGTACGACATGAAGTCCGTGTGAATGATTACGTAGCAAACTACCCATTTTTCGTGAAATGCATGGGATCCACCAGATATCACTGAAGGGAAGGAAAAAAATTATTCAAAAAAAAAAACACTTTTTAAAAACGCCAGCTGAGAAAAGCACCTTTAAAAGCTTTTAAAAACGAAATCTCCCAAAAAGCACCTTTAAATACTTTTTACAAACGCTACGCACCCTGTTAAAGATTTATAAATGTGCAGATAGGCATCTTCTGCCAAACATACAAAAGAGCTCATTTTGCAATGGACAGACAGTAAATAAACTTTATTGAAATACCATATCAAGATGCACATGTAATGTCTTTGTCTAGTATTTTCTTTTTGCATTATGATCTTATTAGAGACCATGAGAAAAAAAAATAAAAACATCCATAGTTAATTCTGTTACAGTCGTCAGTTTACTTAGTTGTGTCGAAAAAATAGAAAAAAAAAAGTCATTCAAAGATGTACTTTATTGAAATGAATAAATCTTAATTATTAAAATTTAAGTATTGAAAAATATTTTAGTGCATATAATTTTCTAGCTCAATGAAGGATTCAGTGAATCATATTTAAACTGACCAATTTAATTATCTAATAATTTGATATTTAACTGTATAACAGTAACTAAGAAAGGTATAAGAAAAATATTTATAACCAAATATTTTTTCACAATACATCGTTACACTTTAAAAGATGTTATACTTTCTCATTCATACAACTTCTCTGGAAACCAAAACTAAAAATGAATAGTTCAATAGTATTCTGTTTCAACACACAAAACTACGAGCAGGTTTTGAAAAACCAGGGTATTTTATTTTTACCTTTTAAATAAATCAAATAAACACAAGTGCTTTTTTTAATTCTTAGTAACCAAATTACTATTTATAAGTACATTGTTTCTGATCTGGATATACTAAAATCTGAGGTCATTTTTTATGGAATCAATATTTTTAACAATCATACAATCTTTCAAAGTATATTTCCAAATCCTTGAATTTAATTCCTTACAAAATATAACTACAAGGTACAATTTTGAATAGAGCATAAGTGGTTTCCAAACAAAGAAGAAACCAAAAAAAAAAAAAAAAAAAAAAAAAAAAAAAAAAAGAACAAAAATACCTTTTTTTATAGTAAAAATAATCTATATTTTTTCAAAGCTATATTTCCTAATTTTACTCCATTTTCACCTAAATTTTAGTAACAAAACTGGTCAACTTACAGAACATGAAGTTTCATAAAGAAAAATTACAATCAATCAAGTTATCTAAAAAATGACTTTGCATTTACAAGCTTTATAAACAATATAGGTCCTTTAAATAGTAAAAAAGTGTTAAAAGGTTTCTAAAAATATTTTATTTTCAGCATAGTATATGAATCTTAAGTGCTCTTAACGTTTTACTGATAAGCATATGATTTTTTTTTTTAATAAACGAAAAATATTATAAATAACTGAAATTTTAAATCCTAATAAGCCTGGCTAAAAGCACTCAATTGCTTCAAGGCACTGATTCCTAAAGCACAAGATTGTCAATATAATTCACCAAACTTGAACTCAATTAATTTTGGAGAAAAGGATTTGTGCTAAACATCATTGTGCTTTAGAATCTACTAAAAAATTCTGCTCACAAGGTATAGGACAAAGTTTTAAAAGTTGAATTATGTTCAATAGCAGAAAATTTTGCGATATGTTTACAGTATTGGGTATTTTTTAAATTAATAATTACTTTATATGATTATGTAAAAAAGAATAATTTGAGTTAAAAAGTATTTTAAGTTAAACTATAATTCAAAAAGTCACTGGGTGTATTTTTTAGATTCAAGTAAAATTTATTAATAAAAGTATATTCAACAAAGCATTAATAAGATTATTGATCATACTGAATTTATAAAGATAAGTAAAGAATTAAGTAAAGTAAGAAAACTTAATGAATTTATATCAATTATGTAAATTAGTGAATAGCTCCTACTAAATTTTTATAATTTTTTTTCTTAGTTCTGTGTTTCTTTAATAAAGTGATAAAAAAATTTTTCAATAATTTTAGAATGTAAATACAATAAGTATTGAAGCTAAACATTTTTGTCAGAAGTAAATTATTAAATGGTCTCTACATTTGCTAAAAATTTTAAAATCTTGTCTTTAAACATTATCGAGTTTTTTTTTAATTAAATAACTTAATAGCACTAAAATATAAGTAATAAAGAACAATAAAATGTTTAAAAAATGTTTTTATACGAATAGTAAATATTACCTCAGGTAAAAAAACTCAACAAATTCCTATATTTATTAAATTTAATGAATAAAAAGGAGATGGTAATCGTGAGATGAGGAAGCTTTGTGATTCTTGACTGCTTTAGAGTCACATGAAATTACGTAATTAGTGAATGATCCCCACATTACGTTTAAAGATTATGGTAGTGATCATAAACAGAATAGCACAAGAAGGCCATTGGTTTACCAGTGACGAAGATGATACCACTTCACCAGCGATTAAATTAACAAGAGTAAAAAAATTTTATTTTGCTATCAGGCAACATTTTTTGGCATGTTTAATTGGTCTCCATTCAAGAGACCAATTAAATCAAGAGACCAATTCACCCAAAATTCAAGAAATTTTTCGGTTAAATTTCAAAAGGTGGAAAATGGAAGACTGAAATTGAGAACCTCATGCAAAATGCAGCAGAGCTGTACAAAAAAGTGCAAGAATCCTTTCCAGTGAATCCAGCTCAGTGTAAGCACATGTGGAACGTATTTCATCTAACATGTAATACATTAAAGCCAAACGTATTTCATCAAACATGTAACATACAGATCAACTGTATGCCAAAATGGATTGTGGTTAAATGAATTGTGAAAATGTTGAAAGGAACAATGTAAAATTCACGCTTTTTGAGTGCTTGGTATCGAAAATTAAGGTAAAGTTAAAAAAAAAAAATCTCATTTTGAAAAAGGGGAAATTAAGCATGCTACACACCTGTGTTTAAATTGATTTTCATCACCATGTAAAAAGAAATTTCAATTAATTTATTGAAAAAACACAATATAAAAACAACAATTTGATTTCAGGAATATTAAGTAACAACTAGTCAAAACACTGAAATTACATTTCTTTAGAGCATTACAAAGATATCAAATATATTTCTTACAAAATATTAAAACATATAAAACGACATATGGTATAAGTGCGATTTGGCAGTTAAAAATTTAGTTAATGCATGTAATAACAAGAAAATTTAAAACAGTCTAAAGTTCTAATTTGCATACCCTTAAAAACAAAGGAAATCCACATCCATAAAATCCAACTCGAAAATATTCTGGCTCTGGTCGAATTTGGTTCAGTATATTGTCAAAAAAATTAGCCTGTGTTTTCTAAAAAAGAATCAAAAAAATATTTTAACTCATTTCACAGTTCTAAAGTAAATACTCAATTTTCATTGAATTTCAAACAATTAAATGATAGCTATTATCATTAGTAACACAAATATTCTTAGTTTAATCTTTTATGCGGTTTTAAAGATTTTTTTTTATCTTGTTTAATTAGAAAAACTGTAATTATTGACATATTATCAGTAGGAAATAAGTTTTAAACTATGCCTGTACTACGCTTATCCTGACTTAAAAATATAGCAAATTAAGTTCAATCAGTAGTTTGCCTTTAATAGCAACAAAGGAGCAGATATAATTACTTCATCCCAGCTTACTTTCATTTGAAAAAAAAAATATTCTTGAATTAAATACATTGAAAAGATATTTCAGGCATAAATAGTATATTAATATTTGTGATCTTGATTAAAAGTTAAAAAACTATAAAGGTAAACTTGCCAATAAAAGATTTCCATAAATATTAAGACTTGAAATAGATAATATGTCAGTCAAAATAAAAATGTTACCATGCTGCATAAAAACTATCGAAGATGTATTTAAAATAAATTAAAATTTAATGTAAATATACAAGCATAAATCACTAATGCATTAAAATGAAATAAAAAAAAACAAGCAGAGAACCTAAATAATAAATGTTGAGTTAGTTTACCTACCAGAACATTACTTAATTTTGCATAGTCAAGCAACTTCTTTTCATACAATTCAGCTAATTCTTTGCACAAAGGTATGCCTTCTTCCCAACACTGAAAATAAAAAACAAAAATAATAACACCAGCCTCCCAAAAGAGCACGTACATATGGTTAAGTTATTCAGCATAGTTTTTTAGGTGAATGTTAAAAAATCAGAAGAATATTATGAAGTTCAAAGTCTCTGTTTTAAAAGTGAATAAAAATATACTGAGATGCTGTAAGAGTGGGACAAGCTGGGTATTTGCTTTAGGTTTTGCACTAGTCATACTTAAAAAATGAACAATGCTTTTTGTTCAATAATTATAGATTATTTCATATTATTTTGTGTGGAAGATAGATTTAAAGGTTTTTCTCTTTTTAATTTATTTTAAATGATAATTAAGATATAGTTTCTAAAGGCAGTGCTCTTGACATTTTTTGTTACCGTAATCTGAACTAGGAAGTACACATAGAAATCAAAATAACTAAGAAAATAGACTGAAAAGTTTTAATGTATTTAAACAGTTTTAGATAATTCAGGGGTCTGTCTAGGTTTTTCTGAGAGGTACCTATTTTGTGAAAATTCAGACATAATTTGCGAAAATAAAAAATTATATAAAAAATCAACACAAAAATATGGTAAAAATATGGATTTAATGTTTCTTATGGGATACAAAAATAAAATTTTAAGAAAATGTATTTTACGGCTAAACGGTAGTAAATTTGGCCTGTGCAGACCACTGCTATAAACAAAAAAGCCCCAAAAATGTAAAATTCCAAATTTTTAGGAGCCTTCTGTCTGAAATAGCACTAAAAACATGAAACTATTTTGCCATAGAATTTAAAATAATTCATTTTAAATAAATTGAGAAATTTTTGAAAAATTATAGAAAAAAAAATTAAGTTCTTAGTTTTTAAAAAAGAAAATTAAAAAAAAAAAAAAAAAAAAANCTATTAAAAAAAAAAAAAAAAATACATTCTAGCATCTTTTAGAGTTCCACCAAAGAAAAATATCAATTGAAATTAAGAGCACAGAATTAGGAAAAAAATTATACCTAAACTTTTCTGTTATTCAGATGAGGTATTTCAATGTGAAATTTTTCAGTGAAGAGCTTTGAGTTCAACATACCATCATTGATAAAAATTTCATGATAAATCAAAATTTAAAAATAAAATTAAATAATAATAAGGGAATGTTAAATAGTTACTTTTAGAACTATAATTTTAAGAAAAATTCAAAGTATACAAACTTATTTCTATAATCTATGTAAAAATCTAATAAATTTTCAAGTGTCTTTACAATCTATTTTCTTAAAGCTAGATGACTTTTTTAGTCCAATGCGCAAGGTTTCTACAAGTGACAGCTCTGAAAATAAAAATGCAAGCAAAACATGTAAGCAAGCATGTAAATTAAAATATACACTTACTTTTCCCTTGTCAAAGTAATCAATGATTTTATGATATAGAGCTTCCCTCCTTTGCCACTCAGGTTGTTGATTGTAACGTTGATCACCAGGAAGAGTTGTGTTGGAAAAACTAAGCAGATCAGCATGCAGCTTTAAAGTGAAAGCAGCTTCTGTATAATTCTCAGCTGGTAAGTGAAGCTCACAAAGTTTGTAAATGTAGCGCACATACATTTCTTTACGATTGATCTCATTTTTGTAGAAATTCTGAGAAAGAAAAACAGAATGATTTTAATGCTTCTGAAACACCTAGGAATGCTTGTAAAAACTCTTTCGCTAAACAAAAGAAAAACACTGTGAATGCTTTAAATTTAAAACTATATTATACACCATTCTCGCGTCTCTAATTTTTCCTCTATGTATCAGTTGTTTTAATGGTCCTGTCACAAAGACTATTCTTATNAAAAAAAAAAAAAAAAAAGCATTTTCTACAGAAACAAAAAATTTCTGCAGAAGCAATAATGTTCTGCAAAAAATTTTTCTTACAGAATTGTTTTAAATATTTTTACCGCGGAAGGAGATCTTCGATTTTTTGGCATGCGAATAAAAACCAGATTGGTGGAAAATATTTACTGGTGAAACAGCTTCAACCACGTTTCCATACGCATGCGAAAAAAATCGCATCCAATGAGTATGGCTCTAATACCGATGTTTCAGTACTGATAAAGACTATTTCGTTTCGAGATGTTGAATAGACTTGAGCATATTGAGTCGGAAACCTCTTCTGCAAACTTCGTGTGGAATCAGTGCTATATATTTACACAATACAGTGCGAAATCACAAGCGCTGTACATTTTTTTCGTTCTGAACTTAATCTGATCACGAAAAAAGTTTTATTTACCTCCTTTTTCAAAAAAAAAATCTTTCAATAAGTCAGTACAATATTAATCGAATCTAATTAATCTATAATTAATTAGATAAAATTAATTAGATGTAGAAAAAATTGAAACAAACATTGCTTTAATTTTTTTGCTTTTAGAATTCGGTTATAGTCAATTCTATTTTATTATTTTGATTACTCAACTTCAATATTAATTTTTTCACCTGATTTGTTTCTGTACCTGATATAACTACTATAATGAAACATTAAATCATACTGTTTTAAACTGCTTTAATAATTTAATTTTGATACTGTTTTAAACTGATACTTCAAATTCAGTTATCTTGTTTTATAAATTTAATCTTTTTGTCCATTCTTAGCTATTTCTATAAGTTCTATCTTATTACAGGTTCTGGGTAATCTTTATTTATGCTCTAGTAAGCATTTTTGTCTGCAGATCTATACATTTATAACTTTTCGTTATTATCGAAGATTATGCAAATTTATACTTAAACAATTTAAACTTATTAAGAAATGTAAACTTATATTATGAAATTAAGAAAAAAAAATCTACACAGTTTTATTCTATGCATGTAGACTTATTTTATAAACACGAATTTCATCTATTATTATAAATTCATTACACATTTATTTATAACGATAAAAATATCTTGCAGAAAGATATTGGTTCTAGTTAGGTTTGTCGCAGAAAGTCAGAAAAAATTCTGCCACAGGGCTTCTGAAACACTTAGGAATGCTCTTAAAAACTCTTAAATAAAAGAAAAACTCTTAAATAAAAGAAAAACACTAAATAAAAGAAAAACACTGTGAATGCTTTCAATTTAAAGAACACTCAAATTTAAAACTATATTATACCTTGATCCACCATTCTCGCGTCTCTAATTTTTCCTATATGTATCAGTTGTTTTAATGGTTCTGTCACAAAGACTATTCTTATAAATGTTGATAATGCCATTTTAGATCATTTCTGAACTTAGCAGATTCCTGCATCTATTGTTCAAAAACTGTGAAGTCATTAAAAAAAATAAAGTTATTTCTTTTTTAGAAAATTAGTAATTTCTTATGCTAATGATGAAGAAGAAATTGAGGATTGAGAACTTACAAAGCATTGTTTGAGAAAAACACCTGAAACATTACCTTTGATGTTTACACATCAGTAGATAAAAATGTTGAAATCTGTGGTATTGTTGATTAAAATTGATTGATTAAATACAAAGATATTGGATTTTTAAATCATGTGAATAAGTATTGCAATGTACAATTTTTAAATCGTGTGAATATGAATCATGATGCGTAATTTTTAAATCAGGTAAAAAGGAAACCTGAAGTTTCATATTAAAATCACGTGATTAAGAATAACAATATTAACAGAATCCAGCACAGTTCCAAATATTCAAAATGGCAAAAATCCTCCAAACCAAAAGAATCTAATTGGTGGAAGAATTACAAGTATGTAAATGCGTCGTTAATGCGATTTAGCAAAATTTCAGGGGATTTTAGGTTTTTGATTTCACAAAACTGTGACTTTTCTTCATATTGACTTTTTGCACTTATTTCACAATTAGCTTAGATGCCGCTAACTAAATGTGGACAGAACTTAACCTGACAATATAATCTTAAAAAAATAGTGTTAAATAATGATTAGAAAAATGATTAATACATACTAGGAGATTGACTGTACAGCTCATTCGTTTGTCACGATTTTCTTCACCATCCATTACATTCCTTAAAAAAAAAGAAGAACATTTTTCTATAATTTCCATTAAATCATGTAACATATCACCATAATTTGAGTTGTAAAAACTTAGAGGGCAGAAGTACAAATTATAAGGTCAAAGAATCAAACTCTTTAGACTATTTGAAAGGAAACAGGTTCAAAACCTACTAAGAATTCATTAAAATATTAGTTGTAAGTTTCTATACAGTAAAAAAGATTTTTCTTACAAAAAAGTAGATAAAAGATACATTAAGTTTACTACTTTGAGAATAGATACAATTCATTGTCCTTTTATTTTTATTTTTAAGACAAATTTATTTTGCTCTTATTAAAGAAAATTAAGTTACAGTTACTTGACATAAAAACCAAATTCATTGAGGCCCCCAGCAGCCAATTTATCTCGTGGGTTTCCTCCAAAAAAAAAAACTCTTAACATTATGTGATATTCAGGTTATAAAAGTGACCCATAACAAAAGGGATCCAAAGATCGTAGTTATTTGTGTACTAAGTACGTTATATATTCATGCACATAAATTTTATCAAAAAAGAACAACTACAAATATAAATAAAGCAATAAATAACTACATTTTAAGTTTTTATCATACATACTAAAATACTTTATTTTGAATGGATTTCCTAAAATTTAAGGATAAAAGGTTTTATTGCTTAAAGTTTTTAATGATAATTTTTAAAACTTAATTCATAATTTAGTTTTTAAAGCATTATTATTAAAGATGATTTATTTAAAGATTGCAAGACAATAAAAAAATTAGTTCAACAAGCAGTATATTTACTTAAATGTATGCTCTTAAAAGAAAAAAAAATGCAATAACAGATCTATAAACATTTTTGTGCATTATTATATGTTTCGAAATTAGATAAATAGTTTTTCTAACATAAATGATCAATACAGAACTTTTTGAGTTCTAATGTAAATATTCTTTACATGCAAAATGAAAATGCCATTCTTATAAACATCACCTAAAAATTAAACATCTCCACTATCTTATTCTATTTCTATGCAGTTGAGCAAAAACTAGAAGAGGAAGATTGATTTTTCTTACACATATAGTTATAATAACTGCTCTTCATCTTGGAGAAGCAGCAATGCAGAGAACACAATGAACTACCATAAAAGTGCAACCAACATGTTTCAAAAATTTGAAATTTTGGATCTTTTTCATGCAAAAAATTAGAGAAGAGAGATACATATAAAATGTAATATTTAATTAGCTTCTTAATGCTCATCAACAATACTTTTAAAAGCAGTATAATAAGCAATGGTTTATACCTATAATCAAGCAGTCTTTCAAGAAGCTTTGTAATGGAATTAATAAAGGCAACTCCATGTTCTTTCCAAATTGGATCATTAGTACGAACCTTTTCAAGGAGTCTGCAAAAAAGATTTTTTTATATTAATAACAAGCAATAATGGTTCTTATTTCTTAGGTATATTTTAAATGAAAAATATTTTATTTTTAGCAAACCTAATTTAATTAAAAAAAAGAATACATAGATATATGAGAAAGCATTTTAAAACAGAAAAAAAATATCAAGATTTTAAAAGATAAGATTTATTTTATGAATGATTTAGTTCATTTCATTAAAAGGTGACTATTCAACCCAGTCAGATACACTGTGCTAATGTCCTTATGATATTTTATTAATTTCAACTAATTTACAGACGTTCTTATGACAAATAATACTGTTAGTTTATTAAGGCAAAAATAAAATCCTAATCACAGGTACATTAAATTTGCAACTACATCAATGCTTAAAATTATAGCCAACAGTTAAGTTAACACAGTAAAAGTCTGTAAAAAAAAGGATGTTTTAATGAATTTTGCAATGATTGTGACAAACTTAATACATTTTTTAAAATATCTTATTTTACTTATTTTAATATGCTACAAATACAAAAAATTAGTACTTATATACTACAATGTTTAGAAATTTTCTATAACCTACTGTACTCATAAGTTGAAAAAGTCATCCAAATTGAATTTTTATTTTAAAAATTTTTTCACAAAATGGTGGTATTATGAAAATTTTTTTAAAAAAAAAATTGCATTTTTTCAGATTACTCAAAGCATGTAAACTCAATTAAAAAAAAAAAAACCTATTTGTAACAAAAACTATATTTGTGACAAAATTTAAAGTAAATTAGTTGGAAATTGTATTACTTATTCAGAGATATAGCAAGAGAAACATTGTTAAGAGGAAACTGCATTTAAAGTTTTGTGATCAATTATCCATATAAAATTTTGCAGCTAACTAAAATGCATCAATACTAAAAATGCTTTTTCAACCATCATTTTTGCAGTCTCAAGTGCTAGTCTAGTCCTCTTTTAAAGTCGATCCAACCTTATTTGATGCCTCATATGATTTTAGATTAGTATCCGAAATTCTGTGGTCAGCTTCATTTTGGCTGCTAGACCTATACTTATTTTTAATGTTTTGAAAATTGTTAATAATCCTTTGCAACCTTCATTAAAAATTATTACAGCTAAATAAGTATTATTGATTCTTTTTCTTACACAACTTAAACACATTATTTCAATAATATATTTAAAATGATGGTATTTTCCTAAGGATAGGAGTGAGCACAACAATAAATTAGTTGAGCGTACAAGTTCACATGTTTATACATGTAACGTGCCAAGCTCATAATAGGCTGTAACTTTTACATTTTTACCAAAATAAATTCAATATTTTGGTACAATAATCTTAACAAGATAAAGTATCAAAAAATGTGATAATATTTTCCTCTTTTTAAAAATTTTGTGTAGTTCCTTTTTAAGGGTTATCAGATTTTCTGTACAGATAACTAGTTCATTAATAACAGAATAAGTTCAGTTCAGTTATAACAAAAAGTAATAAAAATTTTTTTTGTAAGAAATAAGACAATGAAATTGACATTATACTTACACAGCACTTAAATGTTCCCTGGAACACCATGTAATAGAAATGAAAATAACATTAAAATAGAATAAATAAACAACAATTATTTCACAAAAAGTTATGCTAATCAAAATTAAAAGAGCAAAACTCTCTTTTATTTTAAACTGAGATAAATTATTAATCCTAAGCAAATTCTTTTTAAATCACATTTACGATCAATTGACTTGACTCAAACAATGAGAATTATAAGCAAATAATACTAAAATATAAACAATTATTAATTAACGTCAAGATAAGATAAAATATCAATGCACACAAGCCAAAAGTATCTGTAACTCTAAAATATTCCTTGATAATAGTTATTTTATTCCAAAAAACAGAACAGAAAAAAAAAGAAACAGTTTTCTTACATTTCTAAACAAACTTTTTTTATTGAACAATTAGTGAATGAAATATCTATTTCCCCTAGAAAATCTCCTCTGGAAATGTTTACCTCCTATAAATGATTATTTTTTTATTTTTGCATAAACTTAATATATTTTTTGAAAAATAAATTAATTTTTAAAAAGCATTTGCAAGATTTAAGAATCTTCGCCAATGCATTCACGCACAGTGTTTGCTTATACAGTCTTAGCTAAAATCACTAAAATACTTTTAAGAGCTGGATGGTTCTTAGCAAAATTTCAGATATAAGTCAGATTTAAGATTTTTTTAGTCTAATACCTACTTTAAATAATACATGAGAATTTTAAAAAATCTAAAGATTAAAATAATTTTTAAAAAAAAATATAATGATATTGTAAAATATTATTAAACAGTGAAAAAAAAAGAAGACTTATATAAGTAAATAACTATTATAGTTAGAATAAAATGGTACATTTAAAACCATTAGAACAAAACTGCAATATCAATATTGCAAGCTTACATAGTATTAAAAAGTTGCCTGTATTCCTCGTCACCTTTGTTCTCACTGACTAAAATATCTAACTTATCGATGAGTTCAGATTCCACCTGCAAAAAAAAGAGAAAACTAATAATGAAAAGAAACTCCCAAAAAAAAAATTTTTTTTTTGTCAGTCAGTAATTAAAATTTTAAATGTTAAATTTTTAATCAAATTACTGTTCTTATGAATATTGTCGGTCTTTAAATGTAGGACATGGATAGCTTAAACTGGTTTCGATGAGCACAATATCAAGTTTTACTTTTTAAAATTTTATTTAATTTGAATTTTTACTACATTTTTCTGTTTTTTACAAAATTAACAATATTCATTGATTATGCAGTGCAAATTGCATGCTTTAATACAAGTACATACTTGCCCACGTTGGAGAAATAAAATATCGGAGATTTTACTAGCGACATTTAATAGGCTATCAGTAAAGTTTTGATACATTATGCATAATTATGCAAGTCAAAAAGAGAAATTCATATTTGAAAAAAATATTAGCACTTACATTTACCGAAGTAAAAAATATGTATATAAATAATAATCTAAAGATTTTTTTAAACCATTATTTATAATTACTTAAACTATTTTATTTTATAACTGTCGTTAAATAGCCAACCCAAATTTGGGTTTACAACTACTAATGTTCAACTTCGTAGCCTTGTCATTCTGAACCCAATCCAGAAGACAAGGGTACTCCTGGATCAAGTAGTAGGAGAAATTTGCCTTTGTGGAGGACTTTTTGATGGAACTAACNAATTATATGCAAGAAAATTTCAGCATATATTTTGAAAAGAGGGGAGGAGTGGGGGAAGGAGGGGAGGTCCCAAAAACGGCTGTGCCTAGGGCCTACGAAAGGTATAATCCGGCTCTGGAGACAGGAGTGGAATTCGTATCGACTAGCCATCGCTGGGATTCGAACCCAGTTCACTTCATTGCAAGGCGAACATTCTATCCCCATAACCATTACTTAAACTATAAACACTCAACATACCGCAATACTGGCAATAACACCATCTGTAAAGGATTAAGAGAGGTATTTTTGCCATCAATGGATATTTTAAAGCCAATTTTTTTTAAATTCTTAAATAAATACAGAGAAATTTGAGAATATAAGGGTAAACAGGAGAGAGTCATAAAATACAGGAGTCTTCGTTAAAAAACAGGAGACTTGGCAGGTATGCAAGTATTATTTATAATGAAAAGGAATAATTATTATGTTTTTGAAACAGTTTGAACATATATCTTGCGTAAACAGTTTTTTTATTTTAGAATTTAATATGTTATCTTTTATTGATTTTCACACTTTTTTAAGCTCCCATTTCCAATTGATATAAAAATGTAAATTACCTGTTTAAAGCTGCCACGGACTTTTTGCTCACAATCCATCATATCAAAAAATATTGGTAAAGTTGCTTTCCGTAAATCAATTTCAGGCACTAATGTCACTTCTAAGAATGGTCCCACCATTGCAGGTATAAAGAAAATTTTATGATCACCTATTAAAAGAATATGACAATCAATAAAATGTCTTCCTCAAAACTTGAATTTATGCAATGAATACAAATATATTAACTAAATCTCAAACATAAAAAAAAGAAACAACAGTTGAATTATTTAATATCTCAGAAACTATTAAATTCAAAGTACTGTGCACTTTCATGCTTAATGCAATGATTCTACTAGACTTAGGAAACTGCAGGTCCTTAGGGCCCTGTACTAACTATTGTCAATGTTTCTAATAATGTTTCTTTGTTTCACACGAATAAAACATTTATTTCAAACTTGATATAAATAAGAAAAAAATAAATTTTTAAACTTTATCTTCAAACATTCACTTTTTAATAAAATGTAAATTTTACTAAATATGCAACTGACAAACTACTTAACAAATAGAATACAAAAATATGCAGTTTTTTATTTCCATGCAGCATTTTATGCAGGATATCTTTTAATATTAGATAATAGGAGTTTGTTATGAGTCAGGAACATCATGAAGAGTGATCAATATTGAGTGATATGGCATCTTGGTGACTGCATGGCCAGCTTTGTGCACCAACCACCTTTACTTCCTACTTTCATGGGGTGGGTTTCAAGCTATAATCAGGAATTGAAATGCAGTGCATTACAGCAATAGTTCAGTGCCATAACCATCGACCCATTATGCATTAATTAAACTATAAAACCTAAAATGAGAAACTTCAGAAAACCACTTTTAAGTTGGAATTTCAAAATTGTTAGAGTCATTTCTATTAAATGGAAATATATAATACGTAAAAATAAATTACATTTTCTTTATAAAAGAATTATCAAAGCTTGACCAAAAATTTTAGGTCAGACAGAATGTAAAACTTTTTTGTTCATTTTAATTATGTTTAAGTGATACTTGAAGAATGAATGAATTTTCTTCAGTTGATGAAATGGATTGATGAATAAGAAAGTAATATTGATTGTAAAATGGTACTAAAAATATATATACATCATACCAACCTAATTTGTCCCACATGGATAGTATTTGAAAGCCCATTAGAACTCTCATATCTCCATACCTGAAAAATAAGTATAATAAAATCAAAATTTGAATTAAAATAATATCAATTATGACTTAAACACACACAAAAGTTAAAAAGCAATATAAATTCAAAAATTCTTCCATGTAAAATTATAACTCAGCATTTCATTTTACTTACTTCTCAATAATTTTATCTTTCTTTACATCAGAAAAAGTCTCTAATTGTAAGGCTGGTTGAGTTAAAAAAGCTACAGCAAGAGAAAAATAGCTGCTCCATAACTAAAAGAGAAATATAATATACCTCAAAAAAAATATAGAGAACATATATAAAATTAAAATATTAATTAAATTAATATTTTAATTAGCCCTTAATTAAATTGGTTTTAAAAAAGAATAAAGAACAACATAACAGCAAATTAATGTTTTACTATGAAAAGAATTTTTGCACCTAAAATTGTAACGAACTCCTATAAAACGTGAGGCACCATTTTTAAATTGAAATTTAAACTTTTTATGCCAGACAATGTAAGATTGATAGGTGTAAAATTAAAGATTAATTTTAGCTACAATTATATCAATTTAAACTAAAATGGCAACAGAATTAGCAAATAATAAAACATTTCTGTAGTGATTACTAGAAATTTATTCAGAGGACAGTTCGCAATTAAAAAATCAGTGATCGTATTTATAACATTCTTAAGGTATCCAACTGGGTAAAAATCGGTAATTTCGGCAAAAATTTATATTTTTTTACTGTGTATATTTAAATTTTTGTCCATTAGCTTTCTAAATCTCTAAAAAATTTTGTTTTCTGAACTTTAGAATCAAAGTTATAGTTGTTTTTTTTTTGCTTGCTGACAGACAAAATAGAACAGTAATTACATACTTTAATGGAACTTTCAGAAAAATGCTGATTTTGAGGATCTCTCATTATGCAAACACACATTGCAAAAAAAGCTTATTTTAGAATTCTTCCAAAACTTTATACATAGATTTTGTTTAGTGTTAGTTATGTTTAGAGTTAAAAGCTACAGTTAAAGTGTGAATTTATTGTATTTATCATGCTTTAAAAATCTTCATTTTTCTTTTAATTTATCATCATTTTTCATCAATATTAAAAAATATATTTAGTTCTAGTTCTATTATACTCTAACAGCATCATTTCCAGCAGACACCCTATTTATAATCTCAAGTTTGTACGACAAAAGTAAGATTTTAGCAGGATAGAAAAAAAAAATTTCTTTTAAGAATCACAAAATGACTCAAATTTAAAAGATAAAAAAAAATTATGTTTATTAACATTCAATTCATTACAGGAATCATAATGTAAAAAAATTATAATAATAAAAATAATTCAAACATTTAAAAAAATTAAATTCACTAATTCAAATGCCAATAAAAAATTCACATACACTGATAACTTATTTATCTCTGCATGCTTTACGTTAGGTTATAAACAACCAAGTACAAGATAAAACATTCATCCCAAATTTGCTCCTTGTCGAAATATAAATAATAAATCATGAACAAGTATATGAAATTTCCTGAATGAGAACATAAAAAGTTTCAAACAATTTTGCAGGAATATTATTTTGAAAGCTTACTTGTTCATCAAAGTCAAGACCATCTAAAAAGTCCACAGTTAAAGGTTGCGAGAATTCCTGAAGAGCACATAGAATAACACTGAAAAATAAAATTATTTTATTTGCTGTAATTTGAGAAAAATAATAATATTAATAATACAATAAAAACAGTTGAAAGATAACTTTTAATTTTAAATTTTAGAATAAAAATCTGCCGAACTTTAAGTTAGAGTAAAGTATTAACCTTTGGTAAATTACATAGTTGGTAAATAAGCCCTGTTAAATAATAACTGCATATAATTAATATATTATTATAAATCAATGCAATTTAAAGCGGAACACAGATGAAATTTCATTACTGAATTAAAAGCTTAGAAAATATTTTAAATACTTAAACTCAGTTAAACAAATATTAGGGAAATTTTCTGTTTCTGTAATGTGAAATGGACTATTAATTTATAAAAAATAGAAAATGATAATTAGCAATGAAGAAATTATTTAGTTAATATTAGCAAATCAAAAATACTTATTAGAACCAGGTAATTAAAAAAATAAAATGTTTTTGATAGATTAATAATCACGAGAAAAGTTCACTTACTGATTTGTGAGCATTTTCATGATAACCCAATCTGTGGGAAAAACATCTTGTTTCACAAAATCATGGAAGACAAAAAAGACACTGAGAAGAAAATCCTTCAATTGCCTCCTATCTCTACGCTGCCGAACATTGCCGAATTTCTCCCACAAATGATTGTAATGCTGCTCCTCCATTAATCTTAAAAGAGCAACTAATGATGCCACAAGAGGTCCCTAAAATGATACATAATGTGTTAATTTATTTATATCCAAAGAGCTTCTAGTTGTTTTTTCTTTTCCAAATTAGTTTAACGTTTTTAAGTTATAAACTTTTTTATTTGCGTACTTTAACTTTAAGTTATTTACTTACATATTACTTTGACAATATACATTTTATTTGACAATATACATATTATTTGACACTGTACACGTTAAATGAGTTGAGTCCAAATTCAAGATGAGGAATTAAAGTTTTATAAGAGTGTATAAAATAGTAATTCAATGAAGTAAGAGCTATATTAAAATATGAATGTATGAAGCAATATTAAAATAAGAGAAATAAATTGCTGACTTACAGCCACTGATGATGAGCGATCGAGATCCTTAACACAAAAGATTAATGTTTCTAGTAAAACAAGGGCTAATATTTCTACTTCTCGGCTCACCGCATGACTAGAGGAGTGTTGCTTTTTGGAATGCTCATGATGCAAGTATGTAAGCATGTCACCCAAAATGGTGGCACATGTTGTCAGCTCTTGCTGTTGTAGCATATGCTTTTTTAAATGCCGCGTGAACACTTCAAATAACTCCACTCTGGAATCTAAAAGAAAAACAGAAAAAAATATATATTCTGCCAGGAAGAACTAGGTTACTGACTGCATAAAATTAACAAAACATAAATGGTATTTACCTAATTTTTGGTAGATATTTACTAGTAATATTGATTTGTCAGATCTTAATATAATCCTTCGTTATTTTAAAAGTACCTAATTGTTTTTTATTATTATTCAAAACTAAAGGTGTTAAACAAAAAATGTTGTTAATATATTATATTGTCCAGTAATTACATGATTTTACCTTTATCAGCAGCACTTATTCATTAAATGTTGTATTTCATTCAATTCATAAAAGATACTTATCATTAAAGGTTGTAATTATAACCCAGCAAAATTATTGGGTTCATATTTAATCTCAATAGAATCAAAAACTAAATCTTTGGAACCAAATTTGTGTTAATACAATTAAAAAGTTTTCACATTGAATTGTAAAATTAAAAGTTAATACAAACCATTTTTTAATAGTACAATTAAAATGTTGTTCCTATATTATATTGCAGTGATAGGTAACCAGGCAAAATTATTTGGTTTAGATTTTATCCAGAAACAAATTCTGTAGAATTAGAAACAAAATCTGTGGAACCAAATTTGTCTTAATACAATTAAAAAAACTTTTAAAATAAAAATATATTAATCGAATAATTTTTTATTTTGAGGCAACATGATAATCATGAAAAAAAATATTGTTGAAGCAATCATGGTGAATAGAGGCTCCAAATTACTTAAATATAAATTAATGAAAACCACATTAACTTCAAACAACCTCTAATCGAAAATAATTTTTTTAAAAGTAAGATTGATATACATTTAAATCAAAACATTCATAGAGGTGTAATAATAACATATAATGTATGTGTCAATGTCTTATATTTGAACAAACTTTGAAGACAATGTAAATTAAATAAAGAGATCTATGTGAAAGAAAGTACCTTAATTGACTAATTCAAAAGTAACTTACCTATGTTTTGAAATATTTCACTTTTCACAGTATCATGTATACATCTAAGTTTGGCTTGAGTAAGAGCAACATTTGGTTCAGTGGGTAAACAATCTATGGTCAACTTAACAATTTTGGCAACTTCCTGGACTGGTAACACACTTAAAAGCTGAACATATATCTGACCAAAACTAGAAACTAAGGCAATCTGCAATCAAAACAAATTGATTAAACATCTTAATTTTTTTTTAAAAAAGTGAAAATGTAGATTATGAATCAAGTAGAAAAAAAAAATTATTTTAAGTTAGTAGTATGAAAAGTACATAACCTGATCAAAAAAGTCTACAGTAAATTTTACAGTAATCAAGTAGAGTTATGCATAATCAAATGTGTTGCTAAACAAATTAAATAAAAGCTAATTAAATTTTGAGGTTCAGCACTACCTTAAAAAATTTCTTAAAAGCAACAAAACAATTCAAATATGGAGACACAAAACATTTGGATGAAGCAACAGTTAAAGAAATAGATGGTTATAATGTATGAAACAATATTAAAAGAAATGCAAAACTTACTTGAGTAGGAAGAATAATGAGATCATGATTAATGGCTAACATGCGGTTAAAAGAATTAAATAAAGAATAGAGATCGGCTTTGAAAGCTTCCTCACTTTGATCACCAGTAGCTCTGAAATGAGACAAATATTTGTCAAAGTAAATAATTATTGATCCATTATTTAAGATATTCATACAATTCAAACAACTAGCATTACACAAATACATTAACTTAGCAATGAAAAATCATTTTGTTGAGAAACAAAGCATTTTGATCAATACAATCTACATAAAAAGGTACATAAATTTAAAAATTTGACTTAAAATTAAGTTCTTGATTTTATTTTTTTAAAATATACTTCAAACTAAGCATGTTAATGTAACTTTTTTTAATACAATATGAAACATACTGATGAGATTTCAGTATAATATATTCATTATATTATCACAAATTTAGGTTTGGTTTCTTTATTGTTTGGTTTGGTTGTTGATGCTTTAGAGTTCACTACTGGGCTATTAGCAACAGGTGAGTCTGATTGAGATTGGATAGGCAAGAATTAAAGCCACAACACTAATTAAATAGCAGTGAAAATTTAGATATAAAACATTTCAATAGTAAAACAATTGTGCTAAAAATATTAGGCAAAAATTCTGCTTATTTTTTGACATTTATTTCATTAATTAATATTAATTAGTTGATAAAATGATGCTTAAATAAATATGAAATTTCATGAAATAAAAATTGATTTTGTTTATTTGTTTGTACCTTTAACACACGTGTTAGTCTTTTTTTTAGAATTAAAGACTTATTATGTGGGGAAATCTATTTTTCAGACTTGTTTTAAATCCAAATGATTCAGGATAAAAAATTCTTCACTATTAATGAATCATATGATAATTTTGAATAAGCTAAATTATTTAGCTATAAGGATTGAAATACCAGTCAGAACTCAAATATTCAGAGTATTTCTATTTGATACCAGATGTAAAGTATATTAAATTTAGGTAAATTAGGAGAATGAAAAAAAAAATCATTATTTAAATTGAAAGAACTTACCTAGCAAATAAAATCCTAGACTGTATAATAAATTTAAAAATATATTCCAATGAACGGAAACACTTCTGAATTGCATCTTGTTTATCAGCATCTCTAACTAAATCTGCGCAATGCTTCACACAGCTTATCAAACCTCTAAAAAGTAAAAAAAGAAACAAAAATATTACATAAGTGCTATTAAACACACTAAGCATCTAACAAGCAAATGAGGATAAAAAACAAATTTTTAAGGTACATTTTATTTATTTGCATTTTTAAATTGTTGCCCCCTTTCATTATTATAGAATTAATAATAAGCATATTGCTGGAAAAAAAATTTTCAGGTATAAAGTGCAGGCGTAAAGATTATTTTTAGTTGCTCAACAAGTTAAACAATTATGATAAATAATGTTAAAATTTAAAACAAAAAATGGATTAAAATTAGCTCCACTTATATTAAACAATCATATTTTTTACATTTAAAATTTCAGATTGTAAAATCCTCTTTTATTAAATAAAAAAAAAGTATTTCATTCAGAACAAGTACTTTTTCTTGTTTATTTTTAACTTTATTGACTATCAACATCATTTAATATCTTATGTGATCTTCTCAAGTCAATAAAATTGTATCTTAAAACACAGAAAATGATAATCTTAATATTTGGCTAAAAGTTAGTAACGCTGTAACATTATGTTTTGTATACTATACAAACTTTTTTAACTTTCATCTACTACACTTTTAATTTGCAATGTCATGAAAGAATAATTTAGCCCAAAAAGAATACTACTACAAAATACACTACTTCAAATACAAAGAATCACTTTCCTTAAAAAACTTGATTCATAAAAGTCAGATTGATAAATAATAAAAAAATCTCTAATTGAGTTCTTATATGACACAGATCATAAAAGACAAAATAAATACTACATAACCAAAACTGCATTTAGCTACTTATTATGATAAATATTCCTCTTCGTGACTAGGACAAAAAATTTTGCTACTATTTATAAATAAACAAGCATTTCCCCATTGAAACTTGCAAATGAAAATTCAGAAAAACTTAGTTGAAATAAGTGTTTCATCATTTTCAAAATGTAAAAATAATTTAAAAATTAAATAATATATATGGCATAATTTTCACTAAACCATACATTGTTATACCTTATAAATTACGGAAAAATTACATCAGTAATGTATGCATTAAATACTTTATTGATAATAAGGCAATATGTTTTTACATACTTGTACACTAGAGCAGCAGCAAAATGTCCAGTAATGTATGCATCCATAACAGGCTTAAAATGCTCAAATTTGTTATCTTCTAGCAGACTTAAGATGTGTACCTTTAAAAGGAAAAATAAAAAAATACCCATCAAAATTTCAAAATTAGAAAGGAAAAAAATATTGTGTATTAGGTTAAAATAATAATTATCTACCATCACTAAAGCCCGGAATTTCAGGCAATAAAAAATGCAAAAANTTAGGTTAAAATAATAATTATCTACCATCACATAGTAAAACATAATATTTCGCCCTTTAACAGTGAAGTTAAGTCAAAACATGTACCCTCTAAAAAACATAAAATAAATAAATTTATTCTTGCACAAATAAATTTATTTCCGTTAAATTATTCATACATAATGTGATAAAATATTAAATGAATTAAAATAGTTTATTATACTAATGTTTTGTTTTGGGACATTAGCATTTGAGGTTCTAAAAATCAAAAAGTGGTCAAGTACATAAAATATAAAAAAGAAAAACATTTTCCCTTAAAAAAATCATTGAAATTAACATGAATTTTCCAGAACTTGTAAAACTAGCATGGTACCAATCATGTTATAACACGATTTAAGTCAAGAATTTACACAAAAGACACATTCTAAGCCAACATAAATATTTAAAGGTCAAAAAATCTCAAACGAATTTAGTCTATTATGAAGTGCTAAAAAATAACACTCCATTCTTCGTCTGTAAGTCTTCATGCACTCATAAAAAAATTCACCTTTTCGTGCATACAAATGGATTTTTGGGTTGTTAGAATGTAAAAAAAAAAAAAAAAAAAATTGAATTTTAATAATACATTATGGAAAAATGGATTTAGAGAAAGAATAATTTTAGTTTATGAAAGATCGATTTAAAGCAGTTTAGAATTTTAATTTGATTTTTAAGACATGGGTTTTTTGTAAAGAAGCCTTTTTTAGTTTTGGATAGTTGTAATGTGTACTTAAACTTAAACAGATTAAAATTCTTTTTAGATTGTACCCGGAATGTTATGTGACTAATAAAAATATTATTAAAAACTTGTTCAGCTAAATACAAACATATATATACATATTAATATGAAACAGAATATCTTTAAAAATCTGTTATATATTGAGCAGTTTAAATACTATTTGAACAAAATTTCTTTTTAAATTTATCATTATTTCGTTTGTATTATTTCTAGATAAAACTACAATGAAAATGAAACCATGTTGAAAAAATTTCAACTTAATGGTGATGAAATATATTTGAAATAGCCTGTTTTTTTTTTTTTTAGTTTAAATAAAAAGTAATAAAAAATAATATAAATGCTATGTAAAAATAATATTTTAAGCATTTAATAATTAGCCTATAAAAAGTCATAATGGATTGAAAATATTCACGAACTTACTAGAACTTTAAACACTAAACCAGAATTAGAGGTAGAATTTCCATCACCAGTTGAAAACATTGAAAAGAGTGCATCAAGAATGTCTTGAAGAAACTAAATGGAGAAAAAATATATAAATTAAAAAATATCTGTAAATTTAGAAGAAGAAAAAAGAATAAATATGAAAAGTAAATTTTAATAAATATTAACAGGCATAAATTATGTAATAACAATATTAAAATAGTTTAAATATTATTTCATTTGTCTTGTCTTATTCTAACAAGTATGGTAGACGTTATATAGCATCAAAAAAATAAATAAATAAATTTAAAAAAAAAATAATCTTATTGGGCTCAGTTATTAGGAGAAGCTGGATAAATTTTAAATAAAATGTGAAAAAAAAATTTCTTCTTGACAAAAGCGTAAAAGCAAAATATATAAAATAAAACTGGGAATATTGATATGAGTAATAATTATTTAAGTTAAACAGTGGTACAATAAATTTAATTCTAGCAAATGGTTAATTGAAATTAGCATCCACACTTATGCACCATCTTTTTAGTTATGGAAAAAAGTTGTTTATGTGCCTGCCTGTTTATACATGCTAATAGTAGCTTTAACAGATTCGAAATTTAATAAGAACGTAAGTACAAACCCATGCGCGTGCACCTTGAAATCTATTTTTTAATGAAAATTGTTGTGTAAAACTTATACCTTAATTTTTATAAAAAAGTCTTAAGCCTAATTTTTATTTAAAAGCATTCAGCTTAGTTCCATTTGTTGAAACAATTCAATTCAGGGGAAATAAGTGCTTTTGGTAAACTTAATAGAAACTATGCAAATATAACTTCATTTGTTTGGTTTTGTACAAATTATTCAACAAATAAATTAATGGAACTGAGACAAGCTTCAACCTGCAATTTTAATGTTATTATTTAATAAATAATAATGTGGTTAACATTAAGTTAGTTTTAAAAAAATTTAAGAAATGTTTTTTTTAGTACACACAGATAATAGGGTTAAGACCAATAAAAAATAAACAAATAAAAGAAATTACATACACACCTTAACAGTTTCTTCACCATTTAATTTCATAACTTTGTGAAGCGTATCTTGAATTCGCTCTGGATGAGCCTTCCATTTTAATAAAGATAAAAGATCACCTGTAGGTCGATTAAAAAAATAAATGTAGTTTAATAAGATATATAGCAAAGCCTCTTCAATGGTTTACTTTAACGAAACTTAATTTCACATAGAGAAATGAATTAACTTTATTGCTATTCCTCAACTTCATTTGGATAAAATGTAAGGAACTTTTTTATATTAATGAAATTGAATGTAATAAAAAAAAGGTATCAATTAACCCACTGATGGTTTTGATATTTTTATCGTTATAGCTACCAAATATACTACTGTATAGAACTGTGATTCAAACTTATCCCCACCCTTCTAATCAAAAAATTGTGGCATGAAAGGTAATTTTTCTTCTTATTAATAGTTTAGTTTAGATAGGTGGGTGTTTTGGAGGTTTTTTATAAGTTTCGGATCATTTATAAATAGAGAATGAAGTGTAGGTTTTCTTTGCATAACAATTTGGGAGGGGTAGGAGGCAAAAGACTATGTGCAGACCTGCTGGTGAATAAAAAAAAAATATTTCGACTACAGATATAGATTAGGACATATATAGATCAGATATACAGAGTCATAATAATAAGTTGCTTATTCAAATAAAGATTATCAGCATGAACTAACCATTTTGAGTGAGTTTAGTGGAACAAAGGAGGGTCTTTATATGCACAGTTTCACGTGAACTACGGGAAAAAAACTGTCCAGTGGTTGGATTTGGGAATGGAGGTGGTGACGGAGGCACAGGAGCGTTGCTACTGATGCTATTTGGTGTTGTTCCTCCACCATCTTTGGGACCACTAGGAAGACTAAGATAAACTCTGGGATCTTGTAGTTTAGGACCATCTTCACACTAGAATATTTTAGAGTGGTAACTTTTTAAATATCACTAAATTATGTATAACACAAGAGTGCAAAAAAATTGCACTATTAGAAAATAATTATAATATGGCTCATAAATAATTATTCTAAACTGGCAAGAATTCGTAAATTTCTCCTTAGCAGTAAATTTTTAAAAAAAATAAATGTTAGAAAAAATCTAAAATATTTGGAAAATTAAGTTTAACTTAACATAACAGCATACCAACAACAAACTTAACAAAATTATCACACCAGATTACATTTTTTACTTTTTGAGTAACAAAAGAATTACCATTAAATGATAATTTTCATTAGAATCCTAAATCTAATCAAATAAAGGAAAGTATACAAGGAAAGAATATTTAAGTTTTCATACACTTAAAAAGACAAAAAAAAAAAAANAAAAAAAAAAAAAAAAAAAAAAAAAAAAAAAAAAAAAAAAAAAAAAAAAAAAAAAAAACTCTTACTTTATATACATAAAGCTCATGACTGCCATTTTTTAATATAGTTCCTTTATCATCCATCAATAGTATAAAAGAAAATCCTAGTAGTTTCTTATCTTTATCCCGAGCTACAATAAAAATAATTATTTTCACTTTTCACCTCATTTAACAATTATTCAATTTTATCCAATAAGGTAATATCTATTTCAAATGAAATAAAAAGAAAAAAGTTACAACAAGAAAAATGTATCACAAGAAATTTTTCATTAGAAACTAAGAAAGAAACTCAAACAACAACTAAAAGAAATTGTATTTGTGCAAGGAAAAATAATTGGAAATAAGCAGCTTATTCAAAGTTAATAAGTTTTCAGCTGAAAATTCTTTAAATGTTACATAATTATGAATAATGATATAAAAACTTAGTTCTCACAATTAACATTTATAAACTAATTATCAAAGAACCAAAAAGAATTTCAATTTATAATGATGTTCTTACTTGAACAATGGCGATATTCAATTCTCACATGAGCACCATCAAACCTTTCAATTGGAACAGCAAGCTAAGAATACATGCACAATAACATTAAACAAGAAATACTGAGCAACCTAAAATTTAACAATAGTTACCTAACAATTTAATAGTATTTAAAAGGAATAAAAAAATTATGTAAGTTAATTATGTAATAATTTCTTGAAATTAGGTGTATGTTTCAAAAATTTAATTCAAGGATATATTATTTTTCTTCCCCCCCCCCCCAAATTTAAAGGTCTATTAAAAAAAGAACTACAAAAAATTTTCTTATGTTTGCGTAAAATTAACAACACATGTGCAGACAAGTAATTCTTTTTTGAGAGCTAAATTCATATCAATGATACGTAAAACTAACAGAAGCTTGTGTATTTTAAGATATTATCAAAATATTGTAGTAGGAAATGTTAGTTTATAAATTTAAATCATACTTACTTTAATCATTTCAGACCAACGAGGAGTGTTGTTGTGATATAAAACTACCGAATGATACTTTGAAACATTTTCATGACCAGAACCTGGATTTATACACCTCTAAAATACAAATCATAAAAAACATTAAACATATTATTCGTAGTTTTTTTTAAGTTAAAATATTCAAAATAGTTAAAATTGCTTTTAATAAAAGGAATGAAATAGTTTTGAAATTTCAAATTTTTTTTGTAAAAAAATTCCACTTTTTGAGAAACATAACAAAAAGTTGTAGCTTACTATTCAACAGTTAATTTTTTCTTAAAAACAAATAATTAGGTTTAAAATCCTAAAAATAAAAATTTTTACAAAAACACATAGTGAAACAAAACATCTTTTAATTAAATGAATAATTTAAAAGCTACTAAATGTAGAAATTGCCTTAAAAAAATACAAAATTTCTATCATAATCCTCAAGCTTAGCAAATATATAACTGAAAAGAGACAAGTGAGAATTTTTTTTGAATTTATTTGAAAGTTATTGAATTTTTTGAAGCATTTTTTCTTAATGAATTTTAAATTATTTTATTAAATATACATTCATAAATGACTAAGCTAGTATTTAAGTATGAAGCACCATTTTGTCTTAAATATTTTTCGTAAAAAAATATTTAAGAAATCTGAATAACAAGAGAATCAAACTTTCAATTATGACAAAAGTCTAATTTATCTGTAGATAAATTATGACTTTCACAAACTTATTCTCAAGAAATTTACTAATTCATGTCTGCTGAGTAAATTGATTTTATTTTTTCATGTGCCTATTTTTTCTATTTGTTTTAGATTATTTGCATGAATTAAATATACCAAAAATAAAAGCCACCAAGGTAAAAATAAAATAAAATAAAGCTTAGTGATTGTTGCTAAACTCCATCTGATACCCAGCTAACAGATTAGTTTTTTTTTTTTTTTACATTTGATTTTATTATTTAAATTATCCTCTGCTATAACTAATTAGCATATTTTAGGTGAGTACCCTCAAACAATGAAGAGTGTAACTTAGTTTCACTCCTTTTGTAAAACAAATGACATACCTCTAAAATAAGCCCTTCAGCATTTACCAAGAAAACTGTGGCTTCAATATTTTTTCCAGTGGATTTTCCTCCTTTCTCGAAATCTCCTTTCTCCAACGTCAAATACAAGTCATTCCTCACATCACCTATAAAGGGTGTTTCGTTTTAATATCTCAAAATATATATATATATATATTAAGCAAGGAAAAAAATATAAAATAAACTTTTAACATAATAGTAAGCTTATACAATTTGTTTAATCTTGATATTTTTTCATAAAAAATTATATTTTCTTTTTAATAATCAAGTTTGTTTGCTTTTAATTTGTTTTTAGAGCAACAATAAGAATTTAAAATCAGGGTTAACTTTAAGTTTAATAAAAGGATTAATTATTTCGAATTTGTAAAGATTCAGAAAAATTTTCTGTGCTATAGTGTAAGGCTAAAAGCAATCAAGTGGAAGCTAATATCATGGTAAAAATTAAGCTCATTAAAGCAACTAAATAACTAAGAGGAAAAATATTTATATCCAGTTCAAGATTTATTCAATAAATATCTCTAGGATGGTTTGGGGGGTATAGCGCTCGCCTCAGGTGCCCCGGATTTGAATCCCAGAAATGACTGGTTGATACAAATTCCAATCTCGGCTCGCACTGACCACAGTGCTGATGCAAAATATTCTCAGTGGTAGACGGATCATGGGTTAGAGTCCTCTTGCCATCATGTTAACAGTGGGAGGTTTTTGTGGTTTTCCTCTCTATGTAATGCAAATGCGGGTTAGTTCCATCAAAAAGTACACTAAGGAGAAAAATTTCTCATAATACTGGATCAAGATGTTTTCCTGTCTTCTAGATTGGCTCAAAATTACGAGGCTATGTAGCTGAATATTAGAATTGTAAACTCAAAATTCAGTTCAGCTGTTCAACTAATAGTGATAAAATAATATAGAATAAATATCTCTAAGATGTATCACTCTAGATAAAACTTTTTTCAAATTATTATTGGAATAACTTGGCTAACTCAAGCATACATGTAACGAAATTTGTACTTGCAAATAAAGGATAGTTAAAAAATCTATCAAATTCATGCCTTTTTTTTAACTTAATTATAAATTTACATAATACTACTAAAGAAAAATGAAAAAAAATCTATAGTTAGAGCTTTTAAATATCAAAACAATTTATCCCAAATATATAATCTAATCAGAATATCAAACCAGATTACCTTGCATTCAAAAAAAGGTAAAGGAATAGGGGTTTAAAATTTAGGTAAAAAGTTTAAGCTTTCATAAACAAAATAATTAAATATTTTCTACCTTTTTATTAAATATGTTTTTGCTCTTTGTAAATATATTTTAGAAAAAAAAAATTGCATAAGAGCCCTTCACATAAAAATTTTCCACAATTTAAGTCCTTGCAACTTCTTTATCGAAGCACTGCTAGCAGGCTGCACCTACTTGATTAATTGTTTTAGGTGGCAGATTTCAAAAAGGAGAGAGATGATTCCTTATTGCTTCTGAATGAGGATAAAAAAGAAAAATTATTTTTCTCTTGATCTCTATTTTACTCAGCAATTTCATTTACTTTAAAAAAAAACATAAACAAAACGTCAATAAAAACATACAAAATGTCAAATCATCAGGAATCGTACAAATATTCCTCTGTAGAAATATGTGTAAGTATTTTGATTACTATAGACTATGAAATAATTTAACAAGATTACTGCATGAGCTATATTTTAACAAATTTGATGATTTTTTTTAATTGATGATACATTATGCTATCTAAAATTCTAAAATGAAAAACAATTAGAGATATAAAAAATATTTACAAAATAGGTAAAAGAAATAAGAATTAACTGTCACCGACTTTCACTGACTGTTGCAAAACGAAATCTGATTGAAGAACTGGTAAAACGAAGAATTTGAACATATCTTCATTTAAAATATTGCATTTAAAATCCCACTATTGTTTTTGTGCAGTTTTTAAAACTAACTGATGATAAGATTGGATTAGGTGATTGGTGTAATATCATGATTGATATATCAAAAATTTTAACAAAATGCAGTTTAAAAAATATTATAAAGAAAAAACTGCTTACACTTTTTTAGAAAATGCAATTTTAAAAGAGAGGAAATTGATTTGAGAAATAATGTGACTATCATTTACAGTACAGATAAATCTATATCCATGCCTATTTTGAAGTCTACAAAATGTTTAGTGCTACTGTACCTCATTCATTACATTAATTCAAATTTAATTTGATAAACAATTTTAATAACAATATCTTGTAAAGTAATAGATGTTCTAGGAATATTTTACCAAATTTATAGCACAAAGAATTTTTTATCCCAATTGTATGTCATAAAATAATAAATATTCTAAATAAATGTAACTGTTTTTCAGTTTTCCCCAATTCAAATTTGTAGCAATCAATTTTTACACCTTACAAAAAGTTTATTAACACTTAAAAAAACACATCAAAGATCTCAATAAAATTCCTCTCCAATAAGTCTACACTATAGCCTAAAATAAAAATTTCGAAGTCTAATAGTTTCCTGAAATATTCTAAAAAAAAGCTATTTAGTTAAAATGAAAAAATACAAAACTTAATATCTGGTTCCCTCTTAAGAAACTTGAATTAATGTAAGAATTTATTTAAAATCTTTTACAGCATATTCACAGTTTATGAATATAATTAGGAGTACCAAATATTTCAAAGTACATATGTATAAATAATTTGGAATATAGAAAATATGAAATATATCTGCAAGTACAAACAATTATGTAAGGAGTACATTTTAAAAGAAACTAAAGAAAAATCATACCAGGCATAATTACATCTGAAAAGCCCAACTTGTGCGTGATTGTTAAATTTTTAAATAGCAATGGTGTTTCTTGTTGTAACTGTGAGATCTCACCATTAAAAAGCCTTAAAGATAAAACTAATCCTAAAAGAAAGAAAAAATTGCAAGACACATTTAGAATAGCAGTCACAATGTAATAATAATTGTACTATTACATTAAATTTCCCAATGTAAAATTGATAGTAAAAAGAGGTAGACATCAATAGTTATCAAGCACTTAACAGCAAATAAAGGAACATAATTTTTTTTATTAATTTAAATCAGTTTTCATAGATCAGAAAAAAATAATTGTACTATTAAATTAAATTTCCCAATGTAAAATTGATAGTAAAAAGAGGTAGACATCAATAGTTATCAAGCACTTAACAGCAAATAAAGGAACATAATTTTTTTTTAGTAATTTAAATCAGTTTTCATAGATCAGAAAAAAATTTAAGCTAAAAAGTTAATTTAAAATATACATACACATTATCAAAGCTAAAGAATCAAGAACATAAGTGTTAATGGGAAAACACACAAACAATGAATTTCTGGACACAAAAAATAATTATCTATAAAAATATGTATTTTTAGTTTTTCAGAAGTTTTCAAAATTACTAAATAATTAATAGAGCTAGAATAATTCCAATACCTTTTATGTTTATTATTTATTGCACTTCACATTGACTTTACGTTATTAGATTTAGTAAAACACGTTTTTAGTAACTCATCCCATAAAAATAAAAATTAACAGTTTTCAGTATCAACTGGCATAATGCTGTTGTTCAAGGCAAACTTATATTTTAAATTTATCAATCAAGCAATTTTCTCCTGTATTTTTATCTTTAAGGGACTGTAATAAACCTATTTCCACAGTATTTATAATAAAAATGCACAGTAATTAAGCAGTTTTAACAGGCATCAAATTTACTCATAAAATACTTTGTTCCTATATTAATACATCTGGGACCTATTAAAACAGCGCCAATTACCATAATACAAGTAGTTCAAAATACTAAAAATAATTAAGTATTATTGGCATCAGTATGGCAATTTTTATGCCTCTTCTAAACAAATTAGTACAATTTATTTATTAATTAACATTCATTACCATATTTGAGCATCATTGGCATCAAAAATGGTATGACAATGTTTTACTTTTCTCCTAAACTAATTGGTAGCATTGCTTCAATATTAATAGACAAGATTCATATATGTGGAGCCTCATTAACATGGGATAATGTTCGTTAAACAGTCAATAATTCTAGTTTTCTCAATTAATGAATTACTTTGAATTGAGCATAAAAACATACCACAAAATTCTTCAAATTATAATTAAAAAAGCTTAAAATTATTGTTTAAAATTATACCTAATTAAACAAAAAACTGCTTTATTGTTCAAAATTATAGTTAATCAAACATAAAACCATGCTATTTTTCAGAACTATTACAAAATAAGCATGTTTCCATATTGTAGGTAACTATATATTATGCTTAGTTTGGCAGATACATAAAAAAATTAGGTTATGAGAATTCATAAAAAGAAAGGATAATTGACAAGTAACGAACATGCTTCTAAATGCCTTGTCAAGGATTGATTTTAAGTATACTGATTATAAGTATACTGAGTAAAAGTAACACTTACCATAGTTTTGTTGCCCTGAGACTACATTAAATTTATTGCTGAGTTTTTTTATGATAAATTCGTGCAACTGACTGAAGTCGCTTTCATTGCACCTGTAAAATTCAAATGAGAACTTAAAAAACCCATTAATGTAACGAAAAAGAAATAAATTTGCATCCGAAGACAAGTATATTCTAACATAATACATATTTCAAGTAAAATAATATATAAATATAATAATAGTAAATAATTATAAGAAATAAATTTAACATAACTAGTTGGCATCTTTCGGAAAGTAAGAATTTAAAAATATATATTCTTACGTATATACTTTGGTTGTAAATTCCTTTTCTTCCTCATTTTCACTCTTCGCTGATAAAATATCAGTAATATTCAAAACTAAAATTCGAAATTGTAACATTATGTGAAGAAAACATTTAATACACATCAAATATATAAAATCTGAAGCAAACTATTCTATAATAATAATAGGTAATGAATATAATGGGCCCATAAAGTGAACTATGACAACATGTAAATAAAGGAAATGTAAATAGAAGTAAATAAAATAAAGTAATAAATTACCTGAACAGCCATAAGGCCTCCTATAAGAATGAACAGCAGATTTTCTTGAATCATTCAACATTCGGCCTGGAGTTTTGAACATCATATATTAATTATATTATATTATATATTACTACATTATATATTAATTATATTATATATTACTACATTATATATTAATTATATTAATATACTACAATAGAGGGTTGTAAATATACAAATAAACTTTTATTAATTCTAGAGTAGCTCTTTGATTATTTCTAGAGTTTTATTAACTTTTACTACATGAGCTACTGCGTTTCTTTAAAATTTCTTACCACCTTTTGCTTTTTCGAAGGAATAACAGGCTTTTTACCCTTATTATTGATCAAGAAAGTAGTTGAAAAGAAATTTTTATAAAAACCTGCTTATATGTGAAAAGGGGCGAAACGCATTTTTAGGTATAGAAAAATATGATATCACTGCAAACTGCATGTATGCGAGATACTATCTCTCAAAAAATTAGATAGAATATGATTCAGGCTAATAAACTACAAATAGTTTATTAAAAAAAGGTATATTTTATATCAAGCAATTTTTTTTCAGCAAAAAAGAATTATACCCTTTTTTAAAAAAATAAATTATAAAAGAAAAAAAAACATACACCTGAGACAAAGCACAAAATAGACTTATAATTTTTTAATTTTTTTTATCATTTAACAAACACAACCTAAATTTAGATTGCTATGCAAAGATTTGGCATTGGAAAATTTCTTTAATTGTGAAAACAAAAAATTACCTAAAATTTATTTAATTTTTTTTTTTTTAATTTCAGAGTTATCTATAAAAGCTTGTCTTGTAATTACAAAAAATTTTGTTGTTTGTTTGAGAATTATGGCTGAAGCTGTGTTACTTATGTACTGCATTACAGATTACTTTTAGTTTCAGCAACAAAACAAAAAAAAGAGTAATTAAATACAAAACTCTTTAATGGCCATTTGACTCTACATCCTTTTAACTAAACAAACCAGTTCCCCTTATGTTCTTCAGAAATTTGTCAATGAGTGGTAGATTTTAAATGGTTAAAAAAATTCTATATGTTGATCTCACTAAATGATTTTAAAACAAGCTTTTTCTTGTTACTATCAATTGTCCATTAAACGAATTTTTATAATTAAACACGAAGTTTTTACAATTAAAAAACTTAAAAAATTAAACAGATAAAAAAAATTAAAAAACAAAAATATAATTACCGCTCCTTATAATGTGACACACAAGATACACTTCCCTATTTAAATCTGCAACACCTAAATCCTGTAAAATGAAGAAATATTAGTGAAAAATAAGAAAAAAAATTTTTTTAAAGAAATTATGAATAATTTATGAGTAAAGAAAAATTTATTTTACCGTGAATATTGTACAAGAATTATTAAGCTTTTCAACAAAATGAGACATTCCAAATTTCGCAACCCTAACAAGAAATCTTTCACTAGAAAAGAAAAAATTAGCATAATAAATAACAAGCAAGCATTTTACTAAAAAACATACAATTATTATTTTTTCTGATGCCCACCCGATTGACACTCGTCACTCAGGTATCTGTAAGGCAAATTTGTAGGCCACTCTTTCAGGGGCACCAAATTAGGTGGGGCAATGTTGCTCCCACAGTAAGGACAGAGAGTACAGAGAATGAAAGAACACCCCTTTCTTGCCTGGAAATCGAACCCAGGACCTTTTTGATGCGAGGTCAGCTACCTGACCACTACACAGTCTGATCAGCAAAACATATAATTACAAGAAAAATAAATAAGAATATATATATATATATCTTTACGGGCAGCACTGCTTTAGGATTGAGTTATACCTTAATACAGTGAAAAATCCCATATCCGGAATCATCGGGACTTTGGCAAATCCAGAAAATAGATTTTTCTGGATAATGGGTCTTTAAGGTATTGACAAATATCAAAACATCCTAATTCAATAAAAAAAAATAAGAAATAGACGATGTTTAACGTCAACAAAAATAATAGACGATGTTTAACGATGCAACGTTTTAAAAAAAACGAACAAATAATTCCACATAATCTGCATAGTTGCGCTATTTCAAAAGATTTTGTTACAGATTTCCACATGGCTTTTAAAATATGAATGCAAATTCCAAATCACGCATTTCAGTTAGTAATAATTTCTCAATCTACTTCATTAGCGACGATTCCATAGTGAATCTGTGTGTTCGGCAGATCGTTTTTTTCGGTAGCTATAAAAAAGGATGTTCACTTCATTTTTACAATCTCAATGTTTTAATATATTATTTTAAGCAGCAAACTTTGAATCGCCCATTTTTGCACAGAATTATTGATGACTCACCGGAAATCTCATGTGGATTTACGACTGCCTTGTTGCCAATTATTATTACCGACTTTCATAATTTTTTAATGCTACATTATCATACGTAGGAAGCTTCTATTTATGCATTTGTAGAATTACTTTTTGATCATTCAATTTGTGATCATTTAATTGACCATGTGGTTTTGCCGATCACCACTTCAACGGTTCAGGATTTCCACATAGTTTTTAAAATATAGATTTCATTTTTAATAGAAAATTATTATGATCCGCAAATTTTGAATCATCAGGGGTGATTGTGAGCCCAAGTCAAAATTCCGGAAAATTTTTTTAAAAAATTTTTTTAAAAAAAGACAGTTTAAATTGAAAAATTAGAAAAAATTTAAACAAGGTTTTTTTTTCCCTTTTTCTCAATATTTCTTAGTTTACTTAAAATATATTTAAAATTACACATACNATTTAGAAGATTTGTAATTAATAAGCATGAATTAAATAATCCGACAATATTTTGAAAGTTCAAAACCGAAACTAACGGTAAGGCAAACTTCCGATATCGTGATTATCCGATTCGGGTTATCGTGAATTCACTGTATAAATAAACTTTCATTAATTCTAGAGTAGCTCTTTGATTATTCCTAGAGTTTTTTTAACTTTTACTACACAAGCTTTTGTGTTTCTTTGAAATTTCTTACCACCTTTGGCTTTTTCCAAAGAATAACATGCTTTTTACCCTTATTATTGATTGAGAAAGTTGTTGGAAAGAAATTTCTATACAAACTTGCTTAAATGCGAAAAGGGTCGAAATGCATTTTTAGGCATAGAAATCATGATATCACTGTAAACTGCATATATAAAGCACATATGCGAGATACTATCTCTCAAAAAATTAGATAGAATATGATTCAGGCTAATAAACTACAAATAGTTTATTAAAAAAAGGTATATTTTATATCAAGCAATTTTTTTTCAGCAAAAAAGAATTATACCCTTTTTAAAAAAAATAAACTATAAAAGAAAAAAAAACATACGTCTGAGACAAAGCACAAAATAGACTTAAAATTTTGTAATTTTTTTATCATTAAACAAACACAACCTAAATTTAGATTGCTATGCAAAGATCTGGCATTGGAAAACTTCTTCAATTATGAAAACAAAAAATTACTTAAAATTTATTTAAACACATTTCTTTATTCCAGAGATATCTATAAAAGCTTGTCTTATAATTACAAAATTTTTTGTTTGTTTGAGAATTACCCATGAAGTATGTAACTGCATTACAGATTACTTTTATTTTCAGCAACAAAAAAAAAGCAATTAAATACAAAACCCTTTCCTACACACTCACATCCTTTTAACTAAACAAACCAGTTTCTATCACTATTCCCTTATGTTTTTCAGAAATTTGTCAATGAGTGGTAGATTTTAAATGGTTAAAAAAATTCTATACACGGATTTTAACAAATGATTTTAAAACAAGCTTTTTCTTGTTACTATCAATTGTCAATTAAGCAAATTTTTACAATTAAAAAACTTAAAAAACTAAAATAATTTTTAAAAAAATTTATTTACCGCTCCTAATAATGTGACACACAAGATACACTTCCCTATTTAAATCTGCAACACCTAAATCCTGTAAAATTAAGAAATATTAGAGAAAAATAAGAAAAACAATTTTTTAAAAGAAATTATGAATAATTTATGAGTAAAGAAAAATTTATTTTACCGTGAATATTGTACAAGAATTATTAAGCTTTTCAACAAAATGAGACATTCCAAATTTTGCAACCCTAACAAGAAATCTTTCACTACAAAAGAAAAAATTAGTATAATAAATAACAAGCAAGCATTATACTAAAAAACATACAATTATTGTTTTCTCTGATGCCCATCCGATTGACACTCGTCATTCAGGTATCAGTAAGGCAAATTTGTAGGCCACTCTTTCAGGGGCACCAAATAAGGTGGGGCAATGTTGCTCCCACAGTAAGGACAGAGAGTACAGAGAATAAAAGAACACCCCTGTCTTGCCTGGAAATCGAACCCAGGACCTTTTTGATGCGAGGTCAGCTACCTAACCACTACACAGTCTGGTCAGCAAAACATATAATTACAAGAAATATAAATAAGAATATACATATATATATCTTTATGGGCAGCACTGCTTTAGGATTGAGTTATACTGTAATACAGTGGAAAGTCCCATATCCGGAATCGTCGGAGCTTTGGTAAATCCAGAAAAAAGATTTTTCTGGATAACAGGTCTTTAAGGTATTGACAAATATCAAAACATCCAAATTCAATAAAAAAATAAGAAATAGACGATGCTAAATGTCAATTTAAAAAAACGAACAAATAATTCCACATAATCTGCGTAGTTGCGCTATTTCAAAAGATTTTGTTACAGATTTCCACATGGTTTTTAAAATATGAATGCAAATTCTGAATCACGCATTTCAGTTAGTAATAATTTCTCAATCTACTTGATTAGCGACGATTCCACAGTGAATCTGTGTGTTCGGCAGATCGTTTTTCTCGGTAGCTATAAAAAAGGATTTTCACTTCATTTTTACAATCTCAATGTTTTAATATATTATTTTAAGCAGCAAACTATGAATCGCTCATTTTTGCACTCAATTATTGATGACTCACCGGAAATCTCATGCTAATTTACGACCGCCTTTTTGCCAATTATTGCTACCGACTTTTATTATTTTTTAATGTTACATTATCATGTAGGAAACTTCTATTTATGCATTTGTAGAATTACTTTTTGATCATTCAATTTGTGATCATTTTATTGTCCATGTGGTTTTGCCGATCACCTCTTCAACGGTTCAGGATTTTCACATAATTTTTAAAATATAGATTTCATTTTTAATAGAAAATTATTATGACCCACAAATTTTGAATCATGCTCTTGAATAATCAATTAACGATCCGCTTTAGTCGTGACAATTTCACCTCAAATTCGCAATTTTTTTTAAATGATAAATTGTGTGCACTCTGAAATTAATTGTGTGATTCTTGGCAATAGTAATCCTTTTATAGGAGACGTGATTTTTTTCGCACTGTAGTGAAATTGCCGAATTTTGTTTCTGGGATATCCAATTGTTTTTTTTATTTTATATTGTAGCAGAAATCGGATTAAAATTGAAAAAAAATCGGAAGTTGGAAAAAAATAAAAAATAAGCGGAAAAACGGAGCATTCTCATTCATGCATACTTTTTTGAACAAATCATAAAAAAAGAAATAGATAATTCTTTCTTTGATAAGGGAAAAAGACTTCTCTTAAAAAAAAAAGAAAAGAGTTGATTGTTGAAGCGTCTGGTAAACGAACGTTCAGATATGGCACTTTGCACTGTATAATTATATTGCAAAATCATTTATGAATATATATTAAAAGATGCTTTTAAAAAAGAGAGAAGAAAATCACCTAATTGTCTCAGTTTGCTGAGCATCATATAGAGAAAAAAACAGTTCCATGTCTTCTCCAAGACTGCAACTAAAATCTCTCATACATAGTGATAGATGATAATTGGGAGACTTTTTTGACTCCTTCCTTTTTGTTGTACCACGTCCCTACAAAAAATTAAGCAAATTATATTATAATCAGTGCTCTCCCTAAATGATTTATGAAGGGTGGCCCTGCATGCCTCCCTATTGATCCATTAACCCCCTCCCCTTTGCCCTTTTAGTAAAAATAGGCCACCATTTCTTTAAAAACAACCTTTTAATTTTTTTCTTCTTCAGGAAAAGGTTTTCTTAACCATCTATTTAAATGAAAAGTATACTTCCATTTCAGATGATCATAATGATTATTATTTATCATTATTACCAGATAACTGATTATTATTTAACTCTATTTTTCAATTTCATTTCATTTTAGTAAGATTTTTATGTTGTCTAGTTAAATAGTTAAAATTTGCATGATATTCGGAATCAGAGATATTCACATCTTTTATTGGGGGGTATATTAATAAACTTTTCAGTGATTTCAAAATTAACTAAAATATAAAAAAAAAGCTTTAAAGTAGTTCATCACTTAACCCTTTTACTTTTAGTTTAATTTTTTTGAAGAAAATCTATATACCAAGGCTGTTTCTTAACTTGTGTTTAATTATTTTTCAGAAGCTTCAAATTTCTATTATTTTGATCATGAATAAGAATAATATTGTGAAGTATACACATAAAATAGTATAAGAGAGCAAGCTAAAAATTCGGATAAAATTCGGTTATTACATAATGCTATATATATTTGATAAATTTTAAGGGTGGTGAGTGACCTTTTGATATACAAAGTGAGAATATATTGTGAGAATATATACAAATACAAAGTAAGAATATATACACACATTAAAAGTAAACAATCTTAAAATCAAGCACATGAACGATCAAATAATTAAACAACTACAGAAAAATCTAAATAATGGCCTCGTATACAAAGAAACAAATGAATAGGAGCAAAAAATTCTAAATGAGTACTCTCAGCATCATGACCAATCAGGGTTTATAATCTAATGTAGTTTCTTAAAGTAGTACTCTTAGTAGTTTCTTATTAAAACCTTGACAATTAAATAAAAAAAATGAACGGAAAAGATTTAACGCTAATAGATACATTAAGATTTCAGGATAGAGATAAGCATTTCAAATTTGCAAATGATACTATAACTATCTGTTGCATGAATAAGATGTAATACTAAATTTGAAATTATTTCAAACAATCACACAAGCGTTATAAAGATGAAATGAAAATACTAAAAGTTTTTTATATACAAAAAATGATTGAAGCTGGGCCAAAAAGAAAAAATAAATTTCATTTTTCATTAAAAAAAAAAACAAAAAAAAACATATCTCTAAGCTGCTAAATAAAGCGTACAAATAATGCAGATTATTTGTACATTTTTATGTTGTATTTACAGAATGAAGATCATTAAACTGCTAAATTATTTAATCTATTATAAATCATAACATATCATATTTTTAAATTAACAAAAAAAGAAGACACTCACCAATCCAGCAACATTTTCTGCACTTCGAACATGCTAAAGAAAGATAAAGAAAAAAAATATGAATGAACTTTTTTGTTCAAGGAACATAACAAATACTTATACTAAATGCAATGGTTTCAGCATTACAGTTTTAAAACATCCTGCACAAGTTTTCCACAGATTGCTTTATAATTATTGTTCAAAAATTTACAAAATTGCCTAAATACTATAATTTTGAAACTATATAAAAAACTTCAAATGTCAAAATTAACACTTATTTTATCAAAAATATTTTTTCTAAATGAAACAAACTTTATAATAAGAAATCAATTAAAATCCCCCAATTTAAATTCTTTATATATTATAAATATAAATAACTGCAATTAAAAGAAAGAAAAATTATAATCAAATTTTTCAAATTAAATTATATTAAGATTTTTCCAATCTTAAAAAGCTTAAAAATTTTTCTTGTATATAAAATCAAGAGTTTTTAATTATGGCCATCAAATTTATACATACCACTTGATGTAATTCAATGGGGCTTAAAGAATCTGGATCTACAACTTCAGAATTAAGACGTGGTACAAGATCTAAGCCCAGCTGCCTATAGGAAAAGAAATGTTTCTATTAAGCATTCCAAACAGATTAATATTAGACTGCAAAATCATAATCATTTCATTTAAATATTCAGATAATAAGTAACCTCAATTTAATTTTTCCTTTACTTGTTAAAAAAAATGATAAAATAAAATTTCAGGTACTAACAAGCTACTTAGTTTAGGTGAATTGTTTCAAGAAAATCTCTATTAATAAGAGAAAACACATTTATCCAATGTTAATGTTAAGCTTTATAAAATTTTGTTTCATTTAATTTCTGTTGCAAACACTAGATTTCATACATGTTTCTCTATCTGTAGAGTCTAAATAATGCTGATTGACAAGGTATGCTCCAACCACAATTGAAATCAAAGATCTGGCTATCAAATTTGATGATAATTCAAAGAAATATTAATGAAAGTCAAATTAATTGTTTAAGAAAATAAGAATAATGTAAAATAAATCTTATGAACAACTCTTAATTATACTAAACCGATAAATAATACTGTCAAATAAAACTCAAACATATTAATTTAATTTGTGAAAAATAACTAAGTTTATAAAGCTATGAATCATAAACTATGAAAAACAGACAATATCTACAGTCCTACCTGTTACCCCAGTCTATTTTCCCAGTTATCTTTAACTTCAATTCTCGTATCTGATCTTGAGTCAAAGTTCCAGTAATTAACTGGCGTCTTTTCTCGATTAAGTCTCTCATAACTGTTAGAAGTCTCTGAAAGAGTGACACTTCTCTTCTCTATAAAGAAAAAAAAAAGAAGATATTAATGATTGAAGTTTATTCAAACAAGTTTCATAATTTAATGATATAATAATAAAATTTTATATTAATAAGATTGTAAACTTAAATATAAATGCAGCAAAATTTTTTTTATATTAATAAGATTTTAAACTTAAATATAAATACAGCAAAATTCTAACTGAATTTCAGAAATAAAACTAATGATCTATTATNAGATCTTCAAGTATTAAAAGACCCCTTTCTCATACCCTAGGTTTTTTCCTCTCCATGTAGATAGATGTTCCCAGGGAACATGTATCACTCACAGTTCTGCAAAGAAACAAGATCAGTAGGATGTATATTCACACTCACCCTAGAGTCACACTAGAATTCACAGGTTCAAACTAGATCTACTCTATATAATGAGAGAGACAAGATAGAGAGAGAGAGAGAGAGAGAGAGAGAGAGAGATAGATAGATATAAATTTTTTTTTATTTATAAATTTTTGAGAATCACATTAGCATTAAATAAAGATATCGTACAAAAAATCTATACACAAAACGCTATATATGAGATAGCACTATGAAAACACTTATAAGCACCTGTATATACATATCAATTGATAAAAATCCTTAAATCTTGAAAGAGAAAATAAAGAAATGTTACAAGTGTCAGCTGCATATGCTTACTCGTGCCTTAAACTTTTGAACAGAGACTTATGCTACAATAACTAACATTTTTTTTAATACTAAATTAAGTGATATATACCAATGCTGGAATATTATAACTTTTTTTCATCCTGAGCGTTACTTCTTATTAGAGGTCAACTGTCTCTAAAAGATTTCTGCATTTGACTCTATCCAGTGCTAATGCTATATATTAGCCCACTCATATCTGCTTCAGATCAGCAAGCAGGGTCAGCTTAAGAAATAGAGTGCTCAACTCTGAACTACATTACCCAAATTCAAATCCCGCGGCTGGTTGGTCTATTTGAATTTTACTTCTCGCTCACATCAGACATAGTTCTGACAAAATTTATCTCCATTGAGAGACCAATCATGGTTAGTCTTCTTGCTGCCGGACTAACAATGAGAGGTTTTCTTCCCTCTGTAACGCAAATGAAAGTGAAATCCACCAAAAAGTCGACCATGAAGGCTAGTTTCCCCCAATATTTAATCCAGAAATTGCACTCAAATTTAAAGCTATAGAATCGGACATTGTTATTAAATGTTAAAAAAGTTTTTTTTATTTTATTTTATCTTATCTAAATCATCATATCTAAACTATATGACCAAGCCATCCAATATGAGATGCTTTTACTATTTTAAGAACAGATTTGCCATCCTTTTTAATAAATATCAGGATCTAAAAAATTTTCAATGCAGCATTTATTTTTCAAAATTTTTCTTTCTGAGATCAAATCTTTGTTGTAGTAGTGATAATACAAACTTATACAAATATCATGTTAATAATTTTATCAATTATATAAAAACTAAATTCAATTCAAAATAAAATTATAAATAAAATGTTCAGTAAAATTGTAGTTCAAGTTTTTTAAATCAAACGTGAGAGAATTTTGAATAACTTATTAAGTACTTATGAATTTTTTATTAAATTCACCATTTTTAGCATTGAAACCTAATTAATACTGAACATTTTTAATATTCAGATAGATTTAAATAACATATTTTTCATGCATACATTATTCATAAATAACATTTAATATAATGTCCCTCAACAAATTTAGTGTAATTGCTAAGACTTACTACATATAGCCGCTTCCAAATTGAGTGCCATTCTCTTAAAACTGATGCAACTTCCCTAACTGTAGAATCTTCAACAGGAACTACTGTTTCATACAAACTAAATGATGAAGAAAGGGCACATTTTTATAAGAGCTGATACGGACACTTAAAAAAATTCCAATAATATATATACTTACCCTTCATTGTAAATATGGAAAGCTTTCAGGTGAATGTATGATGCAGGAAATATACCCTATATGCAAAAATACAATTTAGCAGTTACATTGTAAGATATTTAAAATGCAGTTAGTAATTATTTTTATTACTTAAAATAATAGAATTTATAAAACTATATAAATGGTTTGTCTAATAATAACTTATTACAAAATAATACAAGGTTGGAAAATACAATCTCTCAATAAAATGATAAGAAGTAATTAAGTCAAAGACAAATTATTGATTAGTAAAAGAACACTTTAAAAAAATATTTTTTTTTCAAAAAAAATATTTTTTTAAAAATCTTTTAAAAACCTTTCAATACAAACAGACACAGAGAAAATACATTTTGGCAAAAAGAAATTCAAGAATTTCTTATACATGAAGAAACATTTTACGCAATGCATTTCCTTCTGTCTGTTTTAGATTTAAGTTTTAAATGTTTAGCTTTGTTTACTTCATGTATTTCGTTCTTACACTTTTGATGATAAAACATTATTTCACAATGCAATAGTTTAAAAAAGATAAAAATAGAAGCTTTGCTTGTATTAAAAAAGGGAGAAAAAGCAAACAAAACTAAGAACTGTTTTAGATTTTTCTCAATTTGAATTAATAAAACTGTACAGATATAGTTTTCAATAAGTTTAAAATACTTTTCCTTTGACATTTAAGATATTATTTTAATTAATTTTATTTTTAAACATAAGAGCAAATAAACTTTTCACTTAGATACATCAAATTATAAATAAGAAAGAGCCTTTGACAACTTTGAACAAATCCAGTTGTGAATATCAATGGCTTATCTGATTTTATTTGAAATAAACTTGTCCAATCAAAAACAAATAAGATTAAGAAAACTTTATAACAAACTTACTTTTAAGCTTTTATTTCGAACAGAAAATCCTCTGAACCAACCTAAAATTTTTTTAAAAAATTAAAGCAAAATTATATACACAAAATTATATACCAATTAATCAATTATATATATATATATATATATATACGTATAATCTGACAACAAATTTGAATGTTCTTTATACAAGTTAGCCTAGGAGCAGAATTAATTTCAATGTGCTCAAACAAAATTTCAAATAACAAATGTTTTACAAACATCATTAAAAATAGACTAAAAATTATAGCAAGTTAAATTAGGAAAATTTTTTTTAATGATAAATAATCTTACTTCATAAACTAAAACTGCTAAGCAATTGAAACTATGTTTGCTAAATTTGATTATTGAACTTTAAATGTAACAATTTTAAAAAAAAGATTTAAAATATTTTTCAACAATGATTTTTAAAATTTATGATTTGATACAAAATCCATAAAAAGCACTCAATGCAACAAGTTCATTTTTTCAAAGAAAAGTCATTTATTAATTATTGTTTAAAATAAGCTGACATGAATAAAATATGATTGAAATAGTACAGTATTAAAAAAAAAATTTGCTTAATTGTAAAACAATGTGTTTCACTAAAAATGTTTAACTGTTTAAAAGGTTGAAAAACATCAGTCTAAACTAAAACTGGTAAATAAATATTTGTTGGAAACCCACACATCTCTAAAGATTCACATTTAGACAGTAAGAGTGTATGTTATGAAATAAAATACATCAGATGATAACAAAAAAAATCTATGAATTTTTTTTTAATTGTATAATTGAAAACTGCAATTACCTCCATATTCTTCTAAAATTTGCACAGTTTCTCCAATTTCAAGTGGCAACCCACATTTAGTATTTCCATCATAGTTGTAGATACCTTAAAAGTTATAATACCAGTTTAAGCAAATAGAACAGCATATAAGTGTCAAACTCATTTTAAAAATTCTTTTGTGAATTACATCACAACTTACAGCAAAAACAGCATTTAAAAAAAATTATTATTAAAAAAGCTAATAAATTTCATTTTTATTCATCAAAGAAACTGATGCATACAAAATGAACAAAAAAGACAAAATAAATTTTTAAAAAATGAACAGAAATTTAACATAATACTTAGAAAGAAAATCTAGCATTTACAAATTATTATAAAATATAATGAATAACAGAGAGTTAATTATTCATTGTATTTTTTATTCATTTTGCCTTTAATTTGTGCTAAATTTAAATATTTCGCGACAGTGCATTGATAAATTTTAAATTTTGAGATTTGATAAAGAAGTTTAGTGATTTTAATTTTGTCCCACGAAGCTCGAAATTTATAAGATTCATATCTTCTAAGATTGCAGTTATATCCCATAAATCAAAAGCTAAATCAAATCCATAAAAAAAAAAAATAATATTCAATTTAGAAAAGTATTTTTCCGTGCCACATTTTATAACTTTAATTAACAGCCATACAAATTCATTAGCATATTGCAAATTATAAATTTATTTGATTTTCACAGTCTCTTTCTGAGTAAAGAAAAATACATCTTCTAACAATTTAACACAACTCCATGTTAGAGCAAAGACATACACAACGGTGGGGAGAGGGACTACTGAGTGCCTAACCAAAATTTCTTATTGAAAAAAAAAACTTCTTTCATGAAAATTGCAGAAAATAAAGCTAATTAAGCATTGAGGGGAAAGTGCCTTCAATAAATTGTAACACATTTGTTCAGCCTTGTATAAGCATAGGCCCTAAATTTGGTATCTTTTAGTTTCTATAACCCACTACCTGAAAATATATGAACTTCTTGCTGGAAAAGAAATTACTAATGAGAATAATTATAAGAACAATTATTTACACGAATATTGTATCATTCATTTTCCTACGAACTTATTTACTTAGCTGACCTTGTTCAAAGATAGTTAAGGCATGAAAAACAATTAGTTATCAATTTGTAAAATAATAACTGAACAAAATTAAGAGAAGAATATGACTGGATCACTCTTATAATATTTCTATACTAAAAAAAAAATTAAGCTCGTATTCAAACACTAAGGAATAAATTGCAAAAAAAAGTCACTCGTCTAAAGAGAGTTTATTAGAAAGACATCTAAAACAAATAATTAAAAACTTATGTAATAATAACAGAACAAAACTAAAAAGAATGTGACTGGATGATAATTTCTATTCTGTTTTTATATTAAAAAACAAGATTACGCTCGTATCGTAACATCGAGGAAAAATTGGAAAAAAACGTCAACATTGGTAATTGTAAACAAGGAATTAGATGTATTGAAATTACAACACTTGTCATTGATTAAAGCTGTGACATTAAGTATTATGTATTCCTTCCAAATTACTTTAAGATAATAAAATATTGTCAGGTAGGAAAAAATGACAATCAAAGAAACAAAATGAAAATCAGACCAAATAAAATACAGCTTTAATATCAAGAATATACTTTGAAGGAAACAGATGCAATGTTTAAATTTATTAAATATAACTACTCTATTTGAGACTTTTTAATATGTACTAAACTTACAAACTCCTAATTTTTTGTTTTTAGTTGGGTTCCACATGATTTTAACCAATCATGCCTAAAAATTTTTGTAAACAACACTCCTACACGGTACAGAATTCAGAATACGCCATTATTCTTTATTTTTCACTCTGCTGTCGCCAAACGCCGGGTATTAATTCTAAAATAAAAGTATTTTGTTTTCTTTTTCTAAATATTTTATCAAAATAAAAATTTAGTTTTGAATGTGAAAAATATTTATCATTTGCGGATCAGGCATAGACCAAAAAGCTAGGGAGAGCTGAAATTTGGTTCTTCCATACAATGACCAATTTGGATCTAGTTCAGCCATGATGAAAACGAAACTGCAAACAATATGGCTAGCATTAGCATTCCTTATGACGAAATAAACTTTTTCCTTTTAATTATTTTCCATTTCCATTAGAATTTGATTTTGTCTGTATAACTTATTTTAAACAAATATTTTCCCTTGATATTACTTATGAAGTGTTTCATAATTTTTTACCTCAGCTTTATTACATTATAAAAATATTTTTTTCTTGTATAGCTCGATTGTTATAAACAGTGTTGTTTAAATGCAAATATTTAAATAAAAATGGAATCTGATGTTAGTAATGACAAGTCTGTGACTGAAGAATGTTATATTTGTGGTTTTGTGTGCAGTTCCAGACGTATGTTAGGACATATACGAAGTCATACGCACGTAGAGATTTTTGAATGTGAGATATGTGGAGATCGCTTTGCATCGAAAAAAACTTTGCAAAAACATTATATAACCCATAAGACACATTTTATTTGTGAACATTGCAATAAAAAATTTGTAGATCCTGAACGTTTGAGATCACATATATGTTTTAATCCTGAAGAAAACTATACTTGTGAAACTTGTGGTAAGGAGTTTGTTCATCAAAGCAGATGGATGAAACACATTGCTACCCATTCAAAAGATAAAGCATTTAAGTGTCAATATTGTTCTAAAGGATTCCGATATAAACGAAATCTCACAGCTCATATAGCCAAGCATCCTGTTGATGAGGATGGTAATATAAAAATTGAGTCAACTGAGCAAAAGATCTTCACCTGTGATGTATGCAAAAAAGAATTTCCTAATAAAAGAAATCTTGAACGGCATCATTTGTCTCATACTGATGAAAAGCCTTTTATATGTCAAGTATGCAACAGAGGTTTTACTCTAAAGCATAATATGGAAGTTCATGAGCGTCTTCATTATCTTAATGAAAGACCACATCAATGTCAAAAATGTGGGAAGTGTTTCAGCCGAAGATCAAATTTAAAAGTACATTGTGCTATGCATTTGCGTCATGAGTTAGGCTTGCCTGCACCCAAACAAAATAATGGAAAAGTTTTTCCTTGTGATATATGTCAAAAAAGTTTCATTTCTAAAAGAAACCTCATTCAACACCAAGTTACTCATACTAAAGAAAAACCCTATGTTTGCCAATTTTGTAACCAAAGATTTTCTTATGACTCTTGTTTAAAACGTCATTCTTATCTTCACACTGAAGGGGCATTTCGAAGAAGGCCTAAATATTCAAAAAATAGAATTGTTGTCATTGGCCCTGATGGTGAAATAGATACTAAGCCGTTTATTTGTCATGTGTGCCACGCTGCATTTAATGAAGAAATTGAATTAAAGGCCCACAGGAAAAGTTTTTGGCAAGTTCATAACTATAAGTGTTGCAAGTGCTTACAAGTTTATAAGTGTAAAAAAAAGCTTAAAGAGCATGAAAAAATCCATGACATTGGCTCTACTTCAAAACCAGTCGTTTGTGCTTTAAAAGTTGATGGTAGTAAAAGTACTGAGTCTGAAAGTGATACTATAGACACTGAAACTGAATGTGGAGAATCCAGTATGAACTCAGTTAGTTCTCTGAGAAATGAAACGAAAAATATTGAATATGAAAGTGACATAGTAGATATAGAAGAAGAAGAATCCTTTCTAAGTCTAGTTGTATGTGCTCCAAGTTTGGAAAATAAAAACATCGAATCTGAAAAGGATAGTAAAGGTGTTGAGATTGAAGATGAAGCCACGAGTTACACTAGCAGTGAGAATTATTTAAAAAGTATTTTAAATAGTTAATGTTTATTTTTAGCTTACATCAGATCGTAAGAAAAAATATATAAATAGTAATCTAATATGAATTGATATATCAACAATTTATTTAATTTTTATATTTATGAAATTATTGTTATCATGTATTGAACAACGATATTTCTTTTAATTGGTGACTTCGTAAATGTACTTCTTATTTTGAAGTGAATAGGATAACAATGAGATTGCTCCCCCTACAAATAGTTACAAAAATTAATTCTCAATCAAAGGGTTTAAATAGTCATATTAAGCTTTATTGTTAAATTTTTAATCCTCATGTGTGAAAATATGAATACAGTAGAATCTTAATCTATTTTATGGAACGTTCATAGTGATTGATAGATGCTCTTAAACAGTGACTGCAGAGCAACATTATAAATCAAATAATAACTTGAAAGTGTATAAAAAGCTATAAAGATGTAATAGTCTTGAAAATTTATAAATTTACAAACCATATAAAAAAAAAATCCATTTTAAAAAATTATTCATTTGATGGATAAATATTCGCAATGCATAAGGATCGCCTTTATTTATTTAAAATATTTAGAAATTTTGATTTTAACAGACTCTTTTTCTACTCAGAATCTACTACTATTTTTTCTACTACTAAATTTTTGACATCTGTAATAAATTGCTGTTCATCTTCTGTAAGTTTGCAAAGTTGAGTTACTGTTTTTCGTCGAAAAATAAAATAACTTCAATATTTTTTTATGAATGCCGGTCGAATTTCCGAATAATAGGTCCAGGAATCTGTTAGTTTCAAAAACTATCCAGATGATCATTATTAACATTATAAAAATAGCAATTGTGATGGAACTGTTGGAATAAGATGATACATATGGGAAAACAAAGATACAGGAACTATAGATTGAAGTTTGACTGTATTTTCAGATTGTTATATTTCTGAATGAACAACAAATTTATTGAATTTATATGTAGTTGTTTTTAAAATAATTTATTTTATTAGTTTAAATTATCTTCTAATCACCTCTTTTAAAAATTCTTAGCAAAATCAAAGCAATGTGTGACAATTAAAGCTTTTGATCAAATAATAGTTATATTCAATTTTGAATTACTTTCTTAAATAAGGTTCTAATCAAGGTTGATAAAAATCATTATTATTTTTTAATCTCGTGATGATTTAATGTAAAATAATAAAAAAATCCAGTTTTATTTTATTTAAATTGGATTTTCTTAAAAAAATTTGACTAATATTTTTTTATTTTATTCATTAGATTTAACTAATTTGAGATGTAATCAAGGGTGATTGTATTCCTGGTGTTTTCAAAAAATCAAATACTTATATTCCGACAAAATCCTCACGGAGCTCCACAAATCTAAAATTTAAATATTGAAATTTTCACAAAATCTCTATAATGTGACACTTCTCTTACCATTATTCCCTTTTTTTTCTTATAAAAAAAAACTATTCACCAGCAATATTTGTTTATTTATAAATTTTTTTTTGTATAGATTACTGAGAAAATAACTAAAAATGTAGCTAAGAAAATTTTTAAAATTGATAGTAGTTCCGAAATAGCATACTTTTAAAAAATTGTTTGCTTTAATAGTGGTTATATTTTTAATATTATTTAAACTTTGTATTTTAGGAAGTATAAATGTGATAAAAGTAGTTTTTGATCGCTGTATAACAACAGAATCTATGATGGAAGAGATATAATTATATATTACCACTTATATTAATGTATTATCTCTTAAAAATTTTGAATTACACATTTAAGTCATTTCCTTATAAATCCCAGTAGCACTTTGATAGCTTTTTTAATTATTGCTTTTGATATTTATATGGTTTCTAGTATACTGATATTTTTTATGGGATATTGTGGCATGTAAAATTCAAATCCTGCATTTAATGAAATTGATTCACTCTTAAGTTCACGTGTAGATACAAGCATTTTTACAACAATTATTGTTATTAATTTTCTGATGGTTTTTAATTTGCTAATATCAATATAAGATGAAAATTCAAATTATGCATTTGAGTAGCAATTTTTTGATGCACTTGATTTGACGGAATTCCATTTTTTAAATTTTTTTAGCAGTTGTTGCTAAGAATTTTTACATGCTTTTAAATTCCTAGTATTATAGTTTTTCATGATGATAAGATATCATTATGAAAACAAAATTCGAATAACTTCTTAACACCTCGTTTCTATGTTTACCCCCCCCCCTATTTTTTCTACTTCATTACAATTGACACCATTAATACGATATTTATTACAACACACAAATTTCACTTTACAGTAATTACTTTTTACACCTCTGATTCGCTTGGTATCGTGGAAAATGCACATGTTTTTGTTGCATTTTGACTGTTACTGCTACTCATTTTACAGTGTTTAAAATTCCATTTTCTTTAAAAATAAGATTACAATACACAAAATGCGAAAAAATCAAGGAATAAGTATTTTTTTTTTAAACTGTGAGATCACCACCTATAATATTGTCATACAAGTTATTTGAATATACATAAAACTGAATCTGTATAATGGAAATCTCTAAATAGATTATTAAGAAGCTACTTCTTTTGTATATATTTTGCATTAATAATTCTGCACATTACTTACATTAATCATATGACATGTATTATTTTTTCAAGAGTATTTACATCATCTTTTCGTGTGATAATTCAATAATATCTTAAAATATTCTGATGAATAAGCATCATTATTCCATTTCATTATTTTTTATTCAATTCAGATCACATGACTACTTATATTTAGTCTTTAAAAGAAAATAAATATCAATGAATAATTTACAAATATATATTGATTCCTTATTCTCTTGGTAAACCTCATATGTTTTATTATTATCAACCTAATAAGTGTTATTGAACTTAAAAAATCATAAATTTTTGATATCTTTTATACTGTTTAAAGTATTTTTTAACTGATATAAATTTAAAAAAAATCTGGTGAAGTCATTTTTAAAAATAAAAAAGTAAATTGAATGAGGTTAAATCATCTCAGTCATGAAAATAGAACTTTTTCATTAAACCTTATTTGTTTAATGCATTAATATTTCTGTGTCAGTACCTGTTTGCACCAATTACAATTGCCAAAGAGTAAAAAGAATTTTGTACTTTTAAAAATTTTTTAAAAAAGTATGCAATTATTTGCTTTGTATCTGCTACAAGTTATTCCTTTTGAATATGTCTCCTTCTCTGGTTTTTGTTTAATATTTCCTCAGCCACTGCCAGTTGTCTTCAAAATTTGGCGTTCCCCCCTTTATTTAGTAGATAATCTCATATGGAAATCTTCCTTTTCCTTGGACAGAGTTGTTACTTAAACTATAGCCTTTTTCTTTTTTTTAGGATGGAGTAGTGTTATCATGAAATAAATTTCACTCTCCTATTAACTTTTGCAGAGTGGAATTTAAAATAGAAGAGTGAAATTTAGAACAAAGATTTCATTGTAATTTGCTGCCATTTCATAACACTAGCATATTAAATATAAATTAAGCAAGCAATTTAAAATTGTTGATAGAATATACAACCAAATAACACTATCACACATAATTTCTATTTTTTTTTTACACTATTTACTTGATAATTTGACAAAGTTTTCTAAAAGACGAACTTAATTATAAAATATATTAAATTTAATTTTTTAAGCATTTTTTCCTTTCATAATTTTGCAGCCTGTTTGAACTTCATGTCGCAATCAACACCTTCAATTGTGACATGAAAAGAGAGTCCTTCACTCTATAATCTGAAAAAGACATCTAGATGTTTTATCCTTAAGCCAAGCCTGGTATAGTTGAACAGATTTTTTCGAATCCTTAGCTAAAATTACACAATTTCATGTCACGAGAATTTTAAATCGAAAATACATGTTTGTATTGTTCTTTTTTCACTATAATTTTAACACTATTTCTTTAAAAAAAATTTAATGTAAAAAAATTTACTATAGCCATCTTGTTGGTATCTGGCAAATATAAAGTAATGAAGATAAGCAATTTCAGAAAGGTAAGTAAGAAAGCAATTCCAGGTCTTGAATGATTTTGAATCCCTGATAAAGAAATCTTTTATTTACATGTCATTAGCCTAAGACAAAAAGTAAGTTGAATTTTAGCAGTGTGACAATGAGTAATTATGTAATTAAATAATATTTAAATTGTGTCACTTCTTGTATCTATTTTCGAGGATAAATATATAAGTTTTTAAATTTTTTTAGTAGAAATTGTCACTTATGAATAATCTTGCTTAGAGATAGAGAAATTTGACCATCTATCAGTCTCTTGTTTTAAAAGTTGTCAGATTTTTGATGTTGCTATATTATTGACTTAAAAAAATCAATTAATAATATAAAAAAATTGTTCATTCTCTTGTTGAAATGTAAAATAAATAAAATGTTAGTTCTTTTCCATAGTTTGCCAAAATTATAGGTTATATATTATTTTTTCAAAGCTAATTTAAAGTGACTCTTTGGTTAAAAAAAAATTTCTTTAAATTAAAAATGAGAAAGGGAAAATAAATTAAACTACCCTTGTTCTAAAGTTAGCAATATTACGTCTTGACTAACAAATCTTTTTCATGAAAGTGATAGAGAAGAAACAATAAATAGAATGAATGAAAAGAGGATAGTGTTACTCTTTTCTAAATACCTTTGTTAAAATGTTTTTTATTTATTTATAAAACTAATGTAGTTATTTATTGCATTTATTTTAGGTAGTAAATAATTAAAAGATATCGAAATGATTATTTTCCAAAATATTGTTAACTGATTTATGTTCTTTTAAAATTAATTTATAATATAAAAGTAAAGAAAAATGTTGTTTTAAAATATCATTTATTTTGCATACAATTTATATTATTTTAAATTCAAATGTCATCTGGTTTTTATATTTATAACTTAAAGAAACTTTTTCCTAAGTGTTTAAGATTTCGTAAAATTTGACATTCACTCTTTTATGAACTAAGTTAATGCAAAATGGAAACTAGCAGTCGTCTGCAGGTTTTAACTTGAAGACTTAAAACGCTTGTAGCTACCTATTTCTTCACAATTCAAGGCTATCTTAGTTGACCAATTAGCCTTAAGAAGTTCTGTTCCTTAACTTGGTCACATGACTTAAAATGGCCAATAAGCGATTAACGTTCGAAATGCGCATAACGTACGCGTAATAATAACAATATGGCTGGCATTAGCACCAGTTTTAGGGAAGGTGAAATAGAATAATAATAAATGGACACTAAAATATTGTTTTGAACATGAAATGAATCATTAAAGTTTGCTTAGAAATGGCATCTGGTAAAGCAGATACAGAGGAATGTTATATTTGTGGTTTTGTATGCACCTCCAGGCGGATGGTGGCGCATATAAAGAGTCATACACACGTTGAGATTTTTGAGTGTGAAATATGCGGAGATCGTTTTGCTTCAAAAAAAACTTTGCAGAAGCATTATATAACTCATAAAACACATTTCATATGTGAACATTGTAACAAAAAATTTGTAGATCCCGTACGATTGAGATCGCATATATGTTTTAATCCAGAAGAAAACTATACTTGTGAAACCTGTGGCAAAGAATTTGTTCATCAAAGTCGTTACATGAAACATGTTGCTACCCATTCTGAAGAGAAAGTTTTTACTTGTAAATATTGCTCCAAGAGTTTTCAACATAAACGAAATCTTACGCGACATATGACAACTCATTCTGAACACATTGAAGAAGGGCAACAAATAGACGAAATTGATCAAACCTACTCTTGTGACGTATGCAACAAAGAATGCTCTAACAAAAGTCAATTGGAGAGACATTACATGTCACACTCTGACGAAAAGCCGTACATATGTTTAGTATGCAACAGAGGTTTCAAATATAAAGGAGATATGAAGTCGCATGAGAAACTTCATTTTCAACAGAAAGGACCCCATGAATGTGCAAAGTGTGGGAAATGCTTTAGTCGAAGATCTAATTTGAAAGTGCACTATAATATGCATTTACGGCGGGAGTTGGGTTTACCTACCTTAACTTTTCACAATGGCAAGACATTCACTTGTGACGTATGTAATAAGAATTTCATTTCTGAAAAGGTTCTTACTCAGCATCAAGTTACTCACACAAAGGAAAAGCCTTATGCTTGTCAATACTGTGAGCAGAGGTTTTCTCACGATTCTTGTTTAAAACGACATTCTTATCTTCATACCGAAGGAGCATATAGAAAAAGACCCAAGTATTCGAAAAATAGCGAAGTTACAAGTGGTCCTGATGACGAAGATGATTCTCGGTCATATGTCTGTCATGTGTGCCAGGCTACCTTTGAAGAAGAAATTGAATTACGCGTACATAGGAAAAGTTTTTGGCGACTTCAAAATTATAAGTGTTGCAAGTGTTTTCAAGTATATAGGTGTAAAAAGAAACTTAGAGAACACGAAAAAGTTCACGATGTTAGCTCCACCTCAAGTCCACTTGTTTGTGCCCTAAGGGTCGAAGGTAGAAACACTGAATCGGAAGGTGACACTAGAGATGCTGATGTGGAATATGAAGAATCAAGTTCGAGTATTTTTATTGGCACTGTATCTATGGATAGTACTGAATCTGAAACTGATACCAGAGATGTTGAACTGGAAAGTGAAGAATCCTGCTCAAGTCAGACTGAGCATGCCCTGAGAATCGAGACTGAATCTGAAAGTGACAGCAGAGATGTTGTGGTAGAAGATGAAAATTCAAGTTCTAGCACTCAGAATTATCAAAGTATTTTAATTAGTTAATGTTTGGCCTATGTGATAGGAAAATGTATTTATCAAGTTTGATGTTTCTACTTTTGTTTAATTTTTATATTTTCTTGATAGTATAGTTGAACAATGATTTTATTTTATTTTGAGATAGTGTTAAGAAGATTTCCATATCCGCATTAGTAATTACACCAAAATAGTTATTAAGTTTTGGTAACTTCCAGGCAGTGGCATGTATTGAACTGATAAATAAAATCAGATAATAGGGAAAATTCAAAAGTAAAACTCTTATCTGCTGTCTGGCTAGCCACTATATATTTTTCTCCTGTATATTCTACTAGGTTGAACAACTAGGCAATATAAGTTGGCTTAAACAGGTACCAATATATTGAAATATCATCTTTTTCTTTAAATTCTTGCTCTTTTATTATTATTATTATTTTTTTTTTTAATTTTCGAAAGACAACTACTGGTATTAACATGTCCTGTATTAGTCTCAATTGGGCCCATAGTTATCAGTTTCAAATTACTTAAAGAGTAGAAAGAATCTGTTTTTTTTATCTCATGTATTGATACTATCATTTTTGAAACATATATAAAGTACTTTGAATATCATCAAAATCTTGCTATCTTTGTTAAATGCTGTAAATTGGGATTTTATAAACACTTATGCTACAAACCTCACTTTTCTTAATTATTTTCATTTTCATCCGTCAATAGAAGTAATGGTACATCTTTTTGGTTTTTTAAGTAGTTATAAATAAACATATCCACATTGATATAAGGAATAATAAAGCTCATTTTCATTGATTTATGTTTTTTCTTTCATTTTTGTATTCATTCAAAATGTCTTTTAGGTTGTAGTGATTTTATTTAATATTTCAAAAGCCAAGTACTCCTTATTTTGTTTATTTTCTGGAATCTTTAAAATTTTGTTATATTTTTTAATGGGTGTTATAAGAAATATATTTTAGATGGTAAATTAGAACTCTAGATGCTTTTAATCTAAATTGTTGATTACTTATTTAATAACATTAAACACAGTTTTTACATTTAACTTAAGTTTTACTCTGTTAAGTTGTACACTTTAATTCTGTATTTCTAAAAAGAAAATATTTTGCATCTGTAATTTTGTAAAGTACCAAATAATTTGACTAATTTAGATTCTCATTTAAATCTAATGAATAAAGCATTAAACCACTTTCATGTTTATTTAAATAAAGGGGATAGTGCCATAGCAAAATCTGTTCAGCCAATTAAAATCGCTGAGGCATCAAGGGGATTTTAAACTTACAATTTGAAAAGAAAGAAGAAAAAAAATCTATCTAGCGGTAGCTATGCGTTTTACCTTTTGAGTTGGTATTCTTCTGCGATTTTATGTTTATTTCACAAAACTTGGCAATTATTTTGGCCAATTTTATTACGAAAATATTCTGTTTTACATTTATTGATTAATTCTAAACTCAGGCAAATTAAAATAATTCTAAGACAAACACAATTTCAATCTTGCTGTTGTGAGATATCTGACAAAGGTTTTAATGAAGTTTAGAAATCACCCTCTGCCTTAATATGCCCTTTTTCAAAAATAAATATAGAACAGTTTGATAATTGCAATCTAGCTTAAATAATATTAGTTTTCAATGTATTTTAAGTGTGAATCCATTAATTTAAGTAATCCAGTAATTTTTAAATAAATGGATTAAAAAAGCAATAAATGGGAATGAATTTCTTACAAAATAAAATTATATTTTTCAGAATTTTATGTAATANTTAAAAGCCTCATATCGGGACTTATAATCACATGGATTACAAGTTTAAACAAAAATTAGACAAAAAAAGTGCGATTTATATATATATATATAAATATTTTTGGATTTCCTCTTTTTTAGTTTCTGACTACTCTCATCCCTGAATTATATAAAATGATATTAATAATACTAAGTAAATCAAATTTTGTTAATACTACTAAATAACAAATTGTCTTCATAACTTATACACTGCAAGAAAACACATTAATTTTTTATTATTATTAATTTTTATAAACGAATTCTGTTAAGTATAAAACTCTAACCTACTTTTGAATAATATGATATATAGAATTAAAAATTCTGTGTATATAACTATTATAAATTAAATGAATTTTGACTGTCTGTTACTATATTAAATTAAAGCTAATCTAGGGAAACATTGTTAACAAATTGTATTGGTTATTTTAAGTTTCTTTTAATATTCTGAAAGAAATAGATCTCCTCTAGATGTAATGCCAACCTTGTTTCATATATTCTGAAATATTTTATGTCCTACATTTTTTTAAGGATGTTTATGTAAATTTTTTACTACATTTTATCCTTATGGCATACAATTCTCGAAACTTCAAGATCGAAACAGTAGGCACATAGCCGGTAGAGGTCGCTCCAAATAGGTAAAGTGCTTAAAATTGTTGGTGTACTACAGGAATTATTTTGTTTTATTGTTACACATAAGCAGGCTTCTGTGCTCATTATAAGTACCTTTTCTCTCGTCAAGTCCGTAAGTAGCCCTCGTCAAGTCCGAAAAGCGAATATCACTTAAGATTTTTAAAAGCAAAAAATTTTGTGATAAATATTTTATTTAACAAATTTTAGGTTGTAATATAAAATGTTTTCTAGTGCTGTACTTTATTTGAATGAAAGAGTAAGAAAACAAAAAAAAGTTTCTTAAAATATGTATGCATCAGGATTGGTAGGTTCACTTTCGGTAGATGTCAAAGCAGATCAAAATCGGTCGCTAAGCAGATTGCTAAAAAAGTTCTCACAATATGGCAAAAAGTAAAATTAACAAGGAGTTTTAACTTTGCACTGCTCTCCTGACTATGGGGACCATATTTCCCAGATTGCGGCTACCCCATATTTTGGGGATTTGAAGTTCGAATCTGTCGAGAAAAAGTTATGTTTCATCAGAGAAAGTACAGTTTTGTATCTGATTTTATAACTTAAAATATATTATCTACCCTAATTAATTATTAGATTTGAGGTCACCATCTTGAACTATTAAGATTGAGTCCCAGAGCAGGAACATTCTATCATTAGATCAAGTTATTTATTATGGTTCATTTTTAAATTATTTTTTTTTTGTGTGTAATGTACTTTAAACCTTCAAAGCATGCAAAATGTGAATCTGACATCCAATAAAAATTTGGGAAATATCTTAAGCAGTATTTTTTATGATAAAACACAATTTGGCAATCAACTTTTTATGAAAGTTAGTTTAACATATATATATATACCTTCTTGTTTTTAGTTTTTTGATCAATAACTTAGTGCTGTATAATATACATAAAGAGAAATTTTTAGCATTATCTAGATTCTTTTCATCAGTTTAAAATATACTAAAAGTAAATTTAAAAAATGGCATATATTTAATTATCAAATTACCAATCAAAAAATCATTAACCTCTTAATTTAATTGATTAAAATTTTTTAGAAGAAAAAAAATTACGACAAGCTCTAAAATTTTCGATAAATGATTAAGCCCTATTTCTCCTATTCTTATAACGTTATGCCTTTTCTTTTAAACCCATTTGAAGGATATCGGAGTGTTGACTGATGTGTCATTTAAAGTTTTTTAAGAAGGGAAAAAAACTAGAAAATAAGAAATTTCATCTAGAATGCATGATAATCAGGAGGCCTCTTAACGTTTCTAAATTATCAAAATCTTCTTATTTTGTCTCTTTATACCATTTTTAGTTAAAAATTTGTTTTGTTTGCTCATTAAAATATATTTTATGTATTCATGCAGATGACTAAAAAATTTGAAATTTTAATAGGAGTTAAAACTCGAGCACTTTTATGTTCAAAACCAATAACCTGTGAATAAAGGATGTGGATGTGCTGTATCGTAAGTTTACTGCTTTTAACTTTTGTACTGTCTAAGTTAGTGGTTCCCATATGATGTTTTGCAAATGTCTGGGATACCATAGAAGAGTTAAAGCGGCTCTGAGAGTAAAGATTTTTTAAAAAAAAACTTTTTTTGGATATTGTAATTAGACCCAATTAATAATACATTATTTATTATTTCTATTGCCTTTATCACATTATAATTAAAGTTAAATGCCAAAGAGAAAGAAAGGAAATTTTTTTTTTTTAAAATATATAATTTAACTATAATTATGAAAAGGCCATGCATTTGTAAAAAATTATAATCATATTCACATTGTGCTTTTCAAAAAACAATATTTAAAAAAAAAATTTTGAAAATGATTATTAGGGAATAATAACCATTTTAATGTTTATAACAGTTCTTTTATATAGCAATATAAAAATAAGTTTTTATCTAGACTAGATTTTTATCGCTCATATAATAATGAGCCTGACATAATTAACTTCATTAAATGACAAAGAATAAAATGGGTAGGCCATAATATCAGCCTGGATGAAGACTGTACCACAAAGAGTTTTTAATTCCAGACCAGTTGGCGCACTAAAAAAAGGCAGGCCGAACTTGAGGTGGGTAAATGGCCTAGAAAAAGACCTTTTGGTCTTAAAAACTAAAAAACGTTAGCAGGAAAACGGTTGGCCGAGAAAAAAACTTCTTGAGAAGGCCAAGGCCCACCCTTGGCTATCAAGTCATTGATGATGATGAAGATTTAACTCAAAGACTTCATAGATATTTATGCTTTGTTAAATATAATATTAAAATCATAACTTCACATAAGTTAAATTTTTAAATTTGATGGTTTAGAATCTTATAATGGCTACTATTACATATTACTACCCTTCAGTATATCTGAAATCAAATTGGGTTAAAATTCATGCTGAATCGTTGCAGAGAGTAATATACTGGGTTTGTAATGCTTCTTTGTTCCAGCAAAATTCGTTGAGTTCTCAATCTCAGATGACAAAGTCTGAACTTGTTGAATGCTTTGTTTTAAACTCGCTCTGCTTTAAACAATGACAAAATATCACCCAGTATCCTAAATAAGTACTCAACTGGTTAAGACTATTTTTTTATAATTATTCAAAATTAAAATTATTCTCTTTTTTCTTCTTCAAATTTTTCTATATATTGCAACAACGAAATCTAAGCTATTATTATGTCCAGGGGTCTGTCTAGGTTTTTCTGAGAGGTACCTATTTTGTGAAAATTTAGACATAATTTGTGAAAAATTAAAAATTATATTAAAAAATCAACACAAAAATATGGATTTATCGTTTCTTAAGGGATACAAAAATGAAATTTTAAGAAAAAGTATTTTGTGAAACTACCGTTTTTCCTAAAATTGAATTTGTGAAACTACCGTTTTTCCTAAAGTTGAATTTGTGAAGGTACCGCTAAACGGTAGTAAATTCGGCCTGGACAGACCCCTGATGTCTATATTATTATAAGATCTTAAGCTTAAACACTCATGATATATTAAAGTAAAATAACTCTAAAAATTAATAATGTATGTGATGAGCCAGGGGTCTGTCCAGGCCGAATTTACTACCGTTTAGCGATACCTTCACAAATTAAATTTTAGGTAAAACTTGTTTCACAAATTCAACTTTAGGAAAAACAGTAGTTTCACAAAATACGTTTTCTTAAAATTTAATTTTTGTATCCTTTAAGAAACGATAAATCTATAGTTTTACCATGTTTTTGTATTGTTTTTTTTTTTAATATAATTTTTTATTTTTCACCAATTATGTCAAAATTTTCACAAAATAGGTACTTTTCAGAAAAACCTAGACAGACCCCTGTGAGCACAAAATACTAAAAGAAGACCAAATCAGCGAACACTGAAATGTATTTAGTTCAGCAGAAACAATACAATCAATATGACAGTGTTAAGACAAGGCAGTCGATGGGTCTTGACAGAATTATTTGACCTTGGTGCACTCTTAAAATTTCTAAAATCTATGAACACAAACACTAAATCTGTAAATCCACACTTTCACTATATCATGATTATTCGAGAAAAAAAATTTAAGTTTATGTTTATATTATTAGGCATTTCGTTGATGTCAGACTCATGCGTAGTTTAAATTTTTGACAAAGTTATGAAACTCCTATTTCGAATATCATTAAAGTCAGTTGCTAACTCCAGATTATCATAGGATTAATTCTAAGATATGTTGTTTTTTTTGCCACTCTGGATTTACTTTAGCATACAGTTGAATGTTGCTTAATACTTAATTAACATTATGTAATTGCCAACATAAATTGTATAAAAATGACCTATTATAATTTGCATAAAAACCAGAAGAAAAGCAAATTCTTTTTTATGATGATGTAAACAACAACTCTCCTATTTAGTAAGAAACCACCATGACCATCATAAAAGATGTAAGCAAAAGTACCTACTGTTTAACAAAGGAATAATTTAAAAAGTAAAGTCAGTAGTGTTTTTTTATTTAAATTCGAGGGAAGAAAATGCATAACGAAATATAATTTGTCAAACTTGTTTACATGTTATAGGAATTAAAATCTGTAAATTAAATTTTTTTTCTATTGTAATTTGATATTCTGAAACTATGCATAGGGAAAAGAGGGGTAATACCTAGAAGCTAAGATTCAAGGGTCTGTTATAGAGCTAAACTGTTTGACCTAGGAACTTACATTTAATCAAGATATTCATTGTTTTGTTGCGTGCAGTATATAATTCACGAAAAGTCACTGATGTACTACTTTTTTTAAAGAAATTTGCAGAGAATTTCTTTATATAAAAACTGTCATTTGGTGTAAAGGCTCTTAAAAAATTCTTCAAAATATGAAAATAGAGCTTTTTGTGTTTTGAAGAAGGGGCCCATAACACCTTTTGTTTTGCTCTTGGTCTTGCCCCATTCTCCCGTACGCGTTTTAAAAGTGCATTATTCATGTATTTATTTCTCTGTGGAAAAATTAAAATTTATGTACTAAACTGAAAAGAAAACTTTATTTTTTGTTTCTGAACTTCAGAAAATGCATAAAGTAAGAATTGTATTCAATGAAGAAGCAAAAGTTTTTACATAATTTGAATAATCTTTTATTGTTCGCTAGCAATTTTTTCCTGTATTTTAGCGCACTTGTATAATAATGTGAATTTAAACATGTATATTCCTGTTTGAACAACACATTGATAATTAACATGTAAGAAATTACATTTATAACATTACTATGTAATATCACATTAATTACTATTATTTATGTTAAATTTCACAATGATTGAAAATAAAATTTTATGTGCAACAACTATATTTACTTTTTTAAATAAAATATGGCTCAATTGATTGTGATGCAAAAATGTAATGAAACATACCATAAGTACATGTTACTCGACTCATGTACATGTACTCGAATATCTAGCTAACTTAACTCTTAATGACCGAATATATTAGTGTAATTTTCCCAAAGCATTTCAGGAAAATTTAATCTTTCTTATGTTGATAACTTATGAACTTGATGTTGATAATTTTAACATTAAGACCATTCATTTAGGTATACAAATCAATGATCAGCAATGAAAAAACTTAAACTCTAATTGAATGGAAACATGTAATTACTGTCCCCTCACTGAAACTCTTTTAAAACACATGAAGAAAATATTAATATTTTTCTCTGAATCAATAATTAATGATAAGTAAATATGTATAGGTAAACATTTTAAATACTATTTATTTTAAAATTTAATTGATATTTTTTATGAAAATAGATTGCATCTAAAATTTTGAAAAAATAAAAAGAATTTTTACCTTTTTCATTAGATAAACATCTTTTGATCACTTATATTTTTATATTATCTTACCACAGAAGAAAAGTTTGTAAGAAAAATCATAATTTAAAAAAGAATTCTTGTTTAAAAACATGCTTTTGAGTTGGAGGACAGTAATTACAAAATGGGACAGTAGTAGAACAACACCATTTTTTTTTAAAAGATTTATTTTTTTCTTAACCACACCATAATAATATCTATAAATATTTAAAAACATGATAGATACTTTTTGTTTTACACTTAAATATATAGTTCATCCAAATTGTTTAAGGTTTTAAAATGGGTAAAAATTGGTTTCTAGTGGCATTTTTTATTTTTTTTTATTTTAATCGAACATAATCTCCTTTTTTTGTATACTTTGTGCTTGCAACCAATAAACCTTTTAATCCAAACAACCCATGAAAATTTCAGTTAATTCTTTACTTAGGTGGAAGTTTTATTCTTGATCTTTTTATCACTTATATTTAAGAAATTTATCTAAAATTTAGAAATAGCAAACAGTAGTTAAAATTGAAACTATAAATTCCTTTAGTAAATAAAATTGTTCTTTTTAAGTAACTAAATTCTTATTTATTCCCAAAGTTTTTTAAATGAAAATTGGCAAACAGAAGTCAAAATTACAAAATTTAATGTTGTTAAATTATAACTTAAAGCAATTGTGCAAACATTCTAAATTATTTAATTCTTTATAAGAGTGAAAAAGGAAAACAAAAATGTCAAATAAAAAGTTTAAAAAATAAAGATACAGTTAAAATTAGAATTTTTTTTTTTAATCTATTCAGTTTCACTTTACAAAGTTAACATTATAATCTTATAGATCAAACAATAGTTGGGATACAAAGCAGAATGCATTTATTAAACTTTGTAAACACTTCTTGATAGATTATTTTAGCTTTTTCTCAAAAAAAAAATTACTGATAATTATCAATACGTTTTTAAATTTTGAAAATTAAGTATTCTTATGTTTATTATTGTCAAATTATCTTCTTTTATTATTGTACAAAACTTCTTTTTTCTGACAAAACGTAATGTGAAATTAAGCTTTTTGGTCCTAAAAGAAATGGTACTGCGATTAAACTATTAATTTTGATGTCATATTTACAACTTAAATGTGGCATTTAATTGCGTGGAAGCTTTTTTGTTTGCATGCCTATGAACACATTAAGAATCGAAAAATGTATCGCTAAATGCTTAAGCTTAGTTACTCGAAACCAACTTGAAATCAAATCACGTCAAATATGGTGGGCATTTATATCAAACTTCATAATAATATCTGGCTAGAGAAAAGAAAATTTTAATGAGTCAAGTATAAAAATATTTTTTTCAAGAAAAATTTGACTAATTGAATTTTTATTTTTCTTGCCCTTTCATGATTTCCTGATAGCAGAAACTTGACTTGTAATGACCCACGATTCTATTTTAGAATAATTTAAGTCAATTAAATATTCATAAAAAGTACAGCATTCCAGCAACAGGAAATTATGGTAGCCAGTGGATGTTATGACTCCATTCTTACTTAGAATAAGCTCTGTCCTTTGCCTGTAGTTTTAAGTATTTATTTTTCATTCCAGGTTCGCTTGCTTGATGCATAACTTGTCAGAGTTTTATCCTGAATTCCTTAAGGTACTGTATATATAAATATTGAGAAAAATGAAGAGGTTGTTACTCTACTTGAATCTTTGCCAGATCAGTTTCAAAACAAGATCTTGCAAAAAGTCAGTGTTTTTAACTCAAAGCATGAAGAATACTGCTTTTTCCCTTTTTCTATCTTTGGCTGATTATTTATTAAAATTCCGATAAGTTATTTGTGTATGTATCTTTAATTATCACGAAGTGTAGTTGCCTGATATTTAATACTTATGCTTACAATCGAAATTAAATATGAACAGTTCAGAGGGTAAAATAATGAAATATTTTTGTTAATATTGCTTCATTATTCTTATGTTAAAGAATTATTGTTTTGCTTGCATTTTGTATTATTCTTATAAATATTATTTCAAAATTATTAAGTTGTTCAACATTTTATTGTTTTGCATACTTATTTTTATGACTGTTTTGCATGCATTTTAATGTTTTGATAAATATTTTGTTTAAATATTATTTTGCTGTCTTCCGATTGAGTGACAACTAATAAAATCAGTGGATTATGTACTCTGCCGCTTTTAAAGATTAAATTTACAATATGCATGCTAAAAGCATCTTTTAATGAAATCATCCATATTTTTTTAATGAAATCATCCATGCTATTTTTAAAAATAAAGATAATCCAAGTTTTTTTTATTTTGCTTTCCTGGTTATACCTTCCACATTTCTTTTCAAAATTTATAGAGTAGTAAATTTATACCATTCGTTATCAAAAAGCACTTAAATTGTACCATCCATGATTAAGAAGAACTGAAATTAATTGGTGCATATTACATATCTTGAAAAAGATTTAAAGATAAGATTTAAGAAAAAGAGGAAATGAGGTTGAAAAAATTTAAATACATAAAATTATATATTTATTAATAAAGGGGGATTAAATGCCCTGCTTATTCAATGAGGTAAACTGTAGGACCAAATGATAACAGTTCTGTTAAATTGATTTGCTCTGTTCTCAGTACAAAAAGACCAGCACATAACTCAACAAATCTTTTTAAATTTTATTACAATGTAAATTTTTAATTTTCTATTTCAACACTCAAAATATGAATTTTTTTTAAATAATATCATAACAAATTTAAATGATAATAGGTAAAATGAATAATATGCATTTATTTTAATTTTAGTATAAATATATGTTTGCATATTAATGAATGTTGAAACTTTCTATAATGAAAGGAATTTTCTCTGCAGTAATCACTGTTTTAGGGATCTGAACAGTGTGAGGCATTCACAACAAATAACAATAGTAAAGCAAATTGAAGGACCAAATGGTATGGCAGTGCAAAATGTAAGTCTCATAAGGATACATAATTAGATTTAAAATGCTGTTAGTGCAATTAAAAAATTCTTGATTTTGAAATATTTGTAATAATATTTTTTGACTTACTGTCTCTATCATGCTACCTAAGCATCTAAAATATCGTACCCAAATTTCTTACATATTTCCACCATACATTTTTTAATATGTACTATTTCAAAATAAAAAATATGAACTTAAATAATTGTGGTTGTCTTTGAATTAATGTATTTCAATTCCTTTTTAGTTTTTATAATCAGTGAGACACTTTTAACTAAAAATCATTGTGAATCATCAAAAAAATGTAACTGATCACTCTGAATAACTTTTGGTCTAATGATCAGATTTACATGTTCAATGTTACATACTCAATGGTTCAAAGGGATACCTCAACTATTCTAATAATTAGCGTATACGATATTTGAAGTTACGAAATCAGACACAACGTACACTTTTTGACGAAATTCCGATTTCTGACCTTCAAAATGTGTGATGCAGCCACAATCTGGGAAATATGGTCTCCTCAGGAAAGCAGTTGAAAGTTTAGACACCAAATTTTTTTTGGATTTTGTCATATCTTGGTATCTTTTTTATGCGAATTGAAACATTTTTGCACACAATTATAAAATTTGCCTATCCAAAAATAAATCCAAGCAAAAATTAACTTTCAGTGAATATGTATTTTTATGGTTTTATTTAATAATAGTTTCAAAAAAATTTGGAATTGCTTGGTATATTATTTTTTACATTCTTTTATAGAATGCAATTTTAAATTGAAAAATACAAATTCTAAACGAAATTTGTCAAATAATTCCTGAGGTCAAACAGTTTCTTTTAAAAAACGACTTTTTAAAAATTCGATTTTCCTGATTCAACTGAATTTTTGTATTTTGCCATGTAAAATTACATTCTTTAAAATGTTCTGTATACCTTAGACAGTATGCTTTCTACAATTATCAAAATAAAATAATACTTACTGAAAGTTATTTTTTGCATAAATTTATCTTTTAACTAAACGAATTTTATAATTGTGTGAGGAAATTATTCAATTTGCTTAAATAGTTCTTGAGATATGGCGAAATGCACAAAAAATAAAATTAACAGTAAGGGTCTAAAGTTTGGACTGTTCTTCTGACCAAACTATTAGGACCATATCTCCCATATTGCTGCTACCCTCTACATTTTAGGGATCAGTAAACCGAATCCCCCAAAGAAAAGACATGTTCATTCAGAAAAAACATATTTTGTTTTTGTACTCTAAATTATCGTCTGCATGAGTGAATCATTGTTTTTTATACAGAATCAAAAAAAAAATTTTTTTTTTGTTTACATCTCCGTGTGTACCAAGTTAATTTACTAGAAAATGTTAATAAATAAATACTTATTAAAAGTTAATTTTCGCATAAAATTAATTTTAAATAGACGAATTATATAATTTCTAAATAAGCTAATAGACACCGAAAAGATGAGTGAAGATTAGATATGAAGTAATTTTTGTTTACTTCATATCAAAGCAAATTAAGACTCAGTAGTTAGGAAATAAATTAGACTCAAAGCAGCAACTTGTCTGCTAAGATTTTTCCAAACATTTTATATCGGATTTATATCTTCAGATCTGACTGGGCAATCCATCAGGTTAATAGTTTCACATTCAGAAACGGTCTATGTTGGTGCGTGTTGTCACCCATTGTTATGAAATCAGAGCCAACTGAAACTAAAAAATATGCTTAGGGCTTTAAGAATGCATCTCTACGAAGGCTCTTTCTCTGGAATGGGAAGTCTTGCGTGCAGCCATCTGGTATAATACCAGCAAGGTCAATCACACTTTCTCTTCCACAATGGTTGATTCCTTGGACAATGAAATGTATGTAAAATAAATTTGGCTCGATCTTTCCATACGTAAGTTTCAACACTTTAACTTCCTTGAAATCAATTGTTATAGAAGTTAAAGTTCAATGGTCTCAAAAAAGATCAACTTTTCGATGTCGGATGTCGTGTTGCACAACTCTTCATCTCCTTAAAAGAGGCACTGTCATTAGAATGAGTAGAGATTTATTTTTAGAAATTTAGCAGGTTCTGACTTTATTTTAATAACATGTGGTGGGTAACTATCTCATTGGGCTAAAAAAAAAAAAAAATTTGCAATGAGGAGATATTTGTCTGAATGATTAACAAGCAAAATCTTCCGGAAAAAAATTGATACTGTCTTGGCTGACAAGTTGCTTTTAGTCCTTTATCACAGTGGTTAGATGAGCTGGAATAAGTATCTCTTCCTGTCTGGCTTACACTCAATATTTAAATGCCTGACAACTCATACCTTTATTGGATTATTTTATTTATTTATTTATTTTTGCAAGAGGTAAGTTTAAACTTTAACTATTGAAAGAGGTTCAGGGTGCTTTAATTTTGGCATTTTTTATTAAACATTTTTTAAATTTAACTTTTTATTACAAAACTGTAATATCCTTCTAGCTAGCAGCCAAACCTGTGGTTTTAATTTAAAATAAATATTAAAAAGTTTCATTGAAGTTTTTTATTTTAAATTTGCTATTGTAAGAATTAAAACTCGATCAAAATTGTAGTAATAATTACAAGATAAATTGAAAGAAAATAATTTTAATAAAATAAGATTTTAATATCTAATTCCTTATTGTAAAAAAAATAATTTAAATTTTTATTTTTCATTGCTAAACAGTAATTTTCTCTTAATCTATTTTATAACTTTAAATTTGTAAAGTATTTGAATTTGTAAAGCATCACAAATCAAGTAATAATGAAATTACTTTATTTATTCATCGTTAGATGGAGACACGTATCCAAATGTGGAATAATAATCTTCAGATTTGAAGTTCCGGATAATTTAATGAAGACCCTTACATGTGACAGACATAGGCAGTTAAGAGCGTTATATTGGAAATAAACATTAAAAGTTAAAAGTGATTATTTTTTTTAGAAAATGAATTATGAAAAAAGTTTCACCAAAAAATCACTTGAAGAATGTTATATTTGTGGTAAACTTTGTGATAACAGGCGTATATTATCTCATATTCGAACACATACCAATGTTGAGGTTCATGAATGCCAAGATTGTGGTAGTCGATTTGCCTCGAAAAAGTCTTTGCGGCAGCATTCTCTGACTCATACAACGCATGATACATGTAATGCATGTAATAAGAAATTTAATGATCCTAACTCGTTGACGCAACATCGTTGTATTGAAGCTAAAGAAAAAAAGCATTTTTGTAAGACTTGTGGGAAACGATTCTATCAAATAAGTGGTCTCACGAGGCACACTGTTACCCATTTAGCTGAAAAACCCTTTGCGTGTGATGTATGTGATAAACGATTTGCTCAGAAAGGTAACCTAACTGTTCATTATGCCAAGTATAATAGCAATAAATGTGCTCAAACTGTCAAACTAAAACCTTATAAATGTAAATCGTGTTCTAAAAGCTTTTCTTTAAAGGGAAATCTTAAAAGACACTTCATTTCCCACTCTAAAGAAAAACCATTTCCATGTGAAATATGCTCTAAGTCTTTTGCATATAAGGATCATCTTAAAGCACATCTTTGTTTACATACTAATGATGTTAAACTATACCACTGTGAATATTGTGATAAAATCTTCAATCGAAAATTCAATCTTAAAGTGCATTATGAAATGCACAAAAGAAAAGAGTGTGGAGAACCTGCTCCTAAAAGAGAGCAAAAAAACATATTTACTTGTAAACTATGTTTTAAAAGTTTTCCATCTAATAGAAATTTGCAGAGACATCAAATATCACACACTGATGAAAAACCTTATGTGTGTGAACTTTGTGGTAAAAGTTTTGCTTATAAATCTTATTTAAAAGTTCATAAACTGCATCATGCTAGTGAGAAAAAATTTAAGTGTGATGAATGTGGAAAATCTTATTATGATAAAAGAGTGCTGAATCAACATATTAAAAGGCATAAGCCACCGACTATTATTTGCTCAGTGTGTGGTTAAGGTTTCTATGCACCAGCTGAGTATGATCGCCATTATATTATTCATGCTAATGTGAAACCTTATATCTGTCATATTTGTCATAAAGGATTTTCTCAATGCGGTCATTTAAAGAAGCATTATATTTGCCATGTAAAACAGAAAGATCAGTATTTGAAACTGAAAGGAAATTATTTCGATGATAGTGTAAATGAGTCGAAGGAAAGTGGCAATAAAAAAACATGTAAAAAAGTAGCAGAAAATATTCATTTAATAAATAAGCAGGTTAGAAGTTGTCATGATAATTTAATAAATGGAGTGAATGAAAATTGTGATGATGATTTAATAAATGAGCTGAATGAAAATTGTGATGATTATTTAATAAATGACCTGAATGAAAATTGTGATGATGATTTAATAAATGACCTGAATGAAAATTGTGATGATTTAATAAATGACCTGAATGAAAATTTTGATGATGATTTAATAAATGACCTGAATGAAAATTGTGATGATGATTTAACAAATGAGCTAGAAGAAAAATGTGGTGATTTAGTAAATGTGCTGCATACAAATTGTGATGATAATTTAACAAATGAGCAGAATATTAATTGTGATGATAATTTAACCAATAAGTTTGAAGAGAATTTATGTAAAACTAATTCTAAGTATGAATTGAAAACAAGGTATTCTAACGAAATTGTAAGGGATAATTTGCAAAGAAAAGACTGTAATAGAGATGTTTTAACTGTTTATGATCAAATAAATTATGAAAATATTTTTAATATTTCAAAGAAACTATCAAATGTTCATGATGATGATATATTAGATGTCAAGCTAAATAAAAAATCAGTTATTAAATCTTATGATTTTAATGAATTATCTTGTGCATTATCTTTTAGATGTAATTTGTGCAAACAATACTTTGTTTGCAAAAAAGAATATGAAAAACATACAAGTGGCCTTTTTTGTTGTGTGTCTAATAGTGATTGCAATCTTAAAAGAAGTATTAATGAAAATAAATTGATCCCTAGTACTTTTTCTACTGGCAAACCTTTCATATGTATTCTCAAAAGGGAAAGTTAATTTAAGCATGGTTCGTTTTTATAGAACCACATAGTTAGAAGTAACATCTAGATTTTTTCACACTAGGTGAAAATAATCTCTCCAATAGAAATTATTTTTACTTGTTGTAAAAAAACAACAATATTATTCTGTTTTGGAGTGTTGGAAAAAAAAAATCTGAAATCTAGATCCTAATCTAGGATAACTAATTTATTACGAATGCATACAATTTTCAATAGCTTTTTGCATTTTGGTAAAAATGTGATTTTTAAGCTCACAAAAATACAATTTGTATCAATAATTGTTTTGGAATTATTAAACCCCAAAACAGATACAAGTTAGTCTGTATGTCAAATCTATCAAATTTTTATTTCCAATAAAATAATTAGTTTTTTTATAACTTTTCCAAAGTTGTACATCTGAATGACTCATGTTTCACAATAAATGTTTTATAATGGAAATTTATTTTATTAATAATATTTTGTATATATGAGACTTTTTATGAAACAAGTGCTATTTTTATATTTATGTTTTTTTATTGCAAACCTGATTTTTTTCAATTGCTTTCACAAGTTGATTGGATTTCTTTTCCTATCTATGTACATGTCTATACATTCATTCCTTACCTGGAGAAGATGAAAGTACTTATACAGTAAAGCCCCGCTATAGTGAACCTTCAAGGAACCAAAATTTTGGTTCACTATATCCGTTATGCAGGCAATTTAACTAATGATTCCCAAACTCCTCCTTTTTATCACACATTATTCAAATAAAAGACTGAAAAATATTATGTAGTAGCAAAAAATGTGTAATTCTTAGCTGATAAGCAATCCTCAACATCAGATATGGAAACACTTCTTGACTCTCAGGTAATTTGTCCTGAATTTCTGTTATTCCGCTTTTTAAACGTGTCTAACCTGCCATTCTAGCATATAAAAGTAGTCTCATAAAATTGTTTAGCAAATTCTTCGACATTTGTCCAGATACTGAAAGATTGCGGTTTCTTCAAATGGTGAACCTCTTCAGTAATGCTTCTTCAACATCCTAGTGATCTGCTTTTTTTTCTGCCATCTAAATTTTTTTCATGAGCAGAATTTATTAATTGCCTATTTTTCCACACATCACAAACTGCAGATTTGGATAGTTTATATTTCCTGCAAATCTCAGCTTGATTGCATCCATTTTCAATTTTTCTGATTGTGCCCATTTTATCAACAATGGAGAACATTTTATGTTTACTGATCGCCACAGTTAAATTTGAGACACTTGTTTGCAGACTTTTTTTTAACTGAACTGAGAGCAAAAAGGAGTTGAAATGAGGGCCTTATCAACACATATTAGTGTCCAACCCTTTGACCAATAATGAATAATTACTCATTCCTTCTGACAGAAAATGCATATTGATCCCACTGAAACTTTACAGGTGCATCAACTGCCTGGGTTGGAAACATCTGCTTGGTCTGTTTATGGATTAGAAAGTGAGATAAAAGANTAATATTATTTTGTATATATGAGACTTTTTATGAAACAAGTGCTATTTTTATATTTATGTTTTTTTATTGCAAACATGATTTTTTTCAATTGCTTTCACAAGTTGATTGGATTTCTTTTCCTATCTATGTGCATGTCTATACATTCATTGCCTTACCTGAAGAAGATGAAAGTACTTATGCAGTCAAACCCCGCTTTAGTGAACCTTCAAGGAACCGAAATTTTGGTTCACTATAACCAGGAGTTCACTATATCCGTTACACAGGCAATTTAACTAATGGTTCTCAAACTCCTCCTTTTTATTACACATTATTCGAATAAATGACTGAAAAATATTATGTAGTAGCAAAAAATGTGTAATTCTTTGCTGATGAGCAATCCTCAACATCAGATATAGAAACACTTCTTGACTCTCAGATAATTTTTCCTGAATTTCTGTTATTCCGCTTTTTAAATGTGTCTAACCTGCCATTCGCGCATATAAAAGTAGTCTCATAAAATTGCTTAGCAAATTCATCAACATTTGTCCAGATACTGAAAGATTGCGGTTTCTTCAAATGGTGAACCTCTTCAGTAATGCTTCTTCAACATCCTTGTGATCTGCTTTTTTCAACTTTTTTTCATGAGCAGAAATTATTAATTGCCTATTTTTCCACATGTTACAAACTGCAGATTTGGATAGTTTATATTCCCTGCAAGTATCAGCTTGATTGCATCCATTTTAAATTTTTCTGATTATGCCCATTTTATCAACAATGGAGAACGTTTTATGTTTACTGATTGCCACAGTTAAATTTGAGACACTTGTTTGCAGACTTTTTTTTAACTGAACAGTGTGCAAAAAGTAGTTGAAATAACGGCCTTATCAACACATATTAGTGTCCAACCCTTTGACCAATAATGAATAGTTACTCATTCCCTCTGACAGAAAATGCATATTGATCCCACTGAAACCTTACAGGTGCATCAACTGCCTGGGTTGGAAACATCTGCTTGGTCTGTTTATGGATTAGAAAGTGAGATAAAAGAAGCAAACAAGAAAAAATGCTTATCGCTATATTCCCCTCTAGAGATGGTTTTAAACACTGGTATATGTATTTATTTTGACGCAGAAATTTCAAAATTATTACAACAAAAAAAATAAAGAAAAAAAATCCTAGAAGACAGAAAAAAGTTCCTTATGTCTAACTTCCTAACTTTTTTGGTTCACTATATCCACAAAAAATAATGTTATACGCGTATAGCAAGGAGGGACCGAACATTTCGCTCACTATAAACCGTGTTCACAATAGTGGGGTTTGACTGTATATTTATTCTTGTGCTTTTAAAAATTTAAATATGTTTTCTTTTATAGCTTTGCTACTCAATGAAAAGTTATTATTTGTATACAAATTGAAATGAATAAATTAAATTTTCTTACAGTGGTTTTTGTTCCATGTCTATGCTTTGGATAATGTAAGTTATAATTTATGATGATCTGCATAACTACTGATAAGCTTTTGATAACCTACATGGCTACTTAAGTTCAAGTTTTTTTTTCTTGACCAATTTCTTTTCTTTCTTTCTTTTTACCAATCTTTCTATTGAGTCTTGCTTTATGGTCAAAACTCGTTAAAACATTAAAGCTTAGCACAAATTTTTGCTTTACGAGATGAAGGAAAACAATAACAATTGCATCGTTTAGTATGAACCTAAAAATAAACTTCTACTTAAGATGAAATAAATATTGCATTGAATGAAAGCAAATTCCTAATTGTAACCTTCCCCTTTGAAACAAATTTGTCTTTTTTCTCTGAACTCGACAGGTGAGGATAGTGCATTTGTTTTTAAAACTGACTTGAGAGGTTGACATTTATACCAAATTTAATTAAAAGACTGTTGCAGCACAGAAGTTTGAATCTCTCATTTGATGAATCACTTTTTGACATGCTTCTGACCATAAATCCATGTGGTACTTTTATCGCTCTTTCAGCAGCTATCGCTATAGATTTTCCCATTGTTCTTAAGTCCTAATTTATTATACAATATATTTATGGTGCATTAATTTAGAATTGTGCATGTGGGAATAGTATCTGTCAACCTACAGCCAAGAAAAGTTACCCCAACACAGAATCAAGTTAACTTGTCTTATATACTAGTGAATCGCACTTTCTGTAGTGGTCGACACACTACAGTACTCCTCCACCAGAATCATATCAGTGATAGAATCAATGAATGGATACCATTAGTTGATTCACTGTGCTGTTTTGTGAGAAGCCGATACTTTTGATTGCTGTATTAAGTTTGAAGGGATTTCATCTTAGATTATGTCAAACTTCATCTATCAGTAGGTACCTCAAGATCGATTAAAGTTAACGTGTCTTATATACTAGTGATTTGGTATTTAATATTTATAGTGGTAGTTACACCACATTACTCCCCTTCCAGAATTTTATCTGTGATAGAATTTGATGAACGAATACCACTAGTTGATTTATGCTGTTTTTTTTCTTATTATTTATATAATTTTTGCTCATAAATTTTTTTTCTTTATAGCATTTCGCAAATTTTTTTTTGTATTTCGCTCATTTTTTTCTCTTCAATATTGTTTATTGACCGAGAGACTTTATTTACTTTACCGGATCTTATCACGCCCGGGTCATCATTGAAGGTATTACATCTTAGACTATGTCAACGTTTATCTATCAAAAGGTACCTCAAGATAGATTCAAGTTAACACGTCTTGTATACTAGTGATTTGGTATTTAATATTTATAGTGGTAGTTACGCCACAAGTTCATAGTCTACCATTAGCAGTCATGTGCAACCACAGCGCTAGGAGGTGGATAATGTCGCAGTCACAAGTCAAATGTCCTATGGGGAATCCATCATGTGGGGAGAGGCATATCTATCGACAATGTCAACCTTCGTCTATGAAAAGGTAACCCATCACAGAGTCTGGTTAACATCATGTCTTATACACTAGTGAATTGGAATATAATTTTTGTAGTGGTAGATACACTACAGTGCATAACTTTTAAGTAACTTGTGACTGATACAATCTGCACCAATTTCATTGAAAATCTAAGTGGTTTGGCCAATCATTGTTTTTTTCAAGTTGTGGAGTCAAAGAAAATTTTACAAGTCAGAAAAATTTGCTAGATTCTGGTTAGTTAAAAGAGGTTAGATTAAAAGATAGGCTATATAGAGGCTTCTTTTTGTGGGATTTACCTTAATCTGTAATTGATGACTTTACCAGTTAAAAATAAGAAGAGCATGGATCTTTAACCACGGAGGGACGGACCTTGGAGGAAGAGAAAAAAGGACCCTGTTGCTTATGAATGTTTTTGTGTGTGCTAATACATAATTGAATCTAGTTGTGAAAATTACAGGGGGTGGGAGGAACCTCTTGGTTTGAAGAAGATTTTTGTGATGAGATTTTAAAAATAATAGTAATTGGAGCAAAGAACAGAATACATGGTATTATGAACTTTTAGATTCTATTTATTTCTCTATTGATATAATTAAAATTTTTTGATATTTTTGCGTTAATGATTTGTTATTTAAAAACATCCTAACTACCTTTTTCTGATTTATCAACTAATACAAAAAGATTTTTGCTACCCTTCAATTTTAACTGTATTTGTTTTAATATTATTTCACATTTTTTTTAAATATTTTTATTTTATTATTTTGTGTACCTTTTAGTTTCCCATTAATTTTTTTCAGTGATAAAAAGATAGATAATCTACCGAAAGAAAAAGTTTGTATTTGTAGGATAATATTAAAGCAAAGAAAAAAATACTGAGGCTGAGTTTAAAAGTACAGTGTGCGAAAAAAAAATCACCCTGAATAACTTTTTATCTACTGTTTCAGGGGGAATCACAAATATGCTAATTAGTTGGAACGAGCAGATGATATTTTAAGTTATAAAATAAGACACAAAAACTTACTTTTTCAGAATAAAGATACCTTTTTTTTTTGCTGAATAACTTTTTATCTACTGTTTCAGGGGGAATCACAAATATGCTAATTAGTTGGAACGAGCAGATGATATTTTAAGTTATAAAATAAGACACAAAAACTTACTTTTTCAGAATAAAGATACCTTTTTTTTTTGCTGACAAATTAAGACCCTTAAAATGTAGGGTGTAACTACAATCTTGGAAGTATGGTTTTAATAACTTTTTATCTACTGTTTCAGGGGGAATCACAAATATGCTAATTAGTTGGAACGAGCAGATGATATTTTAAGTTATAAAATAAGACACAAAAACTTACTTTTTCAGAATAAAGATACCTTTTTTTTTGCTGACAAATTAAGACCCTTAAAATGTAGGGTGTAACTACAATCTTGGAAGCATGGTTTTAATAATTTGGTTAGGACAGCAGTCCAAAGCTTAGACTCCTTAATATTGTAAATTTTACTTACTGCATTTTTTGACAATGTTGAAAATAAATTGAAAATATTTTGCACACATTTATAAAATTTCTTTATCCTTAGATAATTCCGTGCAAAAATAAGTTTTAACATTCATTTATTCTTTTATTCAATGCTAGTCTAAAAATTTTTAAATGTGTCAGATACACAGTTGTTTGCTTAGTTGTGAAGAATTTTATTTGATGCATCAATGTAAAATTGGAATGAAATGAATCAAATAGTTTAATTGATCAATAGAAATGGTTCAGATTGAGTGTCAAATATACAACTTCTTTAAAATTTGATTTACAAAAAAATATTTGACTGATTTTATTGAAATTTTGAATACAAAAATACATTCTTTAAAGATATATACCTTTTAAAATTAATAATAATCATTGCAAAATAATTATTTAAAATTATTTTTTGCATGGATAAACAAATTTTATAATTGTGAGCAAAACTTTTCAATACTTTAAAATTTGATTTACAAAAAATTATTTGACTGATTTTATTAAAATTTTGTATTTTGAATACAAAAATACATTCTTTAAAGAGATGTACCTTTTAAAATTAATAATAATCATTAAAAAATAATTATTTAAAATTATTTTTTACATGGATAAACAAATGTTATAATTGTGAGCAAAACTTTTCAATTTGCTGAAAACATTTCTCAAGATATGGCAAAATATGCAAAAAGTAAAATTAACATGAAGAGACTCAAACTGAGACTGCTCCCCTTTACCAAACCATTGGAACCATATTTCCTAAATTGGGGTAACTCTTTACATTTTGAGGGACAGAAATCAAAATCTGTCGGGAAAAAAAGGTATGTTTATACAGAAACAGAGTAAGTAAGCTTTTGTGTCTGATTTTATAATTTAAAATATCGTCTACATTAACTAATTAGGATATTTGAAGTTCCCCCTGAAACCATTGACTCCTAGTACATGGTAATCTGATCATTAGATCAAAAGCTGATTAGAGTGATTTTTTTTTTTTGTGAACTATACATCTGATTTAGAATTCCATTATATGTCAATTGATGAAAATGATTTTCATTATCTCAGAATAAAGAATAGAAAAATTAAAAACCTTTTTTTTCCAATTAATTTAGATTTTGTGCATCTTTTCTCGAACATAATTTGTTATAAATCCTTTTTCATGTTTTTGATACAGATAAATAGCCTACATTTTATAATATTGCAAAAAGTACTTTTTAATACATAAATATATAAGAGGGAAATCTATGAATTATTCTCAAAATCTTTATTTCAGGAGAATATTCTCGCCTCACATCTCTATTCTTAATAACTTTTTTCTTAAGATACCAAAACATATTTACTTAAAAACATTCTTTTTTTCTAGAAGATTCAGAATATGAAAAAGTTAAGGGTAGTTGCAGTTTTGAAGATATGACTGCAATAATTCTGCAAGGAGAGCTGTAAATAACTGTAGTAGTTCCTTAAAGTTAATTTTACTTTTTGCGTAGTTTGCTATTATACCTTGAGAAACTTTTGAGGGAATCAAAAACTTTTGCACACAATTGTAGAATTCTTTTATGTAAAGATTCAAAGCAATTTCTTACTTTATATTAAGAATAAAGTTATGCAATCCGAATCAAATCGATTATGTACTTTACAACCTAAAATTACAATGCTTAAAAATTTTCCTGTTCTACATTACAATATTTTTTAAACCATTATTAAATAAAATAATAATTGCAAATTACTATTTGCATGCACGGAATTTCCTTTGAATAAACAAATTTTAAAACTGAGTTAAAAAAGTTTTGCACTCGCTTAAGTTCCCAAGTTATGGCAAAAAACATTCTAGACTGTTTGCAAATTTTTAACAGTTTTCTTGACTGAGCCACAAATCACATCTTCCAAACTTTGGCTACTCCCATCCTTTGATGGCAAAAATCCCAAATCTGTAAAAAAATGTATGCTTTCCAAGAAGCATATTTTGGTGTCCCGTTTTATAATTTAATATTTAGCATTAATTAACATATTTGAAATAAATCCTTTTAACCATTAAGATGTTATTTTATTAAATGAAAATTTGCTCATTAGTACTAAGTTCTCAGAAAGATGTCTTTTTTTAGGGGAAGCAGGGGGGGGGAGTCAGTGTACATCCTGGTTATTTTTTTTAAATTAACCCATCGACACCAACTGCATGAAATAATTTGTTAATTTAATAAGCTCATAATAACAATATTCATTAGAATTATCTTCTGCGTTAAAAACTGTGAAAATAAGAAGTTTAAAATGGCAATTAAAAATCTGCTTTAACACACACACAAAAAATACCATTTTTAATTTGCTTATTAATAATCAAGTTTAATGCAAGTGTATATGAGAGCACAACACAATTTTGCCAACCTGTCAAACTTATACAAAAAATTTTTATCTAAGTATGAACTGAAATAAAGCTAATTCAAAATAAATTTTGGTTGATTTTTTAAAAAAAAAATTAAAGAATTAGGAAAAGAGTGTATAGTTGTACAAAATATAAACATTTTCTTTTATACAGTGATATTTTGGTCTTTTTTGGTATGTAGTTAACAAAGCTAATACAAATAACACCAACATCTTTAAGCCACGCCCTTAAAACATTTTAATTGGTATCATTAAATTTATATTAAGGTTTGTATTTGGAAGGAAACAAAATATAATCATAATACACAGATATTTGATTCTAAATCAGTGGAAATTTTTTAATTTATTTTAATCAATGATCACTAAATTTTTACCAACATATAACATCACATGAACTAGGATCAACTTGATAATAAATGAGACTTCTTCTGACTCATATAAAGTAAATGCATTAATCAAAAATTTAAATTTTAAAAAAATTACTTTAAACAGTCACTATTTCGTCATTTATATTGTGGATAATTTTCAATTCAAATAATCAACTACATTCATGTAGATAAATAATTCTATTAATTGATTTAATGGCAATACGGTAATGTTTTTATATAAAGAAAATAAGGGGAAAATCTTAGCATGATTGATCATCACATTAACAAGACCTCTTTAAAACTTCAGTGGAGAACAATAGTCTTTCTGTGGTTTAAAGAATGAGGATAATTTATTTTCACTGTTATATTATCATAAAATAATTAGAAGCTACTGTTCCCTTGTTGTTTACAACTCATTAATTTTTTAAAAAAAACTTATTATAAAAATATATTTTAATAAGTAAAAATAAATATGAAATACAATTTATGTATCTAATATTTATTAACATGAATTAACTATAATCATCAAGTAATTGATAGTACAGTTACATTTATTTTTATTTCACAAGGTGCTTGGCAAATATTAATCTACAACATTTCAACAATATCTTGCAAACATTTTGAGGACAAATTCATTGTGAAATTACCAAAATATTATTTAACTTTGTTTACATATTAACTGATACCTTTATGAAATATATATATATGCATATATTGTACAAATTTAGATCTTAAAGATATAATTGCAATAAAATTTAAAATTTTTTTTTATCAAAGTGATATTTTTGACAAGTTAAAATTTTACTATATATACACCTATAAAATTTGAACAAAAATTTATTATAATACCAATAACTTATGATCATAAATTATGTTTTATAAATCTTAAGAGTAGCTCTTTTGAACACATTTCATGGATTTTTTTGATGCGATAATAAATCTTCTTCAACATCACATTTTTTACCGCATTTACAGCACATAAAATTATCTTCTTGAATAAACTCTTTTTTTATGGTTTACAAGTGTTATTTCATCTGAAAAACTTTTTGGCATACAAAACAAGGAAAATGTTCTTTTTTTAATTTTATTATCAAAGTACCATGCAGTTCTTCACAAAGTACTTGCTTGAATTCAATTGTATTCAGATTTTATAAAGCTAATGAGTGGATCTTTTAAACAAATTTGATGGATTTTTTGATGCGATAACAAATCTTCTTGAACATCACATTTTTTACTGCATTTACACCACACAAAATTATTTTCTTGAATAAATTCTTTTTAATGGTTTTTAAGTGTTATTTCAACTGAATACTTTTTGGCATACAGAACAAGGAAAATGTTATTTTTTAAAATTTTATTATCAAAGCACCATGCGGTTCTTCACAGTACTTGCTTGAATTCAATTGTATTCAGATTTTATAAAGCTAATGAGTGGATCTTTTAAACAAATTTGATGGATTTTTTGATGCGATAATAAATCTTCTTGAACATCACATTTTTTACCGCACTTACAACACATAAAATTTTTTTCTTGAATAAACTCTTTTTTATGGTTTTCAAGTGTTATTTCATCTGAAAAAAGTTTTTTGCATACAGGACAAGGTAGTTCTTTTTTTAACTTTATTATCAAAGCGCCAAGCATATGTGGTTCTTCAAAGGTATTTTCTTGAATTACAAAATTATCTGAATCCGCAAAGAAATTTTCATTTTCAATTAAATGAGTTGGAATCTCTATTTCTACGTACTCACTATCATCTTGATCATTAAAGTTATCCGAATAATTTTCGTAATTGAATGAAACTATGTCGTCATTTGCATCATTAGAATCATCCACAGAATTAATTATACTGTTTCCTTGATTAATATCATCCTTATTAATTTCAATTACCTCATAATTTATTTCTTCTCCAACAGCCTCATAATTTAGTTCGGATTCAAAAGTTTCATTATCTATTTCACCTTCAAAAGTTTCATTACTTATTTCATCTTCTAAAACTTCATTACCTATTTCACCATCCACAGTTTCATTTTCTATTTGTCTTACATTATATATTTCATTTTCAGAAACATCATCATGTTTTCCACCTTCAATACCTCCATGACTTGTTTGAACAATTTCATAGTTTCTTTTATTTTTTCTCTTAACTCGATTTATATGACAGTGATAATGAGCTTGCAGAGAATATCTAGCTGTAAAACCTTTATGACAAATGTCGCATATATAAGGTTTAGCCTTAGTATGGCTCAATAAATGTCGGTCATATTCAGATGGCATGTAAAAACCTTTACTGCAATAAGAACAAAAAATTACAGGTTCTTCATGTCTTCGTTGATGTTGAACTAACTTCCATTTACATGGGAAACGTCGATGACATTTGTCACATTCAAAAGGTTTTTCATTCGTATGTACTAAGGCATGTAATTTGAGATAGGACTTTTGAGAAAAACATTTTTTACATGTTTCACATGAATAGGGCTTTTCATTGTTGTGAATAAGAAGATGCCGTTTTAAATGCTGTTTATAGCCAAAAGCATGAAAACATATTTCACAAACGAACTTTTTCTCTCTTATAATCTCTTCATTACTTTGGTTATGCGTACGATAATGTGAATCCCGATTACTTTTTTGGTTGAATCCTTTTTTACAGATATCACATTTAAAGGGTCTACTATTAGTATGTATTATTTGATGCCTATTGAGATCGTATCTAGTGAAAAAAGCTTTGCCACAGCTATCACAAAAATGATTCTTCTCCTTACCATATATACAAGTGTGAGTTTTTAAACGTTCAGCATCTTTAAATTTTCCGTTACAATCATCGCATTGAAGATAAACTTTGTGAGCACTTTTGTGCTTTTTCAAATTTTTCTTCGACGAGAATTTATCCTCACATTCATCGCACCCATACTTTTTGCAGTTTTTATGACTGCGGATGTGAGGAACAAGACCTTTGGGAGCGCAAAATTTACCACAGTATTTGCATTCTCTCTGCTCCATAACAGGAATACATTTATGACTTTTGAGATGCTTAGTGTCTTTGTATTTTCCGTTACATTCCTCGCACAAATAATGAGTGGCATGGGTGATCTTGTGCTCTTGCAATAATTTTTTAGTAGAGAATCTGAAATTGCATTCGCTACAATCAAATATAGTTATGTTAGTATGGCTACGAATATGGGCTTTCAGTCCTTTTGGAGCACATAGTTGCCCGCATAAATAACAAGCTTCCATCATTTTGTCCCAGTCCTTAAGCTCAGACATGTTAATTTACAGAAAATTAAGTGAATTTCAAATCAAAATATGATTTAATATAACTTATAAATGTCGAAACGATAACTTAAATCATCAAGCACAAACTACATTACTAATTCTCTAAACAAACAGTTGTGTTGGGTGGTTTTCAAAGAAGTAATCCAACTACGCTTGTGCTGTCTTTTCGATTATTAAAAATCTTAGGGAGAATTCTCACTGCACGCATTTGTCTCACCTTCGATAGCTGTCGTCAGTAATTTACGACGGAGATCGTACGTGCGTAAACCGCATGGAATAATGTAGTTGCAGGAAACACAGGCAACAAGAACGGACACTAAATGAAAAGAACATTGCCCTCTTGTAGATTGTTGTATCAATATCAATCGAGTTTACACGTCTTATATACTAGTGAATTGGAATTATATTTTTGTAGTGGTAAATGAACAGCAGTACTCTCGCACAGAATTATAGCTGTGATAGAATTGTTGTTGTTCATTTACGTCGCACTAGAGCTGCACAATGGGCTATTGGCGACGGTCTGGGAAACATCCCTGAGGATGATCCGAAGACATGCCATCAAAATTTCTATCCTCTGCGGAGGGGAGTGATAGAATTCGATGAAATGTTGTTGTAGTAGTTCATTTACGTCTCACTAGAGCTGAACAATGGGCTATTGGCGACGGTCTGGGAAACATTTCTAAAGATAATCAGACGACATGTCATCACAATTATGATCCTCTGCAGAGGGGATGGCAACCCCGCTTCGGTAGCCCGACGACCTGCGCGTGAAGTCGAGCACTTCACGGTAGAACCGTGTAACGAGGACCAATACCGCTCACCCTCAGTCCCTACGCAGACTGATCCAAGTGGTCACCCACCCGCACATTGACCGCAGCTAGTGATTCTTGACTTCAATGATCTGCTGGGCACCATGTCTTTACGACCGGTACCCAGCAGATCACTGAAGAATATATTAAAAAACACACCGTGACTTTACGACCGGTCCATTGCAGGACAATTCGATGAATGAATTAAACTAGTTGATTCAATGCAGTTTTGTGAGAGGACGGGAGAGCTGTATTGAGACCACCATACACCATACTTTTGAGAGCAGTTTTAAGTTCACGGTCGTGGTCGCTTCTGTGTTGTCTTTAGCAATCTAGTGAATACGTTGCACGTTGTGTGTGATCGAAACTGAGTAGCAACAGCGCGGAGAATTATACATGGACTATGTCAACCTTCATCTATCAAAAGGTACCTCAAGAGAGGAACAAGTTAACATGTCTTATATACTACTAGTGAATTGGATTTATATTTTTGTAGTGGTATAGATACACTACAGTGGTATAGATGGATACATTGCTAAATTGACCCAAAACCTTTCAGTTCGACCATTATCATATTTAGATATTGGAAATGCGATTAATTTTACACTACAGTTCGAATGGCAAAAAAGTTGGAATGAGGAGACAAATAACAAATTACTCAGTCTTATACCAAATATAGAACCAGTAATGAAACAAAGTTTGCCGAGAAAATACGAAGTTATATTGAATCGTTTGCGCATTGGTCATACACGTATTACACATAGACATCTCTTACTAAGTGAACCTGCACCAGATTGCTCTAGCTGCAATGAACCATTAACTGTTAAACACGCTCTGATCCAGTGCAATAAATTTAAATTTCTAAGACAACGCTATTTTGGCTACAATAATCCTACTTTACACTTACTTATTGGCGATAAACCACACTATAATTTTCTGTTGTACCTTAAGGACATTGGGTTTTATAACTCAATTTAACTTTACCTTTTATTTAAACCAAGCACTCGTTTTTTAGACCAAGTTCATGGTGCGGTATGGCCATTTCTGGCTCTTGCGCCAGAAACACTAAATAACTAACTAAACTAACTAACTAAGATACACTACACAATTTTTTAATATTTAATGAAAAAAATTTTTGTTGAAATTCAGAAAAAGCATCCATTTTTTTAATATTTTGAAGAATTTGTTTTTGCGTTGAACCATAATTCTTTCATAAAATCTTGATCAATTTAAAAAATTTAACTTATCAATCAGTATACGAAACAGAAAATAAATAATCTTAAAGCAAAAAAATTTTTGCTTGCAATTATGAAATTAAAGATAATCCCATGCAAAAAAATTTATAATATATAGGTTAAATAATATTTTGGTCAAATAAAATAAAATTTAACAAACGTGACTTCTTTGAAATTTTATCAGTAATTGTAAACCATCATTTAAATTTTTGGATTTTTTTTTGTTAAAATTATCTTATAAGTTATTAGCTATGTATTTAAAACATTTTAATTGATTGATTTGTTCATTTACGTCGCACTAGAGCTGCACAATGGGCTATTGGCGACGGTCTGGGAAACATCCCGGAGGATGATCCGAAGACATGCCATCACAATTTTGATCCTCTGCGGAGGGGATGGCACCCCTGCTTCGGTAGCCCGACGACCTGCGCGCGAAGTCGAGCACTTTACGGTAGAACAGTTTAACGAGGACCAATACCGCACACCCTCGGTCCCTACGCAGACTGATCCAAGTGATCACCCACCCGCACACTGACCGCAGTCAGTGATGCTTGACTTCGGTGATCTGCTGGGAACCGTGTCTTAGCGATCAGTCCACTGCGGAATTTTAAATTAAGTAATAAAAAATTAACTTTAGACAAACAAGTCCAATAATTTGCGGAATTTTTTTTTTACTTGTATAAATAGTTTACAAATAGCTTCATTGCGAAATATTCATTAACATTCAAGTGAAATTAACATCGGGGAATCTGAATTCTTGACTATTCATCTTATTAATACGTAACTATGCTTTAAGGTTTATAAATCAAAAAAATTTTTTTTTAATATATGTTTATACAGCGATAGTAGGATTCTGTATCTAATTCCGTAAAATCACCAGGATTACTTAATTAGCATGCTTAAAGTTTATTCTTTATTAAAATAATAGATAAATTTAATTTTAGTGTGTGAAAATCAAATCTTTAAATTAGAATTCACTTTGTTTCCTCCTTTATTTTGCACATAACACATAAAATTTAATACTTTTTATTTATTTTTATTATTCGTTTTAAAATGATCCCTTTCAATAAAATAACTTTTTGATTTTAAAATTAAAAATCCTTCAAATTGATTTGCATTTATAAAAATATAATAATTAAGTTTTTTTTCATTGTTTTACCAAAAATTAAGTCTAGTCTACAGTAAATTTAGCTTTTCACATTAACAGGGTTGATTGTGAGCCCAAGTCAAAATTCCAGAAAATTTCTTGAGTTAAAAAAAAAAAGTTTAAATTGAAAAAAATTTAAACAAGGTTTTTTCCCCCTTTTTCAATATATCTTAGTTTACTTAAAATATTTTTATAATTTTACACATACCTATGATGACCTGGAGAAGTAATTAAAATTTACAAATATGTCTTTCCTTCTTGAGTTTATGATTATAACAACTATTTACTGATAAAAATGAATATTAATCATGAATACTATAAGCTTATAAAGTATATCTCTGGCTCTCCCTTACGCAGAAATGAAATAAACAGTGTTTTTAAGTTCCACCTTTGAAAATTTGAACTCCCGAAACTTCTGTGATCAATGATTTTTTGAAACGTCTGGACCTTCGATCTCCGGAAACTTCCGGATCACTGTTAGAGAAAGTCCGGAAATCCGGATTTTTTTCCGCAGCACAATCAGCCCTGCATGAAAAAATTTATTTATTATTGGAAAAAGTTATTTCTGAAATGCAATTGTAATATTGTTGTCCTGTATGTCTCAGTCATATTTTCCCAGAAGTATGCTATTTGACACTTGCTGCTCAATTTTTAAAAAGCAATATTTCTCAACTTTTTAAAACTTGGGATAATGTCAGTTTTAGTGATTTATTTTTTTAAAAAGGCAGTGTTTTTCGAATTGAAAAATAGTACTTCTTTTACAGACAAGTACGTTACATAACATTTTTCTTTAAAAAAAAAATCAAAGCAATTAAAATTTAGAAAATGTGTGCTTTTTACAATTTGGAAAATTTGATTCTAATAGTTTAGTCATCAGAGCATTCAATAATTTCCCTACTGCTATTTTTACTTTTTGTAAAATACCAATCTACCTCTGGAACTAACTGCATAAATTAAGAGTACATTTTAAAACATATTTACCCAAAAATGTCTTAGATAAAAAATAATTTTATGATTACTATTAACTCTTGTTATTAAATGCAAAAATAAAAACAATTGATTTTTAACAATTCTTTTTAACTTTATTTGAAAATCTTCTAAAGTAAATTTTCAACCATAAAGTCAAACGTTTAAATGAAATAATTACAAATCCTTAGTAAAATAAAAATTCAAAAGCACTGTTTTTGAATACTTATTTATTGAATTATTCAATAATATAAAAATGCATAGTTCAATAAAATGTTATATTATGTTGAGTCAAAACTTTTCAATCATTTTTAAAGTAAATAATTTTAAAAATAGCTAGTTATGGAAAAATATTTTTTGGGTAAACTAGCTTATCATTATATTCGAAAGACCACCAGAGATATAAGGAAAAATATATATAGTAGGAGCCATATTATTTTCCAGCCAAACAAGGTAGAAAATAATCCTTAACAATGTCAAAATTTTTTTTTATGATAACTACTAAATATTAATTGATGATTAACAATTGTATATAAAATAAAGACATTTATTTATTAAGTACAGTAGAGCGCCGATTATCCGAATGTCCAATTATCCGAACTGTGTTCGAATTTATTTATTAATTTATTTTTTTTCAAAGTTTAGAATACTTTTTAACTTATCAACAATTTTTCTAAATTTCTGAAAAAGTAGATCATTCGGATGAAAAGATGCCAGGTTATGCAGCAGAAGAAATAGAAGACTGGTGTCGAGACACTGAAAACGTCCCGGTATTTCAAATGATGATGAAATAGTTGCTAAAATTTTGAATGAAAATCGGAACTCCACAGAGGAAGACGTAGGTGATCAAGTTCAAAGTAGTGGACCTTCTCATATAGATGCATGCAACTTATTAGATATTGCAATGAATTAACTAGAATGCCAAAATGATGTTGATCCATTTCATTTGATTTATTTAAAAGAATAAGGAATATGGCTGCTCAAAAAAGAGCATCTTCTTTGAAACAAAAGTCTTTGCTGGATTTCTTTTGTAATGGAAAATAAAGAAAAATGTGGTTAAATCAGTAATGGACAAAAAAAAATTTAAAAAGCTGAAATATGATTAAAAAAATTCAAAATAAAAAAAAAAGTTTTAAAAAAAATAACTAAAAATATTTAAATTTTTTTTTAAACAGAGCTATTTTAGATAGTACTGCCAGTCCTAAACCTGGAAGAAGTGTGAAGGCAAGTTAGTGCATAAATAATGATAATTTACTAGATTTTAAACAACCTTCCAATTATCTGAACGATGTTTGGTCCCGAGCAGTTCGGATAATCAGCGCTCTACTGTACTTTAAAAATAATCACAAGTTTGACAGCTTCATTAACATCTAACCAGTCTCTAGTTTTGTTTTGTGCAAATCTAAAAACAGAAAACAATCTTTCTATACCAGCAGTTAAGCATACTGCTGCATGCAATTACATCATGATCTGTATAACATTTTATCTATTTGTTTTGTAAGGCTAATACATTTTGTTTGATTCATAATAGTGTAAAATTTTGCTACGGTGAAGGAATATATAAAAGATGTAACGAGACATATTTCAATTCTGTAAAGAATACTCGATCAAACAATATAAATCAAAAATAGTTTCAGTTAGTAAAAAGTAAAATTTTTCTAACATTTGTTCCAAATGACTCTTTTTTTTAAACATCTAGCATCAAAAATCATTCAAGGTATCTTCAACATGTTATAGTCGTTGAGTGCCAAGCGTATTTTTAAAGGAATCCCTCTCATGCCAATGTTTGTAGCATAGCAGTAGTGCTTGTTTTATAGTATACCAGTGCGACAAGCTCACTACTAAAAGATTGAAGTAAATAAAAATTTGATTTGTTAAAAATAAAAATCAAGTAAATCTTAAACAAATTTCTAGTAATTGATAACAACAATGAAAATTTCTTAGTTTTAGATAAAATTTTATGCTGTAAATCACTGATAAGTGATGATGCCATAATAGAAAGTTCCGTTTCAGTCACTCATGACTGATGTGACACTCAATGTGTTTTTAATGAGAGACAATTTTCCCCCAATCATTAACTAAGTACATATGTTAACGAAACTTTATTGTAGAAAGATGACCACCAAGATTTTGGACATTTAACATTTTAAATTTGTATCAATAAATTAATTAACTTTTAATAGTAATTAAATTTATTTTAAGCATGCGTTTTATAATAAATAGATAAAATATTAACATTAATGAATGTTGCACAGACATAGATTTGTTACAATAAACATTCTTTTTGGTTAACTTGAGATATAATTTTGATAATAATTGATCAATTTCATAATTCTGATAACATTACTTATCCCTGCCTTTAATATATATTTTTAGCACTCTTGCCAAAAATATAGAAAAAAAAAAGGTATACATTGAGAGTAGCAAACTAAGGCTTAAGTGAGAAAACTCACATATGATATCAAAACCTGAAAGTAATAAAACATTGAAAACTTTAAAACTTAGTAATATTGACAAACCAAACTGAGAGAAGATGAAGGATTATTATAAAACAGGTTGCATAGCCAAATCTTTCAACAAAAAATAAGCACCTTTTAAGTAGTTTTTAAGCACTCAAAAACTATTTTTAAGCATTATATACATTAACAAAATGCAAAATAAGTTTCAAAGATTTTACATGATCACGATAAAATAACTAGTTTCTGACAAATAATTCTTTTCTTGATTATATTAGTCACCATCAAAAGATAGAGAGATTTTTCGATTCGACTTCAGAAATGAAGCCTGAAATTGAGAACTAACAAAAATTGAGATCTAACAAAATACAGCAGAGTCGCACACGAGAGTGCAATAATTTCACCGAACCCATCTCAGTAGACGCAAATCCGGATTTGCAAGTATTTAATCAAACATGCAAAATGATTGGCTCTTCCATACACTATGGATCGAAGGTACGCCGAAATGGATTGTGGTTGAATGAATGGTAAAAACGTTGAATAGAATAATGTGAAAAGCATGCTTTTGCATAATACATAATATGTTTCGAAATTTGTCAGGGTAAAGAAAAAAATTTCATTTGCGAAAAGGGAAAACTAAGCACTTTTCAAAAACTCCCAATGAAAAAAGCACCTTAAAGGGCTTTTAAAAAACGAAAAAAAGAGCACTTTTTAAAAACGCTATGCACTATGTAAAAAACACTTAATTTTTTTAATTTGGCAATAAATCTAATTTTTAATTTTATTTTCAACCATTGACGGTTCTGAACATAAAAAGTCGTGTTTTAATCCACAGTTTTCACGCCATAGCAAAACTGGTTTCCCATGTTATTAGATAAAGAAATATTGTTAGGAAGGAAGAAACATTCTCCAAATTTGTCCCATTTGCTTAACCCCCAAGGGGTTGAACTTCTCTCCACAATGAAAGAAATTGTCAGATTCAAATAATATTCTTAATTTTTCTTCACTAAAATGTTACATTAATGAATCAAGTGTATAAATACACTTTTATTTTTTACAAGAAATACATAATTCATTAAAGGTGATGATTACAGAATACCATACAAATTGTGTTTAAAAATGCTGTAGTTAATCTTAACTGAATTATCTTATTATCCAGTATTTATCATAATTTCTTAGTAAGTTTATTCATGGAAACTAATTTATTGAAAATGATTTACAATGACATATTTTTGAATAGAAATATTTAGACAATGTAACTAATTTTGAAAAATAATGTTTATTTTAGCTGGCACTGATGCAAGCATCTTCAAAAAACATGCGTAGCTACATAATTTTTTCTGTAGCTGCTGTAGAATTCAACTGAATTTATAAATAAATTTTTAAAATATAAACAAAAAAAATTCATAATCAGGATAATTTAAATCTTGAAGTTTGATCTTGAAGTAATAATTTGCAGCCTTTTCTTAGAATATGAGCCTGACACAAATATATTATCTTATTGTAATTACTCATAACAACTAATTGTTAGTAATTTATTCAAATCATTTAACACATTCTTGAAAATTTTTAGTCATGTTGAAAAAAATTTTGGTTAAGCCAGCTGATATTGATGTAGGCACATTAAAAAAATATTTGCAGTTATGCAACAATTTTACTTCAATACAACATTAATTGACAATGCAAACATTTTTTCTCAATATGCAATTGTAATATAAATCAAGAAAATTGACAATCAGGATTACTTAACTCCTCTGATTTAATATTTTGAAGTTCAACAACAACAATTTGCTGTCCTTCATCAGAATATTCTTCCTCTACCAATTCTGGTTTAATTTTTGAAATGATCTCATTTGGCTGAACTAGTTTCAATGGATTAACCAATCTGAATTTTTGCGAACGTTTTCTCCTAACAGGTCTTAAATGTGCTGGATCCGGATCATCTTCTGTGATTATTTGGGCACTTTTCTTTTTTGAAGATTTATTATCTTTTGCATCATCCTCTAAACATACCAATATATCCGAGTGTTTCCTCTTCAGGGGTTTTGAACCTGTTTCATCAGAATTACCTTCCTCAACTAAAATCATCTGAGATACGTTATCTTCCTCTCTCCTTCTAATATCATTTCTTACCTGATTTCTGGAATGTTTTAGATAATGTTGAATAAGGGAGTCCATAACAGAGAATTTTTCATGACAAATATCACAAATATAAGGCTTGGTTTTAGTGTGAGTTTTATAATGGGAATCATAACGTGAACTTGAATGGAAACCCTTGTTGCAGACAGTACAAAATATAGTTGGTTCACCATGCCTTTTACGATGAGTATATAAGTTAGTATACGATTTAAAGCTTTGACCGCATTCCTCACACTTAAATTTCTTTTCCTCTGAATGAGTCAGTAAGTGACACTTTAAGTGAGTTGATTGATTAAATCCTCGATTACATATGTTACACACATGAGGTTTAATACCACTATGAATTTTACGATGTCTATTTAAATGTTGTCTCCATCCAAAGGCTTGGAAGCATATGTCGCAAACATATTTTTTTTCCCGTACTGGAGGTGGAATAGATTTGTCTCTCAAATGGCCCTGGTAGTGTATATCGCGATTACTTTTTTGAGTGAACCCTTTATCACATATATCGCATAAAAACGGTTTTTCATTTGTGTGGGACCTGATGTGACGATTAAGGTCGTAAGGAGAGTAAAATGCTTTTCCACAAGTGTCACATACGCGGTCTCTTATTTTTCTAGAAACACATGAATGACTTTCATATGACTGATGAGTTTCAAACTTCTTATAACAATTGCGGCAAACATAATGGGTTTGGTGAATTGTTTTATGTTTTTTTAATATTTTTTTCGACTTTAAACATCTTCCACATTCATCACAACGATAAACCTTATTATCTGTGTGTGTTTTTAAATGGCTTTTGAGACTGTTTTTTGAGCAGAGCTTACCGCACACATAGCATTCTTCTTTATGGCTTTTTTCACAGTCACTTGAAGCCATTATACTATCTTGAATGCACGAAACGAACAACCAATCAACAAAATTTTGAATGTTCCTAGAAAATTTGAAAATTATTTATTTTCGTACTTGCTTTGATTGTTTACTTAAAAGGCAGTGTCTATTGCACCGACTATCGGTTTCTAGCATTTGAACATAATATATTAATATGTATTAATAGTTATTTATTTTTGTAGAGAATTGTTGGGACTGCGAGAAAAAACATTTTGCCTTATAAATTATTAATGTTATTAACTTCATATTTATCAAATATATTTTATGTAATTCATTTTCGGTGGTTGACTTATAAATTAAATGAAGATTAAATAACTTTTTTCAATAAATTATGTATCCAATCAGTAGCCCCCCCCCCAAAGCTCTTGGGCGCATTCTTGGGCAAATTCTAAATTATTCGTTTTATTTAGTTCGTTTTATTAAAAACTATTCGTTTTATTTAGTGTAAAAATTCCCCCCCAAGCTTTAAGTGGGCGCATCGTGAGCCCACCTCCCCCCCTGGTGGGGGCCCCTGTATCCAATAACGAGGATTTAATGGCAAAAAAATTTAATTTTTGTCTTATTTAACTATCAAAAGTAATTTTAAAAATAATTTTATTATCTATTAAAAATAATTTTGCTTAGTCATTTAATTCCAAAATTCTTAGTGAATGACGGATCCCAATGACAAAATCCAACCCATGGTACAAGAAAACCTCTCACTTGGTTTTATAATGCAAAAATGCAGAGTGAGAGCTCCAAAGATAGATACTTTGAAATCGTGTTTTAGGAATCTATATCTACACTCAACATTTTGTCTTCAGATTAATGTTTTTAAATTTAAAATGATGGGGAATTCATCGGCAATATTTAAAATGTGCATTCACATTTATAATGCTTGGGCTTGAAGGGTCCAACATGATTGCATAGGATCTATGTATTCCTTTCTAAGGTTCTAATAGTTTTTACATGGTTCTCGTCTCTTTAAAATGTATTGTTTATGGGCAAAAAATATCAAAAGTTTATTTTGCCCAAGTTAGGGGGGCCCCAAAATCCTATTATGCTTCCCCTATTTTCAGAGGTTAATCGGGCCCTGGGTATACCATTAAAATATATGAAAATATGTTTTGATCTTATGTTTTGATCTTAAAAATAACTTTTGATCTAATGATCAGAGACCTTCACGCTTAGGGCTCAAGAGATGGGTGACCACAAATATGCTAATTAATAAGAGTCGACGATATTTTAAGTTACGAAGAAGTCAGACAAAAAAAAAAGTACCTTCTCTGAATAAACATATATCATTTTTGGAAGGCTACAGACAGATTTACGAACCCCCTAAATATAGGTGGAAGCGGCAACAATTTATAGCCAGGAAAAGTTAATGTAATAAATCTTACTATTTTGTGTATTTCGCTACATCTCGAGAACTTTTAAAGCAAATTAGATAATCCTATGCAAAAAATTAATTTTTAGTGAACTTTCATTATTTTATTCAACAATGGTTGAAAAACTTTTTAAAAGTAGGTATACAATTCTTTGCACCCATTTTAAAAATTATAATTTTACAGGACAAAATTTGAGCGAAATCGATCGAATAGTTCCTGAGAGATCGAAGTTTAAATATCTAGCCCTTTTGAAATTCAATTTCTAAGAGACTATTCGACTGATTTCGCTCAAATTTTGTATTTTGCCATGTAAAATTATATTATTTAAAAACAGATGCAAAAAAACTTGATAACTTTTCAAAAGTTTTTTTTATCAAAATTGAATAAAATAATAAAAGTTTACTAAAAATTATTTTTGGATAAATGAATTTTATAAGTGTGTGAAAATTTTCTTCGATTCGCTTAAAAAATTTTGATGTAACACAATGCGTAAAGTAAAATTAACATTAAGAGGTCCAAACTTTGGAGCACTTTCTTGACCGCCATATTTCATGGACTGCTGCTACCCGTATATTTTGGGGTCTAGAAATCCAAATCCGTCAAAAATGGTATGCTTATTGGAAGAAAGTGCAATTTCTATTTAATTCTGGCACTTAAAATATCGTCTGTACTAAAATTAGCACATTTGAGGTCACCATGGTGACCTCAAATGTCCTAATTTTAGTACAGACTTGCAAGTCCTAGGCATCTTATCATCAAATCAAAAGTTATTCAGGGTGGTCCAGTTCGTTGTTTTTTTCCTTTTGTTGCGCATTGTACATTCCAGGCTGAAAAACGAATGGAATGTATGTTACGATACATTTCATGACAAACATCCCTTTCTGCCATTAAAGGAATATATAATTTCTAATATCGCCCAGTCCTAGTTACGATACATTTCAGGACAAACATCCCTTTCTGCCATTAAAGGATAGTCAATTCGTTTTTACTATGGCAAAATATTTTCAGTTTAAAATAGCTTTGCTTCTAATCTTGATGGTTGAAGGCATATCAGTTTCAGGGACAGGGGCAATGTTTTAAAAGCGTACTTGGTTGTACAGTTAGATCGGATCATGATCAATTTCCAAGAATTTTTCTTTTGTGTTAAACTAAAACTACAGATGTAACTAATGGATGAAGGGTCATATTACTTCCTAATTCAGTCCGGATGCAAAAAAAAAAATAAAAAAAAAGCGTTACGTTTTTTTTCTTCCATAATTTTAGTCTATTTCAGATTTTTCCTTTTTTTTTAATATTTCTTAGTTTACTTAGAATATATTTAAAATTTTATACATACCTATGATGACCAGGTGAAGTAATTAAAATTTACAAATACAGTCATTTTTTCGAGTGACTGTACAGTAAATCCTGTTTCTGTGCGGTCCTTTTTTATGCGATTTTGGTTTTGTGTGATTTATTTTTATGCGGTATATGAATCTTAGGGGCAGTTTAATTTTTCCTATCAATGTACATATACATGTTGTGGACGAACTCTGATTACGTGGTCTCTCCTTGACAGCGATGTATCTGGACTTCGCGATGCTCTGTTCATTTATTTTAAACAATCTCCTGATAAGGCAGAGTCAGTTACGTACATACGAGGGTCACTCTGAAATTTTTGAGATACAATTTGGTGTTTAAAGTTACACTTCATGAGGTTTACAAGCAACTGACCAGTCGACCGTCGTCATAAAATTGATCACCGATTTTATGGTACCAAGAAACAAATCAATTTAAATCCTATCTTCAAGCTATTGTTAACTATTTCAGAAGATGCGCGTTTTGGCTTACGACGAGTAGCAGCAAACTATTTAACGCATAATTTGAAAACTTCTCCAAGTACATGAAGAATTAATTATTTTTAAAATTTTTTTAGGTCTAATTTAATTGAAAGCATTCTCCATAAATCATTGATGTATTTTTTTCAAGTCCAACTTTTTTTTATGCGTTCCTTACCACTGCATAAAAATTTTTTTTAGGTAGTATATCGTACAAAGTTGTTTATTATACGTAATAACTTATAATTTTTTTTTTATGATTTCTTTTATGCGGTCCCTATCCAACGCACAAAAAAAGGTTTTACTGTATGTTTTTCTTGAGTTTATGATTATAATAACCATTTACTAATAAAAAATAAATATTTATCAGGAATATAAGCTTATAAAGTATCTGGCTCTCCCTTACAAACAAATAAAATAAACTGTGTTTTTAAGTTTCGCCTTTGAAAATTTGATTTCCAGAAACTTCTGTGATCAATGATTTTTTGAAACGTCTGAACCTTCGATCTTAGGATCACTGTTAGCGAAAAATTCGGGATTTTTCCAGAGCGTAATCAGCCCTGCCTATTGACAAAACAAGTTACGATTACTTTTGGACCACTGAAAGCTAAATTTGTCACTTTACCACTTAAGAGAATTATTGTAAATAAACTTAGAATTTTTTCTGCCTTACGGGTAGAAGTCTCAAATTTCAACTGAATTGCTATAGATCTGTGTCTGATGCGCAAAAAACTAAACATCTTCAAAGTTACAAAATAATCCTTTAAGTATTTCTTGAGAAATTTAAAGCACTTGTTTTTTGAACCTGGGACATAGTATAAAATGTCCTTTCACTAACCTGGAGTAGACACAAAAATAAGTTAAAAAATAAAATTGTGTGAAGATAAACTGCTGGAATCTTAAGTAACTCAGATTTATTTGTATTGTCATTTAAGATTTAAAATTAATTAAATACGATTTAATTTTTTCAGTGCCTGTATCAAAGTAATACCATGTTTGGTACTATATATGTTTGATATTATACATATGTTGTGGAGGTTAAAATTTTTTAAGTTCCACTTATTTAAATTAAGAATCAAATATAAAAGATAACTTTCAAAGTAAAATCTTCATAAAACAGAGGAAGTTGATAAATAGGAATTTTATAATCAATATTTAAAGATTAAGTGTAGGAAAGAAAGGAGTAGATTTTTTAAAAATTTATTCTCGAAACATTTCTATAAATACAAAACCTTGTATATTATCAAAATTTCATCAAACACAAATGCAAGAAGAAACTAAACTTTTATTGGACAAAAATGTAGCAGATTTAAAAAACTAAATATAAATTTATACAATTAGGATTAGAAGCAAGCAATCACAAAGTTGAAAGAAACATATACTACATAAATTACAGTTAAAAGGAACATACTGAATGCAAATTTATTGAAAGTAAAGTACTATTCTATCAAAATAGGTAACACCTATACTTAGAAACTTAATTATTTAACAACTTGGTGGGAAAATTTATGTCATTGAAGTTCATCAGAAATTAATAATGAAGAGTTTTTATGTGGACATTCACTTGAAATTTGACAATGGTTAAACAAATATTTTTTTTTTTTAAAAAAGCAATAAAAATTACTAATTAAGAAATAAAGTTTGTTTCAGAATTAAAAAAAATATAAAGTTGGCTTACACATGACAAATATTTATTCAAAATTGGCTTACACATGACAAATATCTATTCAAAATATATCTCACAGGAAGAAAATCAAAATAAGCTAAAAAAAAAGCCTAAAAAGTTTAGATTTTGAACAATACTTTTGCTCTGGAGGCTGCAGAGGGCCGCCACAGGAATAGTGATACCACTGCGAATAAGAGTCGCACAAAATAGTATCACCATACCGCAATCTTGTTTGCATGAATAACATTCCCATGTCATCATTTTCGATTTTGTAAAATCACATTTTTAACCAATAGCCACCCATCAGAAGTAAAGAACAGCTTCACTTCATTAATTTCAACACATGATTCCATACAAGAAGAAACCTTCTCTATACCACATTCTATAGCAGCTTCTTCTTCAAAATGCCTTTATTTATGGTCTTCGATAATGTCTCTTCATCTACAAAGCAGTTCATAAGCATATTTTTTTCCCTCCAAAACTGCTTTTCTTGTAAAAGGAGTGGGCCTATTACCTTTCTTCCTCTTCAAACCAACAACTTTTGTCGTTAAACCTAAAAATATAAAATATTTTAAGAAAAAAAAAAGCTAGATAAAAGAAATCATTGCAGAAGATAAAAATTGCTAAAATAAAAATAAAGTAGTTTTTAAGGACGATGGGAACCCGGCATAAATAATAGAATTAATTTTTGGGCCATTTAATGAGTGATTTTTTTTTAAATATGCAAAACAAAACAAAAAAAAGGAAATTTTTTTTTTAATTTTAGAAAGAATTGCTAAATTGTGTATTGTAATCTCATTTGCTAAATTGTGCAGTTAGAAAAGCTAAGGAAGGGAAAATAATAAATCTGACCAAATTGAAATTGTTTTAATGCAAGATTAATATACTTGTTCCTTTCACATTATTGTTGCATTTATATTTTATAATGTTAGAGTTAAAAATTGTGTCTTTAACAATAAAAAAGATTCAAATACAGTGGTACCTTGAGATACGAATGCCCTTACATACGAGTTATTTGAGATACGAGGAATGGCCTTGCAAGCCCTTCTCGTCCTCGACAATGCTCCCGTTCACCCACCGAGCCTCGAAGTCTATAGCCGAAAATTGTGCTGTCGGCTAAGTCCGTAGCTTTGAAGGATTCGAACTCGAAGTGCCAGCGGAGGAGGAGATTGTGCCTCTGAGAAAATCCATGGACCTGGTGATGGGTGAGCATTCGGGCGTACTGCAAGAAATTGGATTCGAGGAAGAACCAGAGGTGGAGGAGGTTATCTCTACAAATGAGATAAAAGAATTCTTGGGAATGTGGAAGAGAATTTCACAGTTCGTGGAAAAGAAACACCCTGAAAAAGTTGAAACTGGTAGTACATCGGAGCTATTTAATGAGACTTGCCTAACTCATTTCTCCAGCATTCTGAAAAGGAAGAAACAAACCTCCTTGGACAGTTTTTAAATCTGGCTAAAAAAGCAAAGACCAGTGAAGAGAAAAGCAGTGACTAAAAGTAAGCATATAGTAGCATTTAAGTTGTGTGTAAGTTGCATTTAAGTAACCAAAATACAAATATGCATGTACACTTTATAAAAGCAGTTTTTTCTGCTTCACATTCTCTTTTATTATGTTTTTATATAGTATTTGTCATTTATAAATACATTTTTCTTATTCAAAAACACACAAAAAAAACAATTGAGGGTAGCATTTTTGGGGACGGAACGGATTAACGGCATTTCAATGGGCAAAATTGCTTTGAGATACGAGCAAGGTTAGGGAACGAATTAAACTCGTATCTCGAGGTATCACTCTATATTAGTGAGTTGGTGACGATGCGTTATTTAAACTCCTTTTAATTTTGTTACATGCATTTTATATTAACTTTTTGGATTTATTTCTATTTTTAAACTTTTACAATACTATTTAAATAAAAATATTTACACAGTAAAACTTATATAAAAAAAGAACATTATCATAAAAAATACTATGTCATAATTTAAAGTGAATAAAGATATTTAAAGAGATATGAATTACATTAAATGTCAGCACAAAATCACTATTTATGATAATAACATTCTGAATATATTCTTCCTCAATTGGAAACAAATTGTTTACTAATATAATACTATTATAAGGGTCATGCATTAAATTATTAAAAAAATTATATTGTTATAACAGTTTGCATAACTAAAGTCAATGTACTTGCTTTACTTACAAGTATTTCATTGAATTTATTTTTAAAACACAAACATTAAATTTGCCTCAAAACTTATTTTACTTGGCCAAAAACAAATTCAGAATTTGAATTTTCTATGTGTCTCTGCTTCTAACCATATTTTATGGATACATAAAATTTAAAGCAAGGACTGCATATGAAAATTTACTATACTCTTATATATAACTAAAATACATTTGACATTATGTCAAGGTAAAAAAACAGGGGATATTTCGTATTGTGATCTGGCGAAGGAACTACAATTGTCAAGGTGCCAAATAGATTTTAAACTTGCAAATTTTTTTAAAAAATATATGTAGATAATTGCCTAGGGGTAACTACAAGTTATACCTTACGAGTCAGTCCCTTTCTATGACATTTCTTTTAGTTTCTCGCGGGCCACTGCCCGGAAGTTTCCTGGACTTTGCGATTATTCTGCCGCAGATCACGATACAGAAATCTCATTTAACAACAGTTTAAGCAACAACAATAAGTTCAAATAGATATTATAATATTCACACGTAAGTCAGTGTAAATCACTCTGAGTAACAAAATAATTTCTTAACTATACAAACAAAATTATGATAGAAAATGGAGATAATTAGAGTAAATGAAGGAAAAATTTTTACCTATATGAAATGGATAATCGGTGCAATAGACACTCCGTTTTATTATTTGCAAAAATCCTTACTTAAGATTATTTTACCATAGTTCATACATGCTCGCTTTTACCTAACTCATGTTTTTTAACGTCAAAAGCTTTCTTTAAAATTCGCATCCTAAAACGACCTGAGTTGTACAAAAACAAGTAGCTAGAGGCTTACGAAATCACTGGTAAAATTTCCAACTGAGAAATCTGTTTTCAAGTTAATTATGGCAAAACATCATCCTGATCTCATATTTTGTCGTAAGCAGGCTGGAGTTGGTAATATGATTTAATATTCTGTTTTTTAACGTTTAAAATATTAATTGTTTCTCATATAATTTCCTTTGTCCGATTGTTAAGATACCTTTCCCTGTAGATCACCGAAGTCGAGCATCACTGTCAGTAAGCAGATAGTTGACCACTTTGATCAGCCGGCTAAGAGGTCGAGGTTGTGAGGTACCAGTCCTCGTTACCTATTCTACCTTAAAGTACTCGGCTTCGCACGCAGGTCTTGGGCTAGGAAAGCGGAGGTGATCGAAAATTGTAATGGCATGTCTTCGGACCATCCTCATGGTTTGTTTTCCAGACGGTCGCTAGTAGCCCATTGTGCAACTCTAGTGCAACGTTATTTAACTATTGCTATGCAATTTTGCTTTCTATAATAGGAAATTTATGTTGAGAAGATTAAAGTTCGCCAAGTTTTGATAACTTCCGGGCAAACAACCCGGCCTGCGAGTAATAGTTATGTAAAAATACAACACAAAGCATCTCGATGGTATAGCTCGCAGCTACCCCCACCCCCGAGCATACGTTTTTTTTAAAAAAAATTAAAAATTTGTTTGGCTGTTGTAGTTGGTGTGTAACAAATCAGGATATGGAAATATTCTTCATTTTTAGTATACATATTAATATGTGTACTTTAAAAAATTTTATAGTTATATATATATATAAAGTTTGGAAAATATTATAATAGTTAATCTAATATAACTTACCGTGATATTTCACTGTTAGAATTGTAAACCAGATTTGCATTAATCACAGTGGTGCAAGTGCTGCGCCAATTGTGGAAACCTGCGCGTACATGCTCCAAATTGAAGTAGTTGACTTAAATTGCTCCAAAAAGGATATTTTCCCTAGGGTATCGCCAAGTCACAATTTTGCGGCAACCAAGCTACTGCCATGTGGAGGGTTGCTCTGGATTCAGTGGGAAGGATTCTTGCACTCTCGTGTGAAGATTTTATAGTTGTATTTCACTCTTAGAATTGTAAACGAGATTTGCATTAATCACAGTGGTGAATTAGAATGGAAGACACTTCTAATAAGCCAATAAGATATCTGGCAACAGTAACCCCATCCATTATAAAACCTGAAGAGGCATCTTTGTTACTGTGACGTGGGGAACCAGAAGATTATTCTTCTGACTTAAATGAATATGCACCAATTGATGTGTTTTGGAAAAACTGTTTTGTGAAGAAAGATAATTTGGGAAATATCAAATATGCTCTTTTAACAAAGCTTTTTAGAGCTCTTTTGTGTTTACCACATATTGAAAGAGGTTTTAGTGTGAACAAAAGGTTACTCGACAATAGGGCAAGTTTAAATTCGCATAGTGTTAATAGTTTGGGGCAACTTGTGTCACATATTAACAAAATAGGGAGTTAAAATAACTTTAAAATTGACAACGATATGATTAAAGTGGCGCTTGCAGCATTTAAAAATTATTCTGCTCTATTAGAGGTTGAGAAAAAAGAATGTGAAAACACTGAAATTGATTTGCAAAAAAAATTGAAGGCATCTCATGATCTCTTAGCCACAGCTGAAAAAAACATGACAGATGGGTTAAATAAGGACATGTCGATTATAGAAAGCGGACAGATCCTCTTAGCTGAGGCTAAGTCGAGGATAGCAGAATATTTAACAGTCTTGGAAGATAGCAAAAAGAAACTTAGTTTGTTAATGCAGGGACCTTCAAAAAAGTGTAAAAAATCAAATATGTTATTAATGAACAAAATTAAAAATTCTTGTTATTAAATTCTTATTCTAATTCTTTTTATTAAATATGCTCCAAATCTTCGTTTCGCTGCTCAAAAATTGCTTTTTTGTTGCTCCAAAGATGCTCCAAAACCATGTTTTGCCACTTGCACCACTGCAATCATAATAACTGAAAATAGTTTGTTATGTAGCTCATAACTATGATTAGGGTTAATAAATGGATCCCGAAAGAATCTTTGAGGAAGGGAAGTTAGTGATCTGGAGATTATCCAATGGGATATTTATTTACTTCGTATACTATAAGTTAATTAGGAAGGATTTCTATAGCTGTATCTACACTAAGATTTGGCGACTTCCAGGCACTTTGGCGACTTTAAAAAAAAAAAAAAATCTTCACCGAAGGGGATCCACTCAAAGCAAAACTCAACCTGCTTCTTATTTAAATTTTCGCTAGTTAAAAATCCCATTTGTGGCTTGGCTGCTGTAGCTAACACAAACAGATACCAAATCAGGGGTCTGTCCAGGGTGAATTTGCAACCGTTTAGCGATACCTTCACAAATTCAACATTAGAAAAAAAAAACTAGTTTCACAAAATAATTTAAAATAAACAAGTTCTAAGATTCTCTGCCTCTCAAAATTTTGTTTTTGTATCCCCAAAATAAAAATACAAATCCCAGAATTTTTTAAAATGGAACAACGAGGTTATCTCTCTATAAACTATACAGGAAGTCAAAATTCGAACATCATTCTAAACGTTCAAACATTATCTTTAACATTATTGTAAATTTATTCTAACAGGCCTTTGTTTTTTTTATGAAAATTTTTTTTCCATACGAAACTTTTTTCTGTATGACCTAGTCGAAAATGTTCTCATAATGAAAATAACTTTTAGTTCTAGTACTATTAAATGCAAGTTGAAATTTAACAATGGACAATAGATTTTTAAATTTAGATGCAATTTTAAGCTCGAAATTTTATAATAGCAATCTTATTTTTTAATACATGGGGAAAAATATATAGATATTTAACCAGTTCTAAATAATTTTTATTTATAGTGACAATTTTTGAAAATAATTTTTAATTTTACCATATTTTGGTGTTGATTTATGTAGCTTTTAATTTTCACGAATTTTGTCTAAATTTTCGCAAAATAGGTACCTCCCAAAAAAATCTAGACAGATCCCTGCAATTTGAAAATATTCCAGTTTGATGTATAAATTGTGTGTATTTGGGTTGATTGATGTTAGCTTCAGGATCGTACTTTTTGTATATTAGATAGCTTCCTATTTAGTTTCTATTCATTTATTTAAAATTATTTTGCATCAGCAGCTTTTAAGATAGTAATGATGATTTTAAAGCAGTTGTGTGGAACGGAAGAAAAATTGGTCTTCTTATTAGTTATGTTTGGAATTATATGATTACTTATAATCTTGATTAAATATTGTTTTACTATAGATTTTAGAAAACGCAGGGATCCTGGGTACCTGATTTCCATGGTGCTTAAATAATTAATTTAATGCCTAATATCTTAATAAAATTTAAGCTTTATTCGTTTTAAACAGAGCTATTTCTGTGTAGTATCTGTTGATGCCAACTAATGCGCCTAAAGGATTTTTTAATCCTTAGGAGGTGCTTTTTCTGGCAAAATTAGTTTTATATTAATTTTTTATTTATTTTATAATTAATGAGTTATTATAATTATCATTATGTAATAATATTAATTATATTTTAATTTATTGTTATTATAATTAATATTATTTTAATTAATATTTTAATAATTAATAGGCTATGATAATTTTTTTATATGCTTTTATTCCATTTGCAATATAATCTAAGGTTGTGTGTAAGATACTGATTTTGTCATTTTCTTTTGACAACCACTGGAAGATAATGTGAAAAATGTAATGTAAATAAAATGTAACATTTATTTATTTTAAACAGAGATATTTCTGTTGCCAGTATCTGTTTGTGCCAACTACAATCGCCTAAAGCAGTGATTCCCAAACTTATGACTTTAATGTACCCTTTTTAAATTTTTCGTAACGCTGTGTACCACTAATAAAAAAAATGAACGCATTTTTTTATTGTAAAAAAATTGCATTAAAGTTAAAAATCACAGCTGGCTGTTAATACCATTAATTATTAACTGTTAACTCTGCAAAAAAANGGAAACACTGGCCTAAAGGATTTTTGAACCCTAAGGAGGTGCATTTCCTGACAAAATTAATTTTATAATTGCTTATTATTTTTATAATTATTAAGTTATTAAAATTAATTTTATAATATTAATTTTATATTTTGTAATTAATATTATTATAATATTAATTAATTCTATTTTCTATATTTTATGTAGTAATTGTAATTCATTAGTAATATTGTTATTTATTATAATTAATAAGCAATGATAATTTTTTTTAATGCTTTTAAATATTTTTCCGTTTGCAATATAATCTAAGGTTGTGTGTAAGATACTAATTTTTTTTTTATTTTCTTTCCCCAGCCATTGGAAGATTATGTGAGAAATGTAAGTAACTTTTACATATTTATACTTGAAATTTTTCACACTGTTAATTTTTGTTCAGTTAGCAGCTTATTTTACAACTAGAGTTTATTAGCTAACTAAAAATATTTTGTCATATTTAATTTTTAAAAATATATGTTTTTTTTTTGTTTTTGTTTTGAGAATCATTATAAATTATGGTTTGATTAATTTTTCACACTGTTAATTTTTGTTCAGTTAACAGCTCATTTAACAACTAGAGTTTATTAGCTAACTAACAATATTTTGTCATATTTAATTTTAAAAAATATATGTTTTTTTTTTAGAATTATTATAAATTATGGTTTGATTAAGAGGATCTGAACCAAATTTTATTTCCCATAATTGACAGTGTAGTTCTGCGGATATCGTCTGCATATTGGGTCTTTAGTCTGGACATTTCAAATAAAAAAGTGATACAAAGATTTTTTAACTTAAAGAGTCTCAGTCACATTAAATTTATGTAGAATTTTGTTTCTTTTACTTTCACTTTGGTTCTATGCTAAGATTTTTTTCAAAACAAAATATCAACATGGGACAAAAATATGCATGCCCATAACAATAAATTGAGTTGTAATGGTAAGAGTTATTTGATTTCTTTTTTATGATTTGATTGATTTTCATATTATGTTTAAAATATTTTTAACCTAAGTGACATTTATTTCTAATTTACTTTACTGTTATAAAGATGTAATTTTATCTATATATACTTTTATATAAAATCTAATTTCATATTGTGTTATATTAGTAGAAATTTTTGCTTTGAAACATTTAATTTCGGAATGTTTAATGATTAAAAAAAGAAATTTCGAATTATGAAAAGTTATCTCATATAGCAAGCAGTGACACTATTTAAGAAACATATAGTTTGTCTAAATTAAGAACTCTGTTAGCCATTCAGGATAGACTTATGGCAGTGACTCTGGTAACAAAGCAGGATGGCCACGCACCTGGAAAACCTTGCAAACGTGGAATTATCAGGGAATTTTTTTATATTTGGAAAAACCTGGAAAAGTCAGGGAATTTTAAAGAAAAGCTGGAATTTTATTTCTTAATTTAAATTATTTTGCCATGTTATGTCCTCTTTTTTTAGTTGAAAATGTATGGTCAAACAGTTGAAATATCATAAGCTTATCAATACTTTGCTTGCATTAAAATTTGCTCCATTATGACCCTGTTGAACTAGAATGCCACATAAAACTCTCCCATGGTTGCTAAAATAAATGGAGAAACCTTAGACCTCTTTGAAACCCCCTGTGGCAGAATTTTTTTAGGCTTAATGCAACATACCTCTCTAATACTAATATCTTTCTGCAAGATACTTTTAAAAATAACAAATGTACCTACATGTTACAAAATTAAAGTAACAGAAGTATCAACTTCAAAAAAAAAACTTATTCTGATCAAATAAAATTTTTTGTAAAATTAAGTATGTAATATTTTTTTTATTCTAATATTATGAGCTATATTCTCGCATTTTGTAGGGGAAAACACACTGATTATTTCCTTTTTGACATTTTGTAAATCATCATCTACTCAGTAAAAAAAAAAATTGAAAATTCTAAAAAATCTTGAAATTTGTAGCAGTAATTTACTGCTACAAATTTCAAGATTACTAGACTCTTCAAAAAAGGGTTACTAAGTGCGCGTTTTCATTTCGAGAGTCGTACATGGGCCGTACAGTTGTTGTAGTAAGTACTATATTAAAAATATTGGATTTCAAAACTATGTGAAAATCAATAGTAATAACTGCATTTAAAAAATTAGAATGAAATTTTTCTCCAGAAAAGAAAACCAAATTTTTTACTTTATTAATCTTTATTTCTCATTGTTCTCAAAAGAGAATAGGAAAACCATTATTTTCTGCTCGGTTGCTCGAGAAAGGCATCTTTTGAATATAATTTTAAAGAAAGGATAAAATCTTTCAAAAATTTCTGCAAAAAAAATTTTTTGTTTTACTTCCCAAAAGAAAAGTCTTTCTGCAGGAATTTCATAACATTCTGCAACAATGCCACCTTGTTGCCACAATTCTGCAACGGTTGAAAACCATGGGCCGGCGCAGTTTAGGAAAGGCAAAGATTGTGGTGGAGGTGGAAGAATGAGTTAGGACACTTGCTTCTGTTTATAAAAGTAATTTTTTTTCCTTCTAGTCTGTTGGTTGAATCCATTTATCATTCAAGTTTGTTCCGATGTTTTTGGGGTATTTTTTCGTTTGTGCAAACCATTAAAAATGTATATTGGTTTAAAGAAAATATGATCAATGAATTTTATAAAGAGAACTGTTTGGATAAAATACAGTATAAAATGACTCTATATTGAAATGTTAATAAATATAAAAAGCTATTAATTATAATCGCCTGACATTATATTCTTTCGCTTAATGAAAATATATTAAACAGTGCTTATCCCCAGTTTCTTGGGTCACTCTGCATCAGGGTTGGCATGGTTAAAACCAAATGGTTTTTTCCGTAAAAATAATTTAATTGATAAAAATGTTCGAAATTTAATTTCGAACATTTCATTGAAAAGAAATACAGAAGAAGTAAATACATATTTAATCTACATATATTTTTATATTAACATATTCATTTTTGATCTTATCAAAATAGATAAGTTAAGCTAAAATAAAAATTAAAAAAAATCTATGTACTCATTGTAATTTTTTTACACAAAATTTCTTTATAGAAAAAGATATTGTAAACAGATTATAAGGAAAAAAAAACTTTTTGATAAAAGAGACAGCGCAATTAAAATTCTACAGATAGAATTTTATTTAACATTATTTGTATTTTTTTTGTGAAAAAAAATTCATGTTTATTAATTACTTTCTACAGCTATGCATTGACAGGGTTGCCACTCTACATGGAGAACAGGGAAAACCTGGAAAATACATGGAATTTAAAAATCACCTAAAATAACAGGGAAAATGCAGGGAATTTTTTCCTTGCAAACTGGGAAATACAGGGAATTTTGTTTCTTATTTTTGTCTTTTAAAAAATGGTGCCCTCTCAAAGCGTAATCTATGGGGTATTTAGCCATGATATTTCAGCTATACTAAACTATTTCTTTTACTATAACATTATTTAAATATGTTCAGCTGTTTTCCCACCGATTAAAACTAATAAATATAGTTAGCCCTATATAGCTCACAAAAGAGCACAGTAATTGTTGTTTCCATTTAATATATTGTGTATAATAGTGCAGGGAAAACACAGGGAATTTTTTTTCCAGATTTGAGTGGCAACCCTGATTGAATGTTTACTTCAATCTATATCTTCAATTTCAAGTATCAAAAGATTTTTAAAAATGTAATTTGAAATGTGTTGGAATTTAACACACACCAAGAAAGAAAGTAATTTCGTTAACTAAAATTAATTAACGCAGCAATTTATTTAAAATAAATTTTAAAACTATGGAAAGAAAATAATAAAAGTATCAATATATTAAAACTCTGTTTTTTAAATTTTTAAATGAATATATATTAAAAAAATTCAGTTGATTTAAATAAATTATTATTTTAAAAATATCAGATTTAAATCATGATTTAAATCGTGATTTAGATCAAGTTGATTTAAATCAATATACCCTGAGACAAACTATGCATATAATATGTGTGATGTATTATTTATAGGTGATGGGAAATGTGTTATCTGTGACTCTTATGTTAGACCATGCACTTTAGTCAGAATTTGTGATGAATGTAATTATGGATCTTATCAAGGTCGANCTACGCAAGTCTATATTAAGACAGCATTGAATGTTTACTTTAATCTATATTTTCAATTTCAAGTAACAAAAGATTTTTAAAAATGTAATTTCAAATGTGTTGGAATTTAACACACACGAAGAAAGAAAGTAATTTCGTTAACTGAAATTAATTAAAGTAGCAATTTATTTAAAATAAATTTTAAAGCTATGGAAAGAAAATAATAAAAGTATCAAAATATTAAAACTCAGTTTTTAAAATTTTTAAACCAATATATATTAAAAAAATTCAGTTGATTTAAATAAATTATTATTTTAAAAATATCATTAGATTTAAATCATGATTTAGATCAAGTTGATTTAAATCAATATACCCTGAGACAAACTATGCATATAATATGTGTGATGTATTATTTATAGGTGATGGGAAATGTGTTATCTGTGACTCTTATGTTAGACCATGCACTTTAGTCAGAATTTGTGATGAATGTAATTATGGATCTTATCAAGGTCGATGTGTTATTTGTGGAGGTCCAGGCGTGTCTGATGCTTACTATTGCAAAGAATGTACTATTCAGGAGAAAGATGTAAGTAGTAGACTTATTCATACCTGCCTAGTCTCATGTTTTTAAACGAAAACTCCTGCATTTTACAACTATCTCCTGTTTACTCATATATTTTCATATTTCTCCGTATTTGTTAAAGAAGTAAAATATATATATACACAGTAGAAGTCCATTAGTCCGGCATCCAACAATCCGGAATGCCCGATAGTTCGGCATCGCTCCGGAAAATTGTAAAAATTTTTGTTTTCTCCAAAACTGTGTCTTTAAAACAAATAAAAATTCTCGAGAGCTATTCGTAAGTTTTCGGGATCATCTGGAAGCGCTCCGTTAATCAATCACGAAGTGTCTTCGCCATTTTTTTTGTGCATTGTTGTTTTGTGTCCTTTCACATTGCAGTAAACGTAACTTTTGAAACTGTTTATGAAAAAAAGTGATTTTCGTTCTAACTGTACTGTGACCATGTTTTCAAAACCTAAGCCTTCGAGTTCAAAAGGAGAGAAACGAAGACACGTAACACTGACTCTCAATCAGAAACTAGAAATCATCAAACGGCTAGGAAAAGGCGAGAATGGAAATGTTTTACTGAATGAGTTTAATATTGGCTCATCAACTATTTATGACATTAAAGAACAAAAAGTTGAACTAATGAAGTTTGCTTCTCAATCGGTAACAACTGAAAAGTTGGCTTCTAGACAAACATTAAAAAAACCAAAACTGGAACAGCTAGATAGTGTATTGTTCAAATGGTTTAGTGTAGTACGTTCTGAAAGAAAGCCGGTAACAGGGCCAATGATTGTTGAAAAGGCAAAGAAATTCGGCCAAGATTTAGGAGTTGCTGAAAGTGAATGTAATTATTCTGATGGTTGGCTCAGAAACTTTAAGTTTCGGCATGGAATTCAAAGACTTGATGTAACTGGAGAAACACTTTCAGCAAACCAAAACTCTGCAGAAAAATACTAAGACGAGTTTGAGAAAATCGTGGCTGATAATGATTTAACACCTGAACAGATTTACAATGCTGATGGAACAGGGCTATTGTGGCGATGTTTACCAACATCTCCACTAGCTGGGGGAGGAGAAAAAGCAGCCAAGGGTTTTTTTAAAAAACAAAGACAGATTAACCGTTTTGCTATCAGCTAATGCGTCTGGAAACCACTGAGTGACCCCTTTTGTGATAGGTAAATCTGCAAAACCCAGGGCTTTTAAGAATGTTACACACTTGCCTGTCCAAAACGATACTCAATCAAATGCGTGGATGACTGCCGCCCTCTTTAAAGACTGTTTTTTTCACCACTTTGTGCCTGAGGTCAAGGAGTCCTTCAAAAGCCTTGGTCTACCAGAAGATACTAAAACCTTCCTTCTTTTGGACTATTGCAAAGCCCACCCCCAGTAGATGAGTTAGTTTCTGGAAATATTGTTGCTACTCTGCTCCCACCTAACGTAACATCTATGATTCAACCCATGGACCAAGGGGTTGTTCAAAATTTTAAATGCTTTTATAGAAGGTCTTTTATTCAAGGCTTGTTAAATGCCGACTGTGACGCGACTGATTTTCAAAAAAAGTTTACAGTAAAAGATGCTGTATATGCCATTGCACTGTCTTGGAACCAGGTAAAAAATACAACACTCCAAAAATGCTGGAGAAAACTTTGGCCAGCTGCAAACCCTGTGCAGCCCTGCATCTGACCTAACTCTACAGACTGATGAGGAAGAAAACCATCAAGACGCTCTGACCAAAGTTTTGAATGTCGTTATAAGTGCTGACAATCCTTTGAAAAACCTGCCTGAAGATGAGGTAGAGGAGTGGCTTCTAACTGACGAGAATGGGCCTGTTGAACAGGAACTAACCGATGAGGACATTATTTAATTTGAATACAACATTCTGCGTAGTTTGGAATTCGACAGCATAATACAAGATTTCGTTGAATCCAAAAATCGCAAAAAAAGTTATATATTAGATCATAAGATTTTGCAAAATAATTTATTACCGAAAAATATTATATTTTTATTTGTATCTTCATAATTTTGTGCAAAATACACTTGTTGTTTTTAAAGCTAAATTATTTTTGTCAACAAATTTTTTTCTCCC